GTCCCTGATCACACATACACAGACACAAGTGTAGGATCGTTACTAACCACACATACACAGACACAAATGTCGGATCGTCCCTGATCACACATACACAGACACAAGTGTAGGATCGTTACTAACCACACATACACAGACACAAATGTCGGATCGTCCCTGATCACACATACACAGACACAAGTGCCGGATCGTCCCTGATCACACATACACAAGCACAAGTGCCGGATCGTCCCTGATCACACATACTCAGACACAAGTGTCGGATCGCCCCTGATCACACATAAACAGACACAACTTCCGAATCGTCCCTGATCACAAATACCTAGATAAAAATGTCAATTCGTCCCTAATCGCACATTTGGAGACACAAATGTCGGATCCTCCCTGTTCACACATACACAGACACAAGTTTCAGATCGTCCCTGATCACACATACACAGACACAAATGTCAGATCGTCCCTGATCGCACATTTGGAGACACAAATGTCGGATCGTCCCTTTTCACACATACACAGACACAAGTGTCGGATCGTTACTAACCACACATACACAGACACAAATGTCAGATCGTCCCTGATCACACATACACAGACACAAGTGTCGGATCGTCCCTTTTCACACATACACAGACACAAGTGTCGGATCGTTACTAACCACACATACACAGACACAAATGTCAGATCGTCCCTGATCACACATACACAGACACAAGTGTCGGATCGTCCCTGATCACACATACACTGACACAAGTGCCGGATCGTCCCTGATCACACATATACACAGACACAAATGACGGATCTTCCCTGATCACACATACACAGACACAGACACCAGCGTAGGATCATCCCTAATCGCACATTCGGAGACAAAAGTGTCAGATCGTTCCTGATTACACAAATACAGACACAAATGTCGGATCGTCCCTGATCACACATACACAGACACAAGTTTCAAATCGTCCCTGATCACACATACACAGACACCAGCTTAGGATCATCCCTAATCGCACATTCGGAGACACAAGTGTCAGATCGTCCCTGATCGCACATTTGGAGACACAAATGTCGGATTCTCCCTGTTCACACATACACAGACACAAGTTTCAGATCGTCCCTGATCACACATACTCAGACACAAGTGTGGGATCGTCCCTGATCATATATACACAGACACAAGTGTAGGATCGTCCCTGATCAAAGATACAAGTGTAGGATCGTCCCTGATCACACATACACAGACACAAGTGTCGGATCGTTCCTGATCATATATACACAGACACAAGTGTAGGATCGTCCCTGATCACACATACGGAGACACAAGTGTCGGATCGTCCCTGATCACACATACACAGAAACAAGTGTCGGATCGTCCCTGATCACACATACACAGACACAAGTGGCGGATCGTCTCTGATCACACATACACAGCCACAAATGTCAGATCGTCCCTGATCACACATACACAGACACAAGTGTCGGATCGTCCCTGATCACACATACACAGACACAAGTGGCGGATCGTTCCTGATCATATATACACAGACACAAGTGTCGGATCGTCCCTGATCACACATACACAAACACAAATGTCGGATCGTCCCTGATCACACATACTCAGACACAAGTGTCGGATCGCCCCTGATCATACAGACACAAATGTCAGATCGTCCCTGCTCACACATAAACAGACACAACTTCCGGATCGTCCCTGATCACAAATACCTAGATAAAAATGTCAATTCGTCCCTAATCGCACATTTGGAGACACAAATGTCGGATCGTCCCTTTTCACACATACACAGACACAAGTTTCGGATCGTTACTAACCACACATGCACAGACACAAATGTCATATCGTCCCTGATCACACATACACAGACAAAAGTGTCGGATCGCCCCTGATCACACATACACAGACACAAGTGTCGGATCGTCCCTGACCACACATACACAAGCAAAAGTGCCGGAACGTAACTAACAACACACAAGGAGACACAAGTTTCGGATCGTCTCTGATCACACATACACAGACGCCAGCGTAGGATCATCCCTAATCGCACATTCGGAGACACAAATGTCGGATCCTCCCTGTTCACACATACACAGACACAAATGTCAGATCGTCCCTGATCGCACATTTGGAGACACAAATGTCGGATCGTCCTTTTTCACACATACACAGACACAAGTGTCGGATCGTTACTAACCACACATACACAGACACAAATGTCAGATCGTCCCTGATCACACATACACAGACACAAGTGTCGGATCGTTACTAACCACACATACACAGACACAAATGTCAGATCGTCCTTGATCACACATACACAAACACAAATGTCGGATCGTCCCTGATCACACATACACTGACACAAGTGCCGGATCGTCCCTGATCACACATACACAAGCACAAGTGCCGGATCGTCCCTGATCACACATACACAGACACAGACACCAGCGTAGGATCATCCCTAATCGCACATTCGGAGACACAAGTGTCAGATCGTCCCTGATCACACATTTGGAGACACAAATGTTGGATTCTCCCTGTTCACACATACACAGACACAAGTGTGGGATCGTCCCTGATCATATATACACAGACACAAGTGTAGGATCGTCCCTGATCAAAGATACAAGTGTAGGATCGTCCCTGATCACACATACACAGACACAAGTGTCGGATCGTTCCTGATCATATATACAAAGACACAAGTGTAGGATCGTCCCTGATCACACATACGGAGACACAAGTGTCGGATCGTCCCTGATCACACATACGGAGACACAAATGTCAGATCGTCCCTGATCACACATACACAGACACAAGTGTCGGATCGTCCCTGATCACAAAAACACAGACACAAGTGGCGGATCGTTCCTGATCATATATACACAGACACAAGTGTCGGATCGTCCCTGATCACACATACACAGACACAAGTGGCGGATCGTTCCTGATCATATATACACAGACACAAGTGTCGGATCGTCCCTGATCACACATACACAAACACAAATGTCGGATCGTCCCTTTTCACACATACATAGACACAAGTGTCGGATCGTCACTAACCACACATACTCAGACACAAGTGTCGGATCGCCCCTGATCACACATACGGAGACACAAGTGTCGGATCGTCCCTGATCATACAGACACAAATGTCAGATCGTCCCTGCTCACACATAAACAGACACAACTTCCGGATCGTCCCTGATCACAAATACCTAGATAAAAATGTCAATTCGTCCCTAATCGCACATTTGGAGACACAAATGTCGGATCGTCCCTTTTCACACATACACAGACACAAGTTTCGGATCGTTACTAACCACACATGCACAGCACAGATGTCATATCGTCCCTGATCACACATACACAGACACAAGTGTCGGATCGTCCCTGATCACACATACACAGACACAAGTGTCGGATCGTCCCTGATCACACATACACAAGCAAAAGTGCCGGAACGTAACTAACAACACACAAGGAGACACAAGTTTCGGATCGTCTCTGATCACACATACACAGACACCAGCGTAGGATCATCCCTAATCGCACATTCGGAGACACAAATGTCGGATCCTCCCTGTTCACACATACACAGACACAAATGTCAGATCGTCCCTGATCACACATTTGGAGACACAAATGTCGGATCGTCCTTTTTCACACATACACAGACACAAGTGTCGGATCGTTACTAACCACACATACACAGACACAAATGTCAGATCGTCCCTGATCACACATACACAGACACAAGTGTCGGATCGTTACTAACCACACATACACAGACACAAATGTCAGATCGTCCTTGATCACACATACACAAACACAAATGTCGGATCGTCCCTGATCACACATACACTGACACAAGTGCCGGATCGTCCCTGATCACACATACACAAGCACAAGTGCCGGATCGTCCCTGATCACACATACACAGACACAGACACCAGCGTAGGATCATCCCTAATCGCACATTCGGAGACACAAGTGTCAGATCGTCCCTGATCGCACATTTGGAGACACAAATGTTGGATTCTCCCTGTTCACACATACACAGACACAAGTGTGGGATCGTCCCTGATCATATATACACAGACACAAGTGTAGGATCGTCCCTGATCAAAGATACAAGTGTAGGATCGTCCCTGATCACACATACACAGACACAAGTGTCGGATCGTTCCTGATCATATATACAAAGACACAAGTGTAGGATCGTCCCTGATCACACATACGGAGACACAAGTGTCGGATCGTCCCTGATCACACATACGGAGACACAAATGTCAGATCGTCCCTGATCACACATACACAGACACAAGTGTCGGATCGTCCCTGATCACACATACACAGACACAAGTGGCGGATCGTTCCTGATCATATATACACAGACACAAGTGTCGGATCGTCCCTGATCACACATACACAGACACAAGTGGCGGATCGTTCCTGATCATATATACACAGACATAAGTGTCGGATCGTCCCTGATCACACATACACAGACACAAGTGTCGGATCGTCCCTGATCACACATACACAGACACAAGTGGCGGATCGTCTCTGATCACAAATACACAGCCACAAATGTCATATCGTCCTTAATCGCACATTTGGAGACACAAATGTCGGATTGTCCCTTTTCACACTTACACAGACACAACTATCGGATCGTCCCTGATCACACATGTGGAGACGCATGCGTCGGATCCCTCCTGATCACACATACGGAGTTTAAAGGAAATTGTTAGAAAAAAACGGGGAACAAAAAGAAAAGAATTAATTGTCTGCCCCTGATTAGACATAGGGAGACAACTCAATTGTTGTAACTATTCATCATTTCGCATTGTTTGTGAACGACGTCATCATTCCTGCCACATTATGACGTCATAGTTCATATGATTCCGTAACAACCTTGTTGCACGGTTGCGTTTAGTGTTGATATTTACGATGGCTAAGCTATGACCATTCAAACGACATGAACGAACGTCATGATGCCTTGTACAACCGAGCGCGAGGCGTTCTCAACCAGAACATCAAGCGGCTTTGGTTTATGGTCAATCCTTATTTGGAGAAGAAAGACACACTCGACGCGCATCCCGAGTCGCCGACGCGGTTTATTCAGCCTCTTCAGTCCACTGTCCTGAGTGAAAGTTTACTGAACCATGAAACTCAGGAGCACAAGCAGCTGGAGATAGGTAAGATGTGTTATAGGATGGTGTCGGGAGGAAGAGGAACATGGGGAGTTGGAGATAAGTAAGATGTGTTAAAAGATGGTTGTGTCGGGAGGAGGAAGAACACAGGGAGCTTAAGATAGGTAAAATGTGTTATAGGATAGTGTCGGGAGGAGGCGGAACACAGGGAGCTGGAGATAGGTAAGATGTGTTATAGAAAGGTGTCGGGAGAAAGAGGAACATGGGGAGTTGGAGATAAGTAAGATGTGTTAAAAGATGGTTGTGTCGGGAGGAGGAAGAACACAGGGAGCTTAAGATAGGTAAAATGTGTTATAGGATAGTGTCGGGAGGAGGAAGGACACAGCGAGCTGGAGATAGGTAAGATGTGTCATAGGATAGTGTCGGGAGGAGGAAGAACACAGGGAGCTGGAGATAGGTAAGATGTGTTATAGGATAGTGTCGGGAGGAGGAAGAACACAGCGAGCTGGAGATAGGTAAGATGTGTCATAGGATAGTGTCGGGAGGAGGAAGAACACAGGGAGCTGGAGATAGGTAAGATGTGTTATAGGATAGTGTCGGGAGGAGGAAGAACACAGGGAGCTGGAGATAGGTAAGATGTGTTATAGGATAGTGTCGGGAGGAGGATAACACAGCGAGCTGGAGATAGGTAAGATGTGTCATAGGATAGTGTCGGGAGGAGGAAGAACACAGGGAGCTGGAGATAGGTAAGATGTGTCATAGGATAGTGTCGGGAGGAGGAAGAACACAGCGAGCTGGAGATAGGTAAGATGTGTTATAGGATAGTGTCGGGAGGAGGAAGAACACAGGGAGTAGGAGATAGGTAAGATGTGTTATAGGATAGTGTCGAGAGGAGGAAGAACACAGGGAGTAGGAGATAGGTAAGATGTGTTATAGGATAGTGTCGAGAGGAGGAAGAACACAGGGAGTAGGAGATAGGTAAGATGTGTTATAGGATAGTGTCGAGAGGAGGAAGAACACAGGGAGTAGGAGATAGGTAAGATGTGTTATAGGATAGTGTCGAGAGGAGGAAGAACACAGGGAGTAGGAGATAGGTAAGATGTGTTATGGGATAGTTTCGGGAGGAGGAAGAACACAGGGAGCTGGAGATAGGTAAGATGTGTCATAGGATAGTTTCGGGAGGAGGAAGAACACAGGGAGCTGGAGATAGGTAAGATGTGTCATAGGATAGTGTCGGGAGGAGGAAGAACACAGGGAGTAGGAGATAGGTAAGATGTGTTATGGGATAGTGTCGGGAGGAGGAAGAACACAGGGAGCTGGAGATAGGTAAGATGTGTCATAGGATAGTTTCGGGAGGAGGAAGAACACAGGGAGCTGGAGATAGGTAAGATGTGTCATAGGATAGTTTCGGGAGGAGGAAGAACACAGGGAGCTGGAGATAGGTAAGATGTGTCATAGGATAGTGTCGGGAGGAGGAAGAACACAGGGAGTAGGAGATAGGTAAGATGTGTTATGGGATAGTTTCGGGAGGAGGAAGAACACAGGGAGCTGGAGATAGGTAAGATGTGTCATAGGATAGTTTCGGGAGGAGGAAGAACACAGGGAGCTGGAGATAGGTAAGATGTGTCATAGGATAGTGTCGGGAGGAGGAAGAACACAGGGAGTAGGAGATAGGTAAGATGTGTTATGGGATAGTTTCGGGAGGAGGAAGAACACAGGGAGCTGGAGATAGGTAAGATGTGTCATAGGATAGTTTCGGGAGGAGGAAGAACACAGGGAGCTGGAGATAGGTAAGATGTGTCATAGGATAGTGTCGGGAGGAGGAAGAACACAGGGAGTAGGAGATAGGTAAGATGTGTTATGGGATAGTGTCGGGAGGAGGAAGAACACAGGGAGTAGGAGATAGGTAAGATGTGTTATGGGATAGTGTCGGGAGGAGGAAGAACACAGGGAGTAGGAGATAGGTAAGACGAAGAAGAAAACAATTTCACTAATAGTAACAAATATATCGGGTCCTTGTGATACTCGTGTATCTATATCTGTCATTGTAATACACGTGTATCTATATCGGACATTGTAATACTCGTGTATCTATATCGGGCACTGATACTCGTGTATCAATATCGGGCATTGTAATACTCGTGTATCTATATCTGTCATTGTAATACTCGTGTATCAATATCGGGCATTGTAATACTCGTGTATCTATATCGGGCACTGATACTCGTGTATCAATATCGGACATTGAAATACTCGTTTATCTATATCGGACATGGTAATACTCGTGTATCTATATCGGGCACTGATACTCGTGTATCAATATCGGACATTGTAATACTCGTGTATCTATATCTGTCATTGTAATACTCGTGTATCTATATCTGTCATTGTAATACTCGTGTACCTATATCTGTCATTGTAATACTCGTGTATCGATATTGGGCATTGATACTTTGATACTTGTATTTCTGTGTCGGACAATGTGATACTCCTATACGTATTTGTATCGAACACTGTAGTACTCGCATTTCTGTATCAGATACTGTGGTACTCGTTATTCTATATCAGATACTGTGGTACTCGTTATTCTGTATCAGATACTGTGGTACTCGTTATTCTGTATCAGATACTGTGATACTCGTTATTCTGTATCAGATACTGTGATACTCGTTATTCTGTATCAGATACTGTGGTACTCGTTATTCTGTATCAGATACTGTGGTACTCGTTATTCTATATCAGATACTGTGGTACTCGTTATTCTGTATCAGATACTGTGGTACTCGTTATTCTGTATCAGATACTGTGGTACTCGTTATTCTGTATCAGATACTGTGGTACTCGTTATTCTGTATCAGATACTGTGATACTCGTTATTCTGTATCAGATACTGTGATACTCGTATTTCTGTATCAGATACTGTGATACTCGTATTTCTGTATCGGATACTGTGATACTCGTTATTCTGTATCAGATACTGTGATACTCGTTATTCTGTATCAGATACTGTGATACTCGTATTTCTGTATCAGATACTGTGATACTCGTTATTCTGTATCAGATACTGTGGTACTCGTTATTCTGTATCAGATACTGTGGTACTCGTATTTCTATATCAGATACTGTGATACTCGTTATTCTGTATCAGATACTGTGATACTCGTTATTCTGTATCAGATACTGTGGTACTCGTTATTCTGTATCAGATACTGTGATACTCGTTATTCTGTATCAGATACTGTGATACTCGTTATTCTGTATCAGATACTGTGATACTCGTATTTCTGTATCGGAACGGTCTCCTAATGCTTCAGATTTGGCTATTCATTCGCCTGTAATCAATAGATGATAATGAAAGGTAAACATTCTGATAGAATGATGGAGGTCATAATTAATTTCGATTAATATTTAAGAAATTCAGTTGTACTGTTCGGTATTTGAGGCACAAAACTATCCCCTTACCTACGAAGAAACAATGATCTAAGGACATGTTCGATTCACCTTTTAATTTCTGCAGATGGATTCTGGGATTTTTTGTTTTCTGACAAATGGCGTGGTCACTGCTCGGTCCGAGTTATGGAAGGACAATTACTGGAAACCATGATGGCTGTCTTACATGTGCTGGAACGAGATGGAGAAGTGATTCACAAGAAAACGCATGCGTATGCCAGGAATGAGCGCGAGAGGCGGGGTTGTTACAGACTAGCCAATCAGGAGGTAACCTAGCCAATTAATGACCAATCACACACTGCAAATACTATTGATACTAAGTAGTAGGTCTTTTTTGAGTTTTGTCATTTTGCTCGACTTCCCGATTGGACATAGAAAGGCAGATGATCAACTTGCCCGTATATGTGGGTTTCTCTCGAGCGCTCGTATTTTTGAATACACTATCATGCATTTGTACAAAATGGCGATTCAATCAGAATTATTTCGAGTTGGCAAACTTGAGTTTATATTTCACGTTTACAATGTACTTAATGAAAGTTGAGTAGGACTTGCTTACTTGAAAACATAGCGATGCTATTAACACCGGTTCTACCGTTTTATCGTGTCAGTGTTGTGACTTCTCATATTCATTCTTCAAATTTTATTGAAAATAATGTATATTTCGCTTGGAATTTATTTTCGCGTTAACAAGGAGGGAGAGTCAATCGCGAATTTAAATCCCTCGCGATAAAGTACGAAAATAACTCGATAGTATCAATGTTGGCGCGGTTACTAATATCGGCGTCTTGTAGAGTCATCATGCGCGGATGTCATTTTAGATTGACGATCGCGAAAAAAAGTATTCGCGAAATCTAAGAGGTTTACAGTATATTCGAATAACTGTAAACCCACAGTCACATAACAATGTAGTATTTAGCGCGTTACTCTTCCGCACTATCTAACTAGGCCTTGTTACATGTAGTTCAAAACTGTTTCATTAGCAACGGTCGTCCTCCTACATCCATACGACATGGTTGTCAAACACTTGTCGATATGTCAATTGGTTCCAGCTGTAATCTTCTGCTTTTGTTAAATCTGAGGTCATCCATTATTCCGGAACTTGATAATTGATCTTTCTACGAAGTATTTGACAAAACGTTCGTCTTGTACAATAATCACATTAATCTTGCACAACGATTATTTCTGATAGTTCAAGACATTGCGAGTGCTGAGTTCTCTCAATTTCAGGGTTGTGATACAGTGCAGGAAATACTTCTCCTGGAGTTTACATATTACGGTCGCCGAAAACCACGGCCCTCGCAATGTACGTCGGACTCCAGTAGTGGTTACCCAGGAAACGGAAGTACCACCACCACATGGCCGTGTGCATCTCCTTCCTGTCCTTCTGGCAACGAAATGCTTACGTCAGTTCCAACATTCGCCGACACGCCAAAGCCACAAAGTAAGTAGATAATATAAAGACATTATTCCACGATGTATGTCAGCGTATTGATGTTCGCTTATATTATATCACTTTGATTCGAAACGGACATCCTGCATCAATTACAGCAGTCTCTACCTTTGATTGATACATGTTTTACTTTCGGCTGTTACCAACACATCATCTTCCAATCTACACCTATAAATTAACTTCCGGTTGTCAAAGGTCAAAGGTACATTGGTCGGCATTTAGTTATTATTTTTTTTATATAATTCACGAAAGTGCATTCAAAATTTGATGAAATGAACAAATGGTTCGTTACCAACAAATGCATTATTAGCCTAACATCACCAGTGGTGAACTGTTTAAATTGCCTTTGTCTGTGGTCCGGTCTTTTCCATTTGGTTTTTGACAATCATAATGTGTTATCTTTTTTTTCTTGATAAGTATTTTATGGAACTTTCCCATATATGGTATGTAGGTTCAATTTGGTCCCTTGTTGATTACGAAGAAGTTTCAAATTTCATATAATAAATTGCAAACACAGAGGAAATAATGGGAGAGAAAAGAACAGAAAAGGGAAAAAATTTAAAGATCAGATAAAGATCAAGCAATGGTGGGCGCCAAGGTCCTTCCGAGATCTCTTTGAGTAACCAGAATGTTTCATGACGGAACATACCACACAGAAATAAACCCATTACTGCTGATCAAAAGGCTACTACGAAAGCTCAATCTCACGACATTATAAGAAAGGCTACCAAATTTCACGGAAAGGAAAACTGCGAGAAGAAATATTTGTACAATAAATTGCTAAAAATAACAAAGGGCAATAACTCTTCCAAAAAACTGTTGAATCTAAATATCGTCCGTTTAAAATAGCACAATTCAATATCTTGGTAGGTAAGTCTTACAAGTTTCAAGGAAATTAATTGAACACAATGGGAGGTGATCTCCAAAAAAAATTTACAAGCTGGAAAACAATCAAAACAATATCCAGGAAAACAAAGTTCCATATCAGAATCCGCAAAGTTAACAAGAGATTGGCAGAGAACCGAGCGGATATATGTGGACAAGATCAATTTAACAATTTTTTGCCCTTCTGTCCGTACAGGGACACGGTACATTCTTGTAAATCAGTCGCTTACCCCGGTCTTAACTTTGAACCCATTTGATAAATCTTTTACAAAGCTTATTTCGAATTATTAGTTTTCAAAATGTAACCAACCTGCTTTCTCAAAGAATAGTGTTTACATGTCGCAGTTGATTCGATTTAAGGGTCTGTATCCTATGTATATGCCAACAGCTGACGTAGTCCATACATCGAATGCCTCCGAATGTATGAATTGCATATCGAAACATTACTGATGATACAAAACGTCAAAATGATTGAGTGGAAAATTTGTATGATACGATGGCAAAGTCTGTGTGTCGAAATCAAGTGGTCGTGCATCACTTAAAAACAGCACTTTGTTAGACAATAACGCGGATATCTTTTAAGGGTAGTCTGTGATATATCTTTTTAAAGCTCTATTGCAGCACAAGAAAGATTTAGTGGAAAAAAAAAAACTTGAAGCCGACGCCAACATTATTTTTTTAGGCGTGTACGATACTAAATACTCCTTTGGGATCCCCATACTCTATATGTAAACAGGTACCTTCCGTCTGTACGGGACATCTACTTCCGGTTACGTAACATGCGTCATAACGACCGTACGGAATACACGTTTATTTCCGGTTGTATGTGACACGCCCTTTTCCAACCGTGCGGTCATGATCAGTATTCTACCTTTGTTTTCACATCGATTAAACCAACTGTCACAAAATTTCACTACTTCCGGTTGCCTTCATATGTTCCTTTACGATAGCCATTTCTCCCTTTTCAGATGTGAGCAAGCCTTCACGCCGAAGACGTAAGAGTGCTCCAAACATTCGGAAAAACGTTCCAAAGAATACACAACGTCGTCTGTCCCGCCTTCCAAACACATTAGAAGAAGAAAAGGCAAATTTCGATGATGACGGGCAACCTGATCGAAATTTTCTTTTGGAAATCAATGATTTTCAAACTACCGGTGTCTGGAATAGTCAACAATCTCACATCAGCAGTGAAAGCAGCGATTTTCGGACAACCAACTCAATCGTTCGGAATCTTTCTCGGCTTCCTTGCTCGGAAAGAACCTCATATATGGGCAATGTCATGATGGACGAAAATGATACTTCTGGTGAAAATATGAACGTTAATGAAGTAGAGGAATTGTGGGAGAAAATGATGTACTTAAGCGATATCAAATCAAAGACTGCCATGGAGACTGTGTCGGGAAAACTAAGACGTTATATGGCAGAAAAGTATCAGGCGAAGAAAGAAATGGAAGAGATGCACGAGGAGTGGGAAAAACGAAGGATTTCAGCCTTCAAACCCGTATCAAAGTATGCTGAAATGGACGCCGAGGAAAGCAGTAGCTCTTCCGGTATCCAATACCGCTTTCTTGACTGTGTTCCTGATTTTGAGGATTTTCTCCTCATACTGGAAGAGGATTCAAAATTTGATCCAAGATTTAAAAGAGCGAAGCAGATCAGCAGGAAAATCGCGAAGAGATACAACATCGCGAGAGAAAATATATCGGGATTAGCTAGTGTAGAGGTCGACCAGAAAAAGACGAATACTGTTTCAAGGTTACCGCCAATTTCAGAGAAAGGCACACAAATGAAAAAAAATTTCCGCACAGGTGATAATAAATTCCGGAGTTCGACAAAGACACCAACTGGTTCTCGTAGAATATCGGCGGTCGCCAGAAGCAGTGTTACTAGTGTGCATGGTAGCGAGAAAGTGGACAATGAAAAAACAGCTCACGAAGTAGGAGTTGTGACCGCTTCAAAGTCTTGTGAAAAGCACGTGCTTGAGCATTATGGTAGGCGCAGTTCTCACAGAGCATCCCTCTGCAAAGTTTTACCCGTGAAGGACGCCAAGAAAAAGAAAAAAACACCAGATACAGCTCCTTCCATATACTTAACATCTCCTGCTGGTGCTAACTATCTACTATATCAGCCTGCTAGTAAGAAGTCAGATGCAAAACGGAAAGGAACGCTACACACTGACAATACGTCAGGACCAATTGCGGAGGTGGAATTTGAGCAGGACCCTTCCGAAAAAACGAAAGACAACGTGTACTCAAGTGAAGATGATCAAGATGACACGACAGATTTCCAGAATCTGTTTGATTCTAGAAAGCTGAACACCAAGTACAGTTTTGAACGATTGCGAGGGAAAAATTACCACAAGAAAAAACCAGCCTTTTTCGGCGTCTTGAAGAAATACTACAAGATGCAGAAAGTGGCCGATGCATTTTCAGGACGCAAATCTCAACGCAAATCCGTGTTTCAACGTCTGCTTAATAAAGACAAACAAAAGCAAGCCTCGGATACGGACATAATTGGAAAACTGAAGCCCTACAACTTTTTGTACCACAGAGAGAGAACTAGGACAGAAGTTGACCCATGCGATTTCAGCAGTCTATCCATGGACATATTTCGTGCAAACCTCGTCAAGGCACTCGACGACTTCGTCGTTAGGAAAGAGCGTGTGGTGTCAAATATTGGTGGGAAAAGTTCAACCCACATAACCTTCACGAAACAATCCATCTTCAAACACAGAGAATAAGCGCCATCTCATTTAAAGTGAGATCGAACAAGGAAATCTCAAGAATACTTCAGTGTAGGCCGAATGAGAAATCAAACATTGCATAATGCACGCACACCTCCTTATTAAATCATGAGAAAATCACGTGTTATTAATGTTTCTTCTTTGTCAAATAGAATTGTTGGTCGCTTTGAAATGGTGTCTCCAGACAATCTTGTAAGTCTAGAAGGACAGTATATCTATAATGTTACTGTTTATAGTATAATGTCGCATTGTATAGAAAGACGACTCTAACAGACTGTTAAGGTATATAGCATAACGATAGGTCTGACGTCATACTGTATCAGAATATCCCTGCTTATTGTATAATGGTATATATTGATCTGACGTCATAGCTACAGATACAAGACTATATCAGACTGTTACTATTTATAGCATGACAGTATATATTGATCTGACGTCACACAGAAACAAGACTATATCAAACTGTTACTATTCAAACATAACAGTATATATTGATCTGACGTCACATTTACAGAAACAAGACTATTTCAGACCGTTACTATTTATAGCATGACAGTATATATTGATCTGACGTCACACAGAAACAAGACTATATCAGACTGTTACTATTTATAGCATCACACTATATATTGACCTGACGTCACACTTACAGAAACAAGACTATATCAGACTGTTACTATTTATAGCATCACACTTTATATTGATCTGATGTCACAGTGTGATGAAGGATGAACTTAGCTGTTTTCTCATAGTTTTAACTTTAACTAATCATTTGTGAACTCTAATCACACCTTGTTGTTTCAACTGGAGTATGTCACTGTTCACAGTTAAAATATCCACAGATGGCTGGGGTCCAATATGTGATGTCACATACAGTAAAAGTTATTATTTTTGATGGTTCAAAATTGTTTGGTTTTATCGAAAACTTGAAACACATTGCACATATAACATTTCATGAAGTGTGGTATTCTCTAAAAAATGTCATTTTCAGAGTATAAAATTTTGGAACCTTGTTTCATTCCTGCAATTAGTGTAAATTAGAACCATTGAAAAATAGCAACCTTTACAGTAATCAGCTAAGGAATGTTTTAAAAAAGGCAAAAACAATGATTTCAGTTCAATTTCAATAAGACTGACTTAAACAAAATTCTGACAATGCCCAATATTATGTGACGTAACTTTGTAGAACAGGATGCCACCATTTTGTAACAGTAATTATCTCAATCACAGAATAGATATCTAATGAGAAAGAATGACAGAGAATTTTTTTTATTATTTGGTGTTTACAATGGAATAATATGATGCATTATCAAATCCAGATTATCAAAGAGTTTGATTTCTAAAAAATTTCAATTTTTCTTTGTATTTATTTTTTCTAATTTGAAAAAATGTAATTTCTTAACTTTACACCAAACAAATCAAAATTAAAAAAGGATTTAAGCTTACTTCAAATTAGAAGATAATATGAAGTTAAAACATGGAAAACAGAGGATGTGGTGTTAATTTCAGAAGATTTACAATGGAGACCTATGATTATGAAGCTTTCCATAGAATGTAATAGCATAGATTCTTTTAAACAGTATGCCAGGTACAAACATCATCTCCTTCCAACAGTACAAACATTATCTCCTGACAACAATCAGTTACCAAAACATGATTTCCAAAGACAAATTATATTCATTTCTACACAATTTTTTCCGCAAAGTTTTACTGTATTGTATCCCTAACACTTTAAAGACAAATCCAGAAAAAAAATTTCTCAGTCCTGAACACAAGGTCATTCTACCTGTATAAAATTGTAGGTTAAATAGTATTACATGTGTCTCACCTGTATCTCCTACAATGTATTAGGTTGGCAGACAGAAGTAGCAGTAATCAAGAAAAAACGAGATATATATAGCTGTATTTGAGGAATAAGTTATCTCCCCTAATTATTTCTTAAAACGAAATACATAAAAATAACATGTGTACAATATAATGGACCATACAATAATTTCATATAATAATTTTCCCATGATTATAATTTCTTTTAAAAACAACTTTGTCAGATACAAGGAAATTGCTGTTTGGTTTTCATATTTCCAGATATACAGTGTATAAAAAAAGTAGTGAATACATCAGTAATTAATAAGGTGTACCATATGTTCCCATTTGTCTGGAATCTTTAACAACACAAGTGCCAACAGAGTTCAAAGTTTTCACAAGTAAATAAACATCACTATATTAAGCAAAATAGGAAGTAATTCCTAGAACAGTTTTTGCAAAAATTTTTTCTTGCATACAAAAATCATAAAAGCACATTACAAGTCCTGTTTAGTCCCAGACTTTATATAATCAGGACAGTCACTGCTGTAAGTTGTATGAATGATGTCTTAAGAATGCATATACACTTCCTGTAGAGTTAGATTAGATGACAATCCGTGTTCACCTTTTATAATCATACTGATCATAGGCGAGTCAATGTTGATAAAAAGAGCACGAAATTAACAGGTTCACATAGCCAGGAATCAAAATTATCATTTATTCCATGTGAAATTTCGTGCAACATATTTATCTAGTCATACTGAACACCATACGACTAGAAATAGATGTTATGGTTAAGTTAATGGCAGACATCAGGTTGAAGGAAACAGACCTACACAAATTTGACAAAACCTGTTTGAGGTAAGATTATTGAGGTTCAGCACTCTCCAAAGCCTTCTTAGGAACCACACATGTATTTTCTGGTTGTTTTATCTTCACATGAATGACAAAATGTATCCCTAGACCATAAAAGACATTCAATACCTGAATCAAAATTGAACATTTTGGCAGTCCGACTTGATTTTCTACTCAAAGGTTACATCAGAGAAAGATGAATTGGTCGTGTTGTATAAACAAAGGTTCACTTGTCCCACTTCGCATTGCTCTGAAACATTAATTTCAGTTATCTCAAAACTAAATGTTACTAAACCAAATCTCAATAGTGTCAATATCGACATTTAAGATTAACAATAGTAATATCTCCCATCCCTGAACTGGTCCTCTACTTCTCCTCACTCAATGTATACACCTAAAACCACACCTGATGCTTCAGCTTCCTACGTGGTGCGTGGAGAAGAACAAGGCGAGTCCCATTTCTCGTGTGACACACCTTCATTAAGGTGTGTGATCACCACATGTACAGCATGATATTTCTCCATCTTCGGTGGAATCAACAACTTTTTATAGGACACATGGTCACCTTCCTTTGGAACATACTCTCCGTCAATACTGAAACAATATAATATTGTAAGCTTTAACAGTATCTTAATAGTAAAAATACCTTATACAGTAATATTGTCATAAACAATAACACTGTCTCAAACAGTAAGATCATTGTTAAAAGTAACATGTACTTGACACTGTTCTAAAATTATTTGATGTATGAAAAATATGAAATTTATTTAATAATGGGTCTGTTGCATCTCCCCGCCTAGATTTTGACATTTCTTCTGATCACTTTGGATTTTTCTTAGTCACCTCCTAAGCTTCACCGACAATGACACTGACATCTGAGGAGACAGTCACATCTAAGGAGACACACTGACATCTGAGATACACTGACATATAAGACACACTGACATCTGAGGAGACAATGACATCTAAGAAGACACACTGACATCTAAGAAGATGCACTGACATCTAAGGAGACACACTGACATCTAAGAAGATGCACTGACATCTAAGGAGACACACTGACATCTAAGAAGATACACTGACATCTCAGGAGACGCACTGACATCTGAGGAGACACTGACATAAAAGGAGATACACAAACTTCTGAGGAGACAGTGACATCTAAGAAGATACACTGACATCTGAGGAGACGCACGGACATCTGATGAGACAGTCACATTTCAGGAGATACAATGACATCTGAGGAGATACACTGACATCTCAGGAGATACAATGACATCTAAGTAGACACTGATCATGACATCTGATGAGACACACTGACATCTGTGGAGACACAAATATCTAAAGAGACATCAACATATATTTAGAGATACACAATTATTTGTGGAGACCCTTACTCTGAAATGTGAACAAACAGTGGTTCTGGATCCTCTTTTTCATTCTCAGGGATGATGAAGCCATGTCCTTTCTGTCGACAAAATCTCTGCACTGTACCCTTGTAAACTTCACTTTTGGCAGCAACTTCCGACCTAAACAACAAAGTTTGTGTCAACATATTTGTTCACACTTAAATTGATTGCTATGTTCTCCAAAGCATTTTCTGCTATGATACCTATTTTTCCCTCTTCAACTACAGTACAATGCAACTCACAAGAATTAAGCACAAATTCTTGATCCATAGTCTTTATATATGTATCATAGCGACAATATTATAGTGACAATAATACATATATGGACCATGGGTACGGAACTCATACTTAGTCCCTGTGTTGCAAATAGCCATTTCCACACTGCACCTTAACGTAAAAATTGTGTAAAATAGAAACTCAAATAAATAAATGAAAAATAATAGAATAAAGAAATAAATGTTACAGACATGGTGTATGGATTTCATTCGGTTTTTTGTGTGTATTTTTCATGTATTTATGTCAACTTTAATAGAAATTGAAAAAAAAAATGAGACTAATTTCCCATAAAAGATAGAAAATAAGAAAAAAACATGGGTTTTGACAACAATGATAATCACACAATATTTATTATGTTTCATAAGGAGAATTAAGGAACTAAATAATTAATGCCATACAATAATCATAATCTGGATACACAGTTCATAAGTATGTCCCTGTATGTTTAAAAGCGATGTGGTGACAAATGTGTTTATGAGTAGTCTGTGCTGTGAGTAAACAAAAGTAATTTCAATTGTGTTTAATCCCATAAAATCTGAAGGGATGGGCTACGTTTATTACTGATCAGAAATTTTTGCAGGGTTATTTTGACTGCAGCATTCAGAGCACCGTTACCAAAGTTTTGATGAGTCCAGTTATAAAGAGATAAGTAGAGTTCTCAAAATCTGAGTGAGTCACACATGAATCCAGAACTCAAATATCCCAAAGATCACTGCTGATTGACATTTTGATATAATTAAGAAGACAATTTCTCTTTTGAACAATCTTTTAAATGACCAAGAAAAAATCCAGATTTTTTCCTTCCAATTCCTCACTCCTTCATCATACACATGATACACCCACCTGGAGTGTCACATGATCCATCTACCTGTGATGTTACATGATCCATCTACCTGTGATGTCACATGATCCATCTACCTGGGGTGTTACATGATCCATCTACCTGAGGTGTTACATGATCCATCTACCTGGGATGTTACATGATCCATCTACCTGTGATGTCACATGATCCATCTACCTGGGGTGTTACATGATCCATCTACCTGAGGTGTTACATGATCCATCTACCTGGGATGTTACATGATCCATCTATCTGTGATGTTACATGATCCATCTACCTGTGATGTTACATGATCCATCTAACTGTGATGTTACATGATCCATCTACCTGTGATGTCACATGATCCATCTACCTGAGGTGTTACATGATCCATCTACCTGAGGTGTTACATGATCCATCTACCTGAGATGTTACATGATCCATCTACCTGTGATGTTACATGATCCATACCTGTGATGTTACATGATCCATCTACCTGTGATGTTACATGATCCATTTACCTGGGGTGTTACGTAATCTAATCACCAAGGATGTTACATGATCCAACCACCTAGGGTGTAACCTTTACCCTGCTATAACCTTTACCCTTTGTTACCTTTACTCTTGAACTTTGTAACTTTTACCCTGCTTCAATCATAACCCTGCAGTAACCTTTACCCCTTAACTCTGTGACCTTTACCCCTAAGGTCTGTAAACTTTATAAATTTTCTCTGCTGTAAACTTGACCCTCTATAAAGTTTACCCCTAAGTGCTATTACCTTTGATCTCAAACTGAGTTACCTTCATCCCAATGTAACCTTCACCTCACTGTAACCTTTACCCTCTGTAATCTTTACCCCTAAGACATGTAACCTTTACTCTGATGTAACTTTCACCCCAATGTCACCTTTATACTTCTGTATTCTTTATCCTGTAGTAACCTTTCCAATGTTACATTTTCCTGCGTAACTTTCAGCTATGATGACCTTTACCCTCTGTGACCTTTGTTCCACTGTAAACTTAACTGGGGTAACTTCTTCCTCTTGTTAGTGATGGGAAATCAGTTAAAATCAATAACTGATTATTGGTTAACTTGATTTCTTGATATAGTTAATAAACAAAATCGGCTGACTGTGTGTTCAATATTCATAAAAAAAAGATGTGTTTTGCGGCAATAGTATTTTCTTTTTTGTAATTTTAACCTAAAATACCTACTTACAGAGAATTTACATATTAACAATGATTATTATTGGCAATAAGCATCTTTAATATGTGCAATGTACAAATTTTGTTTTTGCTAAAATACAAGAAAATATTAGGTACTGATGGTCATTTATAAAAAGTTGAAATTGATCATCGAATTTGGACAAAGTGAAATGATAAGGTAATCAATAATATTTGATCACTGTCCCAACATTACCTGCTGTAGCCATCAGCTACTTTAACCTTTCACTGCAGTATTTTTCACCCACCATACTTTTTTTATGTGTTGCAACATTTAACAGATGTAGCCTTCACCTACGCAAGTGTGTGACCAGAATTAGCACACATAGTTTATAATTTCACACATATACCACAGAAACAATATAAATTTCCTGTCTTACTCACTGGGATTGCGTTCTGGCTCGGCGGGTCGGGATGGGACTTGGAATCAGGAAACCATGCCTTGGCGAACCTGCTAGAATTGCATTATTAACTGCTTGACCTTGTGGCATGTCCATGTTGCTATAATACAAACAAAATTAAAATACTCATGAATAATGTATAGTACACTGTGGATATTCCACAACAAGAAATATTAGCTCATTCCTGTGTGAAGCAATTTTGATCGTACAATGATACCATCTCGCCATCTGTAAGTTCTGCACTAGATGGAATTTCCTTTTGGTTTGATCAGTAGAGTAGTGGACGAGTATGTTACATCCAATAGTCGTGTCAGTATTCATCTTGATAACTGGAGGACTATTGAATTCTGAACTGATGTCTTATATTTCAACCCATTATAATAAAAGTGCCATCATAATATCATTGAGTGTAATGATTAACAAACCATTTCCAGTTGGTGGTTTGATTGGGCTAGGCGAGATTGCAAGGAACACGCAGGGCTCTCGATCTGCCAAATTTGGGGCCGAATCCAATGCAAAATAGTATCTTTTTTTTCCCAATTTAGACCCCAAGTTTTCCCAATTTTAAGGAAAACACCTCTATTTTTCCCCAATTCTAAGGGCCCTGGGCCCCAGTCCCCAAATGGGGTGTGAGAGCCCTGACACAGGTCAGTGAATTACATGGTAATAGATTGTAACAATGTTTGACACTTTACTGACAGCAAGTGTGGTACCAAATTGGTTAAATGGTGAACAACTATATATATATAACTACGGGTCACAAGTTTGATCATTACTCACTTTCTTATAGCAGTCAATACCTTGAAATATCAGTTCAAACATAACAATTTTTTGTTATTAACCTTCAATGTCACATGACTCTAAGGTCAATATATTTGTGATCATCCTTATTTTCAAAGAGCTAAATGGTGACTAATTATAAATACATTTAGGCTGTGATAAATATACCAATGTTCCATATCTCCCTCACGAATATGCCAATATGAAATGCTAAATGTAAGCAAAAAAATACAACAGCTGTTTGTGGCTTTGCATTTTCCATATCAATCTTACATGTCATCCATCATAACCCAAAATAGTTCTAACTCTGAATTTATCTCACCAATATCTAAACATGGGAACACACCCTCTTTTCTGCGTGGTTTTGTTTGGGTAGGATCACATAAACAAATGCCAAATTGGTACAAATACATTACACAGTAAGATTTCCATCAAGTGATAACGTTACTATTGTTAACTTTCTTACCCAATATGGAAATCAAATACGATAAGCAACAGATATAAGCGCCGGATGTAGCCTATGTAAACACGATAAAGGAAATCAAATATGGCGGCCTCGGCATGGGGAATAGAAGCTGGAATACAAGAGATAGTGAAGAAGAAACGTATTATGATATGTTTGAGTTCGGAAAAGTAAATTACCGATTAAAATCAAAGGAACATCTACACTCTCACTGTATAAGGTCACCTATTAGCAGCATACAGTTTGTTTATTATAAAAGATACATATCGTTTGGAGAGTATTGGTTTCTTCGATCTAGGTTATTTGTATGATTGCTAGAAAAGGCAAGGCTAAAACCAGAATTACCGTCAAAATGTAATTGAAATATTGTGTATTCTTAATAAAGAGGTTTTAAATCATACTACAGAAAGCAAGTATATCGAAAAACACATCATGTAAATAAAAACATTAGCCCGTATTCAGAATTACATAATTGATTTCTAGAGCAGGACGAAAATACACTATTCATATGATCTCGTATGTCGTCGTACCCGGAAAATTATTTCAAGCGCCTAATTAACGGGACAGTATAATTCACAAACGGGGAGAAAACGTGCAATGTCTGCCGCTATAACACAGCAGTGTTTACAATTGTTTGACGACGATTTGGTTGACGGTAATGTTTGATGATAATTCCGTTGACGATAAAATTTATGATTTTTCCCACGTCAATCACGATTTTAGTCTTTCTGGCAACTGTTCTAGACTAAAGTTGTTTATTTATGAAACAGGAACGGACCTTCTGGCCCAATTTAGCTTTATGACGAAGCTTGTACGGCATGGATCTTTCACTTTAACCACATCAGAAATGTGAATTTGACAGTAACATGCTAATGATATTTTGATTTATAATACCTTGAAATGCATTGCCATTATAATTCAACATAGTTCTAATGAATGTCCACACATCCCCTCCATTTTTTACTGGCAGAACAAAATATAAAAGTCGATATAAGTTGGGCACCGGCCCTTGAAGGAATTTCTTCTCTGTATCTAAGTGCTGAAGTGTGTGTATGATGAAAGGTAAAGTTCTTGTCTTGTCAAGGGGCAGAGAGTTTGATTAATCTTAGCTCAATGTGTGTTATAACAGTCACAGTCACTCTAGCAATCTAAAGACATTTAAAATAAACACGGAAATTTTTATCTCAATATCCTTGAAAAATTATCTATTTAACAGGTTATACGTCTACTTTCGGCCTTTCAGTGAACAAGTTCCTTAAAAAGTTAAACTTTTACATACACGTTCAGCCTCTCAGTGGACAAGCTCCTTAAAAAGTTGTTAAATGTTCACTTATTACAGGCCCAGGTTGAATTGACAATAGTTGGTTTGAATATTGCTTAGGTGATGGGACCAGTACATCAAGATCCCGAGTGGAATGTAAGGGTTCAAAGACAAATAGTAAGAAAGGTGTCCAGAAGAGGCGTCAGCTGTTAAAAAAACAGCAAAAGAGAAGACAAGAAGAAAATTTAATCAAGAAAAATAAAATATTTGTAAAATCAACAATAGGTTTGTAGTATTTACCGGGATGATTTTTTTATTTTTCTCCATTCTTATTACATTATTGTTTTATTTTGTTGATGTAGAATTTTCAAAACATATAAATAAAGTGCTATCAGTTGTATTATGATCATTGTCAGATTGCGTGTGTTAAGGTACATCTTATACCACAAGCAACTCATGTATGACAGCCATTTCTTTAGGGATTACTTAATTTGTAAGTCTCACAATGTAGCAACAATTGTTATTTTGAAGGCTGAAAGGTACCTTGGTATATATGATCCAAAAAACAAAATTATCAATATTTTCTCTTAACTGAAGCTCACTTTACTCTTGTGGATGTGGTCCAACAAAACTGTATACCAATAAGAGTTGATAGTAATTTTGTCCAACAAGGAACTGTTAGTAGATAACAAAGAAAATAAGAAAATTACATTATTTTTTTTTATCTTTTTAGAGGAATTCAAGCAACAGCAAGCTGAGGACTTAACAAATGAAAGTTTGAAAAGGATCCAAGAAATGTCTCGTGTTTGTAAAACATCATCAAAAGTCACACATACAGTATGTATCCATTTAAATGTCTCTTCTGTTTATTATCAGACTACTCTTCATTCATGTACATTTTATCTGGCTTTATTATAAAGTATTATTAATTTTAATTGCAAAATCTTATGTAAAATTATCTGCACTTTTTGTTTGGTCTAATTGCTTGTGGCATTTAATCATGATTACTGTCGTGTATAACATTTTTTGATGTAAAAAAAGTGCATAACAAAACCATGAATCGTTCACTCACCAAGTCTAATTTTAACAACCATGTAATAGGAAACATTCTTATTATTGTTTAGCCTTAAACATGTCCCTAGAAAACAGGATGAATTCATCTACACAGAACAGGGAGTGTGTTGGTAACCTAAGTAAAGTACATGTATTTGTACATTTCCTACTATACTGACAGAGTGGAAGTTCTCTGTAGGTCGTGTGATCCAGGATTATTAATTCTTTGTTGGTCATGTGATCTTAGATTATTGATTTTCAGTAGACCATGTGATAAATGATTGTTAATACTCAGTAGGACATATGATCCAGGATTATTCAAGCTCTGTAGGTCATGTGATCCAGGTTTATTAATTCTTTGTAGGTGATGTGGTCGGAGATTAATTCTCTGTAGGTCATGTGGTCTAGGATTATTAATTCTCTGTAGGTCATGTGATCTAGGATGATTGATTCTCTGTAGGTCATGTGATAAAGGATTATTAATTCTCTGTAGGTCATGTGATCCAGGTTTATTAATTCTTTGTAGGTCATGTGATCTAGGATGATTGATTCTCTGTAGGTCATGTGATAAAGGATTATTAATTCTCTGTAGGTCATGTGATCCAGGTTTATTTATTCTTTGTAGGTCATGTGGTATGAGATTAATTCTCTGTAGGTCATGTGGTCTAGGATTAATTCTTTGTAGGTCATGTGATCTAGGTTTATTAATTCTCTGTAGGTCATGTGGTCTGGGATTAATTCTCTGTAGGTCATGTGATCTAGGATGATTGATTCTCTGTAGGTCATGTGATAAAGGATTATTAATTCTCTGTAGGTCATGTGATCCAGGATTATTAATTCTTTGTTGGTCATGTGATCTTAGATTATTGATTTTCAGTAGACCATGTGATAAATGATTGTTAATACTCTGTAGGTCATATGATCCAGGATTATTCAAGCTCTGTAGGTCATGTGATCCAGGTTTATTAATTCTTTGTAGGTCATGTGGTATGAGATTAATTCTCTGTAGGTCATGTGGTCTAGGATTAATTCTCTGTAGGTCATGTGATCTAAGATTATTGATTCTCTGTAGGTCATGTGATCTAGGTATATTAATTCTTTGTAGGTCATGTGGTATGAGATTAATTCTCTGTAAGTCATGTGGTCTAGGATTAATTCTCTGTAGGTCATGTGATCTAAGATTATTGATTCTCTGTAGGTCATGTGATCTAGGTATATTAATTCTCTGTAGGTCATGTGATCCAGGATTATTCATTCTTTGTAGGTCATGTGGTCTAGGATTATTAATTCTCTGCAGGTCATGTGATCTGATCCAGGTTTATTGATTTGTAATGGACAAAATATAACGACAGTGAAGAAATCTGTGTATTACCAGCCTGTGTCTTTACTTACAGATTGTTCAGCATAACAACGGAAAATTGGCCAAGAATATCCCAACACCAGTGACTCAACAAGAATCTAATACAGTGTTTACAGATAGAGACTTTGACAAATTTGAACAAGAATATGATTTTTTCTCTTGAAATTAAAAATCTTTGTCTGAAAAATTCTCTTTTGTGGCTTGTGTGAAGATATTACAAAATGTAGAGGCCTAAATACATACAATCATATCAGAAGAGGCAAGATGAACATTTGTCACCAATAATAGGACACTGCTAGGTGACATAAATAACAAGAGGCACAATAAGCCTGCATTACTTACCTGGTATTCAATACTTTTCACAAATACAAAGATATCCCATCATTGAAATTCAGTCATGATCATTGAGAAGTTGTTTGACTGTTTTAACAAATTCAACCCATGTGACCTTGAAAATGGATCAATAACCTTTTTCCTACAAACTTGTCGAGCCTCATGCATAGAATGTTTCAGCAAAATATCATGATTCTAAGCCATTTGGTCATTGTGAAGAACTTGTTAAAGGATTTCATTAAATTTGAGCCCGGTGACCTTGAATGTGGGTCAAGATCACTGCTTCATTCAAGGAGCCTTCCAGCCAAACATTATGATTCTAGGCCTTTGGGTTTACACAACACCTACCAGTTCACACCATCAAGAAGTAGTTGGCCTGTACAAAACAATAAACTCAGCTATTTGTATCACAGAAATTTTTATTTTTAATTCCATTTGTATGTGGTTATGAAATCATCCTCTCATAAATATATATGTAGATAGGGAACTTGTACCCATAGGTGTAGCACTGAAGTTCAAAACCTACGGAAAGTTCTGCAACTAGACCAAACAGAAGACTTTTCATACTCTTTGTGTATACATCACGACTCGTTTCTGGGACATCTTTTAAAAAAAAAAGTCTTAAAACTTGACAACGGAATTCCAAATGCAAATATATGTCATTTTAAATGCACTTCAAAGTCTTGAATTAGAATAATGTAGTTCCAGACTTCAACGTCACTTAGTGTAGCACTGTGGTATAGCAATTGTCACTTAGTGTAGCACTATGGGATAGCAGATATCTTGTGTCTGTATCCAAAATCTACAGGTTTGTATGCATATATGTATCTGACACCCAGAAAAGTATCAGTGTACCAGAACTTGTAAATAACTAATGACAATATGAGGAATTTGCAGCAATGGAATCTGTAAAAATACAAATCTTTAGTTCCACAACAGAACATCAACATATGTTATCTATGATTATCACCTCTGACAGGTCATTGCTAACACAAACAAACTTGTTGATTACAGATCTATGATGATCCCTCAGAGCAACAATGACTAACTCATAATGACTTCTTTCCTCGGAGTCTTCCCGCTACACTGAATAAGCACTTTCTATGGATTGTTAAATTTTGTTCTCTTTATGTAACTTCCATATCCGAGTGAGTATCACTTTTGATATAAATGTCTCATTTTGAGTACATTTGCACCATTGTTTAAGTATCCATTAATATCCTTGACCCTTGGTAGAACTTCCAGGTAATTCATCTTCATGCATTCCTGAACTCTGAAAGCACCACAAAACATATTTTCATTTCTCAATAAAAAAAAGATGCTGATTGAACACACAAATACTTTACATACATGGCTAATTCCCATTAACATAAGGCCACAAAACAAGTAAGCAGTGAAATATTACAAACGACTTGCACGCCATGTTCAACAAGCTTTTGCTTAACAATTTGGGTGGTGATTCTGTGATTGGCCTTAAGACTTTCTCCTTTTCTACATTTGTGGGTTCACTTCTATTTCTGAAATACTAACCTTTTGTATATATTGTGGGTTTACCTCTATTTCTGAAATATTTTACTTTTTGTACATATTGTGGGTTCACCTCTATTTCTGAAATACTTCACTTTTTGTACATATCGTGGGTTCACCTCTATTTCTGATATTCTTACCTTTTGTACATATTGTGGGTTCACCTCTATTTCTCGATCCATCTCCTTTAATTTCTCATCTAGTTGCATACATTTCTGCATCTAAAAATGAAGAAAACACTAATTTTCATCTTAGATATTCATTTGTCGACAAATATACTTTAGAAAACATTCCTAAATATACTGGTATACCTGTATTTATATCATAAATATTGGTATAGCAATACCTGTGTTTTTGCCTACAACAAATTTTGGTCCACAGATACTGGTACCCTGGGTTCATTAATTTGTAACTGTTACACATGTACTGGCCACCTACCTCTTTGTCTATCTGGGCTAACACAGCGGCACTCTTGTACTGTTCAGGGTTGTCATGGAAGCGAACCATGCCATCTTTTTGATTAATTGTAGCGTAGATTTCACCATCTTCAATCTAAAAATTAAATTGGTATACAATAGAATTTTATCATGCTTCTTCTGTTCAGTACAATTAAATTTATCTTTGGAATTGGGTAGGGTTCTTCCTCTGTTGATATCATTACTAAAAACTTAATGTAATTGATGGCGCTGACCAATGTGTAAATATATGTGACACTAGATAAGAGACTGTACTGACTTTGGGATATCTTTTACGTTGGGTAAATATTTTCAGTACTGTAAAACTATTTATTTTCATAGAAATTATAATTTTCATAGATTCCACAAGCTTTTTTTATTCTCTGATTTATCTGTAAGTGAACTACATTATCATTTTAGCTCTAGTGGATTTTGTGAGTACAATTTCAACTGCAAAATTTGAGCCCCACGAAAACATAGGATCTTACATTAGATAAAATATTCCTTCAAACATGTAAAAAAAAATTTCTTTGTAAGCGAATGAAAAACATCTAGCAATACTAGTCCAAGAGCAGCAAAAGAGTAACAATATTGAAAAGAAAAAAGGCCTTTATCAACTTGCTGAAGAAAATGATCATTTTTAGAATATCTGAAAGCATCTTGGACAAGAAACGGCACAATTTTCTCTATTTGAATCAAAAATTGACTAAAAATGAATGTCATTAGTGGTTAAAAACTGAAGTGCTCTTTTAGAAAAGAAGTTTTTCACTGAAAAAATATAATGGCTGAAAACCTAATGCCACAAAACAGTAACATTTCAGTCTCCTGTGTTAGCATGTCACAGGTATAATTAGAATAAGGTGTTGTAGCTTTAAAAAAATTGTATATGTACAGACAGAATGCTCACATACCATGTGTAAGACATATTTCTCAGCCTCCTTCGGTCCAGAAAGTTGAACTCTATTGGCCATGTCAGTTAACGATAAAGTTAAAAATGTCTGAAAATTAAAACAAACAGAGTAAGCTGTGATAACAAAACCATGAAAGAGCCAGACCCACTCCATTATAGATATTTTTTTTCATATTTTATTGACTGGAAATGTTGTTGTATACTAATAGATAATATATGAATAAAGACTTGTATAACGTTTCGAACTTGAAATTGAAAGGGTACCGGAGATATCGGTGCCGGAATAAGTCTCATTAATCAACACCAGGATATGAATGTTGATGAGGAAAGTCATGTGATACATTCAGACGCGGTCAGGACCAAAACAAAAATGGAGGAAGAGGCAAGTAGTACGTCCATGTGACATCGCTTGTAAAGAGATTTTACCGATAAATGCAATCAATACTCTATACACTGGAATGGAAATGGTATGGAAATCTTCTAATGTATGTATTGATCACATCTTTCAATGCTTAGATATTCTAAAGCGAATATTTGATGATAAGAGTATTTATGAATATGATTTTAGAGTGATACTACATGAGAGAACCAAACAGAGAGCGATACAGAGTATGAACCAGCCATTTTCCTTCTTTTCACCTCAGTGTCTGTCAAAACACGTTTTCTTCCCCCGCTTCCCTCACACGCTTTCTGCCATGTTGGAATATGGCAGATTTATTTACAGTTCTTTGCGCATGTGTCAGAGGGCAGTACTTCCCACGTAATTATGAATTAGCACCGAGTCGTTTCTAATTCTTTTTTAAAACCGTTTATTACATAAGATTGGTAGCGATTTACTTTAAAATTGCGGCATTACAGGGTTAGAACTTTTGCTACCCGAGAAAAATAGAAAATCATGCCTTTTTTTTTATATAAAATAATATTGGTCGAGGAGTGGGTCTAGCTCTTTAAACATGTATCAACTGTATCCTGCAATAGGCCAAGTAGCCAACATACTCTTACTCAGGGGGTCGGCTTATTACAGGACACTCAAATGACACTGCTTTGTAATTTTACTGAAAGACAACTGATATAGGTGGGCTAATTACCAGACATGGGCTTATTGCTAGATAAATACAGTAAATCTCATGGTCTGGTGTAAGTATAAGGCCATGTTAGAAACAAGCACTAGTTTTCATTTTTTTTTTCCATTTCCGAGGACAGATCACTGTTTGATATCAATGAAGGTTAGTCTTGATCCAGAGGTACCTACCTTGGTAAGTCGTTGAATATTTTTTTTGAACATTGATGTGATACACTGTTTAACCAGGCCCATGTTGTTGTCCTGTAAAACAATGAATGACAAATATAATGTAATAAACCAACTGCAATTCAGATACTGATAGTTCATCATTTACCATTCCATACAGCACAAGGAACTCTTCTTTTATCAGCAAAAGTGTCAATTTCTAGCTCAAACTGTGATAACAAGGACTTAATATGCACAAATGATTTCCAGAGGGCTGTTAATCAGGTGAGAGAGAAAAACATCAGGCGTTCTGGAATGCTAAGTATGTTCTGTTTCACTGACATCTCCTGACCAGTGAAGCCAGACCAAACTTGAGTATGAGTTAATTACTTACCCTTATAAAAACTTCCACATGTTTTGTTACAGTTGTGTGTAGATCTGCGGGATTGTTTGAAGCATAAATAGAAGCTAGGTCATGGTACGACTGACACAGGGGCTGTCAACGATAAAGACTGTCTTTGTTACACCTCCATTACAAAAGTATGACAAGCAAACAGAAATAATGATGAAAGCAATATCATTTGGAGAAAAAAAATGACCTTTGACCTATGATGAGGTTAGAAAAGGGCTATAAATTTTTATGAGAGTGTTACCGCCTAGAATCATAGTGAAGACAATAAAAAAAATAATTTAATACTGTAACATAAGGTTGTCTGACCATGCTAGAGATACAAAACAGCTACTAATTTGTCTCTTTATCACTAGTAAATTATTGGAAATTCCGAAATTTTATGTGTCAGCAAATATTCCAAGACAGAGTTAAAAACAGGCCTCTGATTAAAGTATATGGGTTCTAGTAATGACAGTGCAGATTACTTACTTTAATATACCTGGCAACAACTGGTGATGTGTATTTAGGAACATTGGGAACCTGAGGACCAAACAGTATGAGATATAAGCTCTCAAACACAACAACACATATAAACATTCAGTGATATTTTTACAGCAAGAATTTCTTAATGTCATTGTACTGGTGTAAAATTGTAACAATGTGGAGCTTGGAACACCAACTGATGTATCTTTTTAATTTTTTATCCGTCTTCACACGTATGGACTAAAACTTCTCTTTAGTGCATCATTCATAGTACAGATCGGGATCTTGGAACACAGCATGAACATCCCGAGGACGACCGATTCTCCACGTGACACTCTCGCTCAATGGAATCTGACCTCTGACCAATCAAAGACTACTTACTTTTCCATGTAAAATGAGAGCTGTGAGGATGTATTTTTTATAGGCTTCCAACATAATGTGGCTGACAGCCATGCTTGGAGTTGTGACCACCTAGGTAATAATAAAAAAGCATGAAATTTTACATGGTGTCGGTGATGAAACCACAAACAATTTTTACAATCATGTACATATTAGGAAGCATCAATATAAGAAAGACCTTGAGAAAAATCTGCAGCTTTTTAAAGTTATTTTATAATTGGAATTTCATTATTTTTGAGAGCAATTTATTTTCTCGATATTTTTATTTTTCAATGAGCTTTTAATACTTAGAACACACAGAACTGGTGATGTGAAACTTTGTTTTCACATTTCTGGGTTACCGCCCATCATTCATATTATCACCATTAAGCAAATCATACCTTTTTTCATGAATATGTGCAGAGCAACTGACCTCTGTACTATATCATACCTCATAATTCATGATTATAATCATCATTTTAGATCCTGTCCTATCAAGCTAAAATAGCATTTTTGTTGTTTAACATTCAGGGCACAAATCCCTGATACAGGCATTAAATATTTACTTTCTGGTAGACCAAACCATAATACAAAAACCATGTAAGTGACATGTAGTATATACACAATCTCAGGCCTTTAACTTACAAACAGGTACCATGACTTAGTAAAACCCATATCAAATTTTGATGAACCCAGGCATTACCAAACTAATCCAAGACAGAGACTAACTCCGTAACTTACAAACAGGAACCATGACTTCGTAAAACCCATATCAAATTTTGATGAACCCAGGCATTACCGAACTAATACAAGACAGAGACTAACTCCGTAACTTACAAACAGGAACCATGACTTAGTAAAACCCATATCAAATTTTGATGAACCCAGGCATTACCGAACTAATACAAGACAGAGACTAACTCCGTAACTTACAAACAGGAACCATGACTTAGTAAAACCCATATCAAATTTTGATGAACCTAGGCATTGCAGTGCTAATCTAAGACAGAGACTTGTTCTACAGATCCTTTTTCCCTCCAAAGAATTCAATGCTAATTTTTTAAAATGGTTTTTAATCATGATTTAAGGATATATAAACAATGCACTGAATGTCAAGGTCAATCCTCACACGATGAAAAAGTGTTGTTTGCTTGTAGGTGATTTGAGAGCTCCAGTCTATTCTTGAAACCTCTATTTAAAGCAAGATTATATTTCTGCAGGAGTCACATACCCACAATAATGATTACAATGCAAAGTGTTCACTCAACCTAATTAATGACCTCATATATATGTATATACACACACAATTTTATATATCATACAACTGTAAAATGCCCAGTTTATGTTCTGATCCTGTGATCAGAATTTCTTTCATAAAGCTCTTCGCTGTAGTGCTCGTACTTACAATTTCATACATATAGAGTGCTCGGTCGTAGTTTTTAAGGGCCGTGTAGATCATTCCACCATAGTAATAATAAAGTAGGAAATCCTTAGCATCATAATGTCCTCCCTGTAATTACAAACAAAATCTCACATTATACATCACAGAAAAATACGGGATAAAATCTTATACATCACAGAAAAATACGGGACAAAATCTTATACATCACAGAAAAATACGGGACAAAATCTTACACATCACAGAAAAATACGGGATAAAATCTTACACATCACAGAAAAATACGGGACAAAATCTTGTACATCACAGAAAAATACGGGATAAAATCTTGTACATCACAGAAAAATACGGGATAAAATCTTGTACATCACAGAAAAATACAGTACAAAATCTTGTACAAAATCACATCACAGAATAATACAGTACAAAATCTTGTACATCACAGAAAAATACAGTACAAAATCTTGTACATCACAGAATGATACAGCACAAAATCTTGTACATCACAGAAAAATACGGGACAAAATCTTGTACATCACAGAAAAATACGGGACAAAATCTTGTACATCACAGAAAAATACAGTACAAAATCTTGTACATCACAGAAAAATACAGTACAAAATCTTGTACATCACAGAATGATACAGCACAAAATCTTGTACATCACAGAGAAATACAGTACAAAATCTTGTACATCACAGAAAAATACAGCACAAAATCTTGTACATCACAGAAAAATACAGTACAAAATCTTATACATCACAGAAAAATACGGGACAAAATCTTGTACATCACAGAAAAATACGGGACAAAATCTTGTACATCACAGAAAAATACGGGACAAAATCTTGTACATCACAGAAAAATACAGTACAAAATCTTGTACATCACAGAATGATACAGTACAAAATCTTGTACATCACAGAATAATACAGTACAAAATCTTGTACATCACAGAAAAATACAGTACAAAATCTTGTACATCACAGAAAAATACAGTACAAAATCTTGTACATCACAGAATGATACAGCACAAAATCTTGTACATCACAGAAAAATACAGTACAAAATCTTGTACATCACAGAAAAATACGGGACAAAATCTTGTACATCACAGAAAAATACGGGACAAAATCTTGTACATCACAGAAAAATATGGGACAAAATCTTGTACATCACAGAAAAATACAGTACAAAATCTTGTACATCACAGAATGATACAGTACAAAACCTTATACATCACAGAATAATACAGTCCAAAATCTTGTACATCACAGAAAAATACAGGACAAAATATTGTACATCACATAAAAATACGGGACAAAATCTTGTACATCACAGAAAAATACGGGACAAAATCTTGTACATCACATAAAAATACGGGACAAAATCTTGTACATCACATAAAAATACGGGACAAAATCTTGTACATCACATAAAAATACGGGACAAAATCTTGTACATCACAGAAAAATACAGTACAAAATCTTGTACATCACAGAATAATACAGTACAAAATCTTGTACATCACAGAAAAATACGGGACAAAATCTTGTACATCACAGAAAAATACGGGACAAAATCTTGTACATCACAGAAAAATACGGGACAAAATCTTGTACATCACAGAATAATACAGTACAAAATCTTGTACATCACAGAATGATACAGTACAAAATCTTGTACATCACAGAATGATACAGTACAAAACCTTATACATCACAGAATAATACAGTCCAAAATCTTGTACATCACAGAAAAATACGGGACAAAATCTTGTACATCACAGAATAACATAGAATAAAATTTCACATTATACATCACAGAATCTTGTTAAATATGAAAAAAATAGAGATTATAGACAGATGAAGCACAGATATTGAGTATAATGAAACATACATGTAAATCATTTCATCATATTCAATGCTGTAGTATTTGAGAAGAAATCTCCAGTAGCTAATGCGTTTTGCCATTCCTTATCAACTAACATTATGCAGAAAGTGATGTGTACAACACCTACCTCTTTACTGATGTCTGTGATGTCGACATCCAGGAATTGTAACGCTGGTTTCATATTCTTAGACAGAAGACAGAGCTGTAATATAAAGTCAGGAATACATGTATAATTGTAACCTTGTTACTCCGGACATCTTTGTTCCTGGGTCAGGATCTGGATTGCATGTTTTAAGGACTGCTGCTTTTGGTCAAACAACCCAGTCAAAATGGAATTTTGTCCCTCAAGCATGCCATTAATACATTACAGATTATCATTTCTGGACTATCAAATGTCAAATTTTTTGTACATTCTAATTCAATTTTTTAATTTTTTTTTCAAATTAAGAGCTATTCATAAATAAAAAACTGCTAAAAAGTCTTTATTTATTTATCTTTTATTTATTTATCAGTTGTTTTACATCCTAATAACAGCCAGAATCATTTAAGGATGTGCTTGGTTTGGTGGTGGAGGAAAGTCGAAGATCTGAGAGAAAAAACAGTGATCTATGGGAAGTTCCTGGCAACTGCCCCATGTAGGTCTTAAACCTGCAACCCAGAGCTGGAGGGCTACTGACAAAGACAGCCTGATGCTTTAATTACTTGTCCATCATGGCCCGAAATAAAATAAAATTTGTTATCATCTTTGTACATCATAAGTCAAGGACAAGATGATTATTTTTTAGACTTCTAAGTGTGATATCTAGTATTTATTTTACTTAGAGTGACCATATGTGAAATTAAATACACCATGTTTTATATGCTATATGCATTTTGACAGCTGAAACCAGTATAGATCAGCATGTGTTTTGACAGTTGACACCAGTATAGATCGGTATGTGTTTTGACAGTTGACACAAGTATAGATCAGCATGTGTATTGACAGTTGACAACAGTACAGATCAGTATGTGTTTTGACAGTTGAAACCAGTAAAGATAAGCATGTGTTTTGACAGTTGACACCAGTATAGATCAGTATGTGTTTTGACAGTTGACACCAGTATAGATCAGTATGTGTTTTGACAATTGACACCAGTGTAGATCAGTATGTGTTTTGACAGTAGACACCAGTATAGATCAGCATGTGTTTTGACAGTTGACTTCAGTATAGATCAGCATGTGTTTTGACAGCTGACACCTGTATAGATCAGTATGTGTTTTGACAGTTGACACCAGTATAGATCAGTATGTGTTTTGACAGTTGACACCAGTATAGATCAGTATGTGTTTTGACAGTTGACACCAGTATAGATCAGTATGTGTTTTGACAGTTGACACCAGTATAGATCAGCATGTGCTTTGACAGTTGACACCAGTACAGATCAGTATGTGTTTTGACAGTTGAAACCAGTAAAGATAAGCATGTGTCTTGACAGTTGACACCAGTATAGATCAGTATGTGTTTTAACAGTTGACACCAGTATAGATCAGCAAGTGTTTTGACAGTTGACACCAGTATAGAACAGCATTTGTTTTGACAGTTGACACCAGTATAGATCAGTAAGTGTTTTGACAGTTGACACCAGTACAGATCAGTATGTGTTTTGACAGTTGAAACCAGTAAAGATAAGCATGTATTTTGACAGTTGAAACCAGTATAGATCAGTATGTGTTTTGACAGTTGACACCAGTATAGATCAGTATGTGTTTAGACAGTTGACTCCAGTATAGATCAGCATGTGTTTTGACAGTTGACACCAGTATAGATCAGTATGTGTTTTGACAGCTGACACCTGTATAGATCAGTATGTGTTTTGACAGTTGACACCAGTATAGATCAGTATGTGTTTTGACAGTTGACACCAGTATAGATCAGCAAGTGTTTTGACAGTTGACACCAGTATAGATCATTATGTGTACATGGTACCCCTCACCAATATATGCTTGTTTTGGGTAGGATAGATGTTTTATTGGAATAGTGTGAAGTACAAGTTTATCTATCTGTTTCCCTAATTCTCATCGGTCAATAATGAAAATGTATAGAGGTGTGCTTACTTACCTGACACAAGTCGGCGTGTATAGAGGTGTGCTTACTTACCTGACACAAGTTAGCATGTATAGAGGTGTGCTTGCTTACCTGACACAAGTCGGCGTGTATAGAGGTTAGCTGAGACTCAAATAGTTGTATTTTGTTGATGGACTTTGTCAGGATACTGATGCCTCTCATTGGCTGTTTTTGTTCCACAAGATTAACCGTCAGCTTATGACACAAATCTGAATCTGAAATATAAAATATCAATGAAAACACAACAGTTGACTTGTCCGTGGATTTACTGAAAGTCCTTCGAGTCTTATGTAACGTGAATTTACTTTTTTTCTTTTCTTATTTCAGCATTTGCACATATCCAATGATAATACCAAAGAAGTTAGGATTATATTTTCCCAAAATTTCATTTTGTAATATCAACCACTGTACAATTTGGACAATTTCTAATTTTGATTTGCAAAATTTCTTTTGAATCACTGCAGTGGTTTCAAGATGTCAGAAATATAAAAATGTTAACCGGTAAAAAAATATTTTTCAATAACCAGTCAATTAAACCTTTGGGATTTCAAATTAAATAATGTTATTTTTTCCCCTGAATTCATACAGGCACAAGCAGCTATAAATTTTAGGTAAAAAAAAATACAAAACAAAACATATTGCTACAAGGATCCAGTAAAACAATCTAGGCCATTATCATTGTGTTTCCATAGGGACAATGGTACATTTAGGACAAGATCTAAAACTACAAACACTTTCATCTGTTTAGTTACATATATAAAAACTATTATAGAACAATCACAAGAATATCTTATCCCTCAACATCTCTCACTCATTAGTCAATTCCGATCAATGTATTTTTTGCTTCGGAATCATAAGTATATTCTAATTTGTTCAAATCTCATTAACTTCCTCTGAAATGCCATTCCAATTAGTGATGGGAAATTACCCGGTAGTTCAAATTCTTAATTGATCATCGCTGACTGAGTGTTTAATGAATATTCATAGGAAGTTAATACATTCTTCCTTAAGGTAATATTTTCTTATTTTGTAACTTTAAGCTAAAATACCTTATTTACCTAGAATTTGCATAAGAATAAATATCATTGGCAATCAGAATCTTTATTATGCATATTATGAATTTTGTTCTTGCTAAAACGCAAGCAAATATCAAGGTACAAAATACTGATCATGAAAAATCACTATCGATCATTGCATCAGATGGAGTTACACTATTATAAAATCAATCATATTTTATCATCATCCCCTCACTAATTCCAATGAGCTCAGATATTATAATTTACTTTTATTTCATTGGTTAAAATCTTCATCATGTACTTCGTACTTGTTAATTTGACTGTGATTTAGGTTTTATTTTATTTCCATTTCATTTGTTTTCTCTTGCTTTATATCAGAACTTACAACTGTCTGTAGCGTATCGTACATGTTCTCCATTACAACTGTTGATGAATTCCTGAGTTTGTACAAACAACGTCTCAAAATCAGGAATGTTCGGCATGTTGTACTTCACACATCTGGAAAAAAAACCACAATCATTTCATCATGTTTTAAGGAGAAAAATCTAAAAATGATATGAAGATATTTGTTTACCCATGTAATTTAAACAATGCAATTTTTTCACATACTACAAGCATACATATTTTGTACCGAAAGTATTTTACTTAAACGTGATTGCAATAGCTGTAGTTTCTATATGTTGTCTATTTATCATTGTGGTAATTTGCCAAAATGTGATGATGCATTAAAATTTCACTGCTTCAAATTAAGTACATCTAAATACAGTAAAATGCAGCATTGAATTTATCAAACATACTGTCATATACAGCGACAAAAAGGGGGAAAAAGATATTTCAAAGATCTTGTTTCAAATTTTGTATATAAACAACTACACAATGTCAGTACTTATACATAAACCCTACCAACCCAAAATGAAACTTACACAAAACTACAAAACATATCAAATTAATATTAAACACATAAAATTTTCAAAATCTAATATTAACATACAAATTTAATATCATGTTTATTTCAAATCTTAAACAAACATACAGGATTCCCAGAATTCCAAGGGAGTGTTGTTGGATGTCCAGTGTAGCTAACACGTTGTCTAGGTGACTGGCATTCTTGGCTAATGTATCAGCACTCTTACCAATAAACTCACATAACTGGGCAAAGTTACCTACAACAAAATAAATGTTTTATCATATGTGTGTACCAAAGCCATTTCAGACTTCCTGATGAGCTTAATACTTCATGAAACAGACAGGAGCATTTTAAGGCTGGGTCTCCGTGAAGTACATGTGACAGGTGACTACCTCACTGAACAAAATATGGGAAGCCTGCCGCATGTTCTGCTGACAATGTAATTATATTTGTATGTTGGTTGTAACAGGCTTTTCGTCTCCATGCATTGACTCCCTCTGTTTTAGGAGTCGTCTCACCAACGAATGTCGGTGTCCCGGAGGCGTGGCGTAACTGTATACCATGTAACACACATAAGTATACGCATACGATTTCTTAAGGGGACTGAAACTGATGCGCTGAGGATTTAAAACCAAAAATATCACGAGAAGAATCTAATAGTGAACATCTTCATATTACAATGTAATACATGCGGTTCAGAACAGCCTTGTTCTACATTAATTAATACCATAACGAAGCTTTCCAAATTCGAATGATCCGAGTTATCTTTTAAACGTATTTACCCTGTGATGATAAGTTCTGGACGGTGTTCACGTAATTTTCCAGTGCACCGGCCATTGCTGATGATATCGCTCCAGTAGTTGGAAATCAAAATGACTGCAGTAGATCGGTCTACCTAAAAAGCGCCAACAAGTAACATCAAGCGACAACATACGTCGTAAAGCGTCTTCACAAAATATCTTTAAAGATATTCAGTTAAGTTGATGACATCAAAAGGCTTATCATGATATGACCTAATGACTTACCCGAAACAACACACAAAAGCAGAAAAAAATCCACGTTGTTTGACTATAGTATAAAGTGTGCGCTTTGTGAAATTAAGGTTCATGACATAGTTTAGTAAGGGAGATAATCGATCAATTTCACATGGTATATCATGGTCGCATTTCCAACATTTTGATTTCGCTAACTTCATTACAATATATATATGTAAAAGATATATCACATATATAAAGATATAGACTATCTATATACATAGTATAGACGCTTTAAAGTGCTTGTTGTCTCTTGTTGTCCGTTGTTGTCGCGTTTCGACAGACCTCTGTAAACAAAGGGTACGCTCATGATCAAAGTGAAAGTAAACAGCTGGCTGAATATTCGTACGCTCGTGTCACGCTCCTATAGTCCAAGGTAAGTTATACTAATGCTCTATCGGCCTTATACCCCGTGAGTCTTTTATTCGAATGTGATGTTTAACAATGGCAGAACGGATCTCAGTTTCCCTACATATGATGAGGTTTACTTGAGACTGGATGCAAGGTATATAAGACTCTCTCGCCCCAGCAGCTCTTTGTTTACTTATATATAGAGTTACTTAGAGAAGATTTCTGGTACAGGTCCTAGCGGTCATCTTTATCAGATTCAAGATCTATTCCCCGATGTCTTTTGTTATTGTCTCTTTCTAATATCATGTACACGGACAGATTTCAAATTGAAACAATTTGAAACTTCATTTTTTACGTTTACTGTGCAGCTTAATAAATATGCCTCTATCTGGTAGACAGGCTCTATTGGCGCAGTGATTAGTAGAGTCATGAACTAGGTATATCAAGTTAAAAACCAGGGCCTGATCCAGTCAGAGCACTCAGAAAAAAAATATCTTGGGTAATGGAAAAGGGGCTGATAATCTCTTTCACCCAGCAGACTGGGGCTGAGTTGGTAGAATTATCACACTGAAGACGGGGATCAATCTAGGGTTATTTTACTACCAGTATTGGGTAGTTTACCCTGGCAGCTAAAATTCCCTTCTTACAGAATGTTTCCTTGGAATCTTACAATAGCCCTTGATTGTTCATAAATCACAGTTTTACTCTTTGAAATTCCTCTATTTCAAAAGAAATTATATTTCGATCTTTTAGTTGTATTGTTTTTGAATAGAATCTTACATTATTCCAAAGTTGTTTGAACAGTCAACCACAATTTGCTGAAAAAAATTTAATCGTTTTGTAGCCCTTTGGAACACAGACTGTTTTCCCCTAGTCACATAAAGGATACCTTCACCTATATCCTAGGTTGATCCCTGGGAGACAAGGGTTTGATTTCTGTTGTGACACTTGACAGGAACAATTTAAGAAATATTAAGAAAAACAGAGGAGTTGGTTTTTGATGTGGCTTGTAAATTGTATAAAACAATCTGTCATTCAGTTGACAGTGCATGTTTCTTTGGCTCAGATTGTGTGGGATTTTTACACTTGAGATCTAGGTCTGATTCCTTAAAGGAGTTTGGCATAGAAGATTTAGGAAATTTCAAAACGGTTGACAGATGACCAGCTCAGTCTTCTTTGCTTTATCTTACTGAAACAAAACAAAACTACTTTAGGTCAGATTATGTGATAAAAATAGATTATAACAAATTACAATCAGACATGATGTCAAAGGTTACTTGTAACATCACATAACAAACCTTTGGGTCCCTGATAATGTTATCAACTTCAAATTAAGCTTTAAAATGCCCAGAAAATCCAAAACATATATATATATTAATGCAAATAGTTTGTAAGGCACACTCTCTGTTGACAAAGAATTCTGTAAATGAAATGTTCTCTTTTGTCAGGATGCATTCATTCTATTGTACATCTTAAAAATTTGCAATGTTAGTTTGATGGCTGAAGTTCAGTGAATATATTTACTTAAGAATTTTGGAAATGTTCTTATCACTTACCTGCACAAACAGCGGAGCAACCATTTGTATCTAGCTAACATTACCCAGATAACTTAGATGGTACAGTATCAACAAGCAAAAATTTCTAAGCATCAAGATATTTTTTATCCAGTCCACCCTCCCAATTTTCTCCCCAAATTACCAGGTTTTTTTTTTCTACTTTCTTGTAATTCTCATGTGTAGTTAAGAGTATTATGAAGAATGAGTTTGAGAAGTATGGCGATAATTAGCTATAAAACATAGATATTCTCACCTGTAAACAAGATAGGGAAAATTCATAAGAATTGTAAACATTACATAATTAATTATGTATTATTTTATGTAATTTTTAAAATTCGTACTAATTACCACGGTTCAATTCATCTAGACTTAAAAGCAGTATTTTTTATTAATCTCTATATGGTCATACTCAATCATTTTTATACCTTATGCACAAACATATTATTTCAGGAAATCTCTTCGATGTTATTTAAAGACATAGGTTATGCTTTGTATACATGTGTTATTTGTGTGAAGTAAAAAAGGAAAATACACATTTTCCTTTCAAGTGCCCCGACCAGAAATCAAACCTGGGTGTGTGGCATAATAATTGTTTGTCTGCACCAACTGAGCCAAAGAAGCATGTTCTGTCAGCTGAGTAACAAAGACCATATTTAAGACTATCTACAAGCCACATCCACTCACTCCTTCTAAATTTGTATGATATGTAGTTTCAATATGACAATACTGAAGTGTTATCTGTACTGATAAGGTATCTTGCTGATCAGTTTCACACTGAGAAACCTTTCACATTAAGAAGAAGACCTAGACAATATTAAGTAATCAATACAATACGTATCTGTCTCATGATGATTCTCCCTGTCGACAAGCTGTGTTCATCACATATTGGTGAGTATTTCTTTATCATGTCCAAGTGGAGTGGAGATATGTTATCATGTGACAACAGTAGACAGACAACACATGTACACACAAACAGTAGACAACACATGTATACACCAACAATAGACAACACATGTATACAACAACAATAGACAACACATGTATGCACCAACAATAGACAACACATGTACACCAACAATAGACAGACAACACATGTACACATCAACAATAGACAGACAACACATGTATACACCAACAATAGACAACACATGTATACACCAACAATAGACAACACATGTATACACCAACAATAGACAACACATGTATACACTAACAATACACAGACAACACATGTATACACCAACAATAGACAACACATGTATACACCAACAATAGACATCACATGTACACAAACAATACACAGACAACACATGTATACACCAACAATAGTATACACCAACACATCACATGTACACAAACAATACACAGACAACACATGTACACCAACAATAGACAACACATGTATACACCAACAATAGACAACACATGTATACAACAACAATAGACAACACATGTATGCACCAACAATAGACAACACATGTACACCAACAATAGACAGACAACACATGTACACACCAACAATGTACACACCAACAATAGACAACACATGTATACACCAATAAAAGACAACACATGTATACATCAACAATAGACAACACATGTATACACTAACAATAGACAACACATGTATACACCAACAATAGACAACACATGTATACACCAACAATAGACATCACATGTACACAAACAATACACAGACAACACATGTACACCAACAATACACAGACAACACATGTATACACCAACAATACACAGACAACACATGTACCCCAACAATACACAGACAACACACGTACGCCAACAATACACAGACAACACATGTACACCAACAATACACAGACAACACATGTACACCAACAATACACAGACAACACATGTACACCAACAATACACAGACAACACATGTACACCAACAATACACAGGCAACACATGTATTCACCAACAATAGACAACACATGTACAACAATACACAGACAACACATGTACACAAACAATAGACAACACATGTATACACCAACAATAGACAACACATGTATACATCAACAATAGACAACACATGTATACACCAACAATAGACAACACATGTATACACCAACAATAGACAACACATGTATACACCAACAATACACAGACAACACATGTACACATCAACAATAGACAACACATGTACACACCAACAATAGACAACACATGTATACACTAACAATAGACAACACACATGTACACACCAACAATAGACAACACATGTACACACCAACAATAGACAACACATGTATACACCAACAATAGACATCACATGTACACAAACAATACACAGACAACAAATGTACACCAACAATACACAGACAACACATGTATACACCAGTGGAGTGGAGATATGTTATCATGTGACAACAGTAGACAGACAACACACGTACACACACAGTAGACAACACATGTATACACCAACAATAGACAACACATGTATACAACAACAATAGACAACACATGTATGCACCAACAATAGACAACACATGTACACCAACAATAGACAGACAACACATGTACACATCAACAATAGACAGACAACACATGTATACACCAACAATAGACAACACATGTATACACCAACAATAGACAACACATGTATACACCAACAATAGACAACACATGTATACACCAACAATAGACAACACATGTATACACCAACAATACACAGACAACACATGTACACACCAACAATAGACAACACATGTACACCAACAATACACAGACAACACATGTATACACTAACAATAGACAACACATGTAAACACCAACAATAGACAACACATGTATACACCAACAATAGACATCACATGTACACAAACAATACACAGACAACACATGTACACCAACAATAGACAACACATGTATACACCAAGAATAGACAACACATGTATACAACAACAATAGACAACACATGTATGCACCAACAATAGACAACACATGTACACCAACAATAGACAGACAACACATGTACACACCAACAATAGACAACACATGTATACACCAACAATAGACAACACATGTATACAACAACAAAAGACAACACATGTATTCACCAACAATAGACAACACATGTACACCAACAATAGACAGACAACACATGTACACACCAACAATAGACAACACATGTATACATCAACAATAGACAACACATGTATACACAACAATAATACACACCAAAACAATAAAACACACCAAAACAATAAAACACATCAACAATAAAACACACCAACAATAGAACACACCAACAATAAAACACACCAAAACAATAAAACACACCAAAACACACCAACAATAATACACACCAAAACAATAACACACACCAAAACAATAAAATACACCAACAATAAAACACACCAACAAAACAAGTAAACACAACAAAACAATAAAACACACCAAAACACACCAAAACAATAAAACACACCAACAATAAAACACACCAACAATAATACACACCAAAACAATAAAACACAACAAAACAGGTAAACACACCAACAATAAAACACACCAAAACAATAAAACACACCAAAACACACCAACAATAATACACACCAAAAAAATAAAACACACCAACAATAGAACACAACAAAACAAGTAAACACACCAAAACAATAAAACACACCAAAACACACCAACAATAAAACACACCAACAATAAAACACACCAACAATAAAACACACCAACAATAATACACACCAAAACAATAAAACACACCAAAACAATAAAACACACAAAAACAATAAAACACACAAAAAAAAAAAAACACAAAAAAAATAAAACACACCAAAAATAAAACACACCAACAATAAAACACACCAACAATAAAACACACCAACAATAAAACACATCAACAATAAAACACACCAAAACAATAAAACACACCAAAACAATAAAACACACCAAAAATAAAACACACCAAAACAATAAAACACACCAAAACAATAAAACACACCAACAATAAAACACACCAACAATAAAACACACCAAAACAATAAAACACACCAAAAATAAAACACACCAACAATAAAACACACCAAAAATAAAACACACCAACAATAAAACACACCAACAATAATACACACCAACAATAAAACACACCAAAACAATAAAACACACCAACAATAAAACACACCAAAAATAATACACACCAAAACAATAAAACACACCAACAATAAAACACACCAACAATAAAACACACCAAAACAATAAAACACACCAAAACAATAAAACACACCAACAATAAAACACACCAACAATAAAACACACCAACAATAAAACACACCAAAACAATAAAACACACCAACAATAAAACACACCAAAACAATAAAACACACCAAAACACACCAACAATAAAACACACCAACAATAAAACACACCAACAATAAAACACACCAAAACAATAAAACACACCAAAACAATAAAACACACCAAAAATAAAACACACCAACAATAAAACACACCAACAATAAAACACACCAAAACAATAAAACACACCAAAAATAAAACACACCAACAATAAAACAAGTAAACACACCAAAACAATAAAACACACCAAAACACACCAACAATAAAACACACCAACAATAAAACACACCAACAATAAAACACACCAAAACAATAAAACACATCAACAATAAAACACACCAACAATAAAACATACCAACAATAATACACACCAAAACAATAAAACACACCAAAACAATAAAACACACCAACAATAAAACACACCAACAATAAAACACACCAAAACAATAAAACACACCAAAACAATAAAACACACCAACAATAAAACACACCAACAATAAAACACACCAAAACAATAAAACACACCAAAACAATAAAACACACCAACAATAAAACACACCAAAACAATAAAACACACCAAAACAATAAAACACACCAACAATAAAACACATAAAACACACCAACAATAAAACACACCAAAACAATAAAACACACCAAAACAATAAAACACACCAACAATAAAACACACCAACAATAAAACACACCAACAATAAAACACACCAACAATAAAACACACCAAAACAATAAAACACACCAAAACACACCAACAATAATACACACCAAAAAAATAAAACACACCAACAATAGAACACAACAAAACAAGTAAACACACCAAAACAATAAAACACACCAAAACACACCAACTTCCAGGGTGCTGATGTGGAGTTTCCCCAGGGCCTGATGTGGAGTTATCCCAGGGCCTGATGTAAAGCTTCCTCAGAGCCTGATGTAAAGCTTCCCCAGGGCCTGATGTAAAGCTTCCTCAGAGCCTGATGTAAAGCTTCCCCAGGGCCTGATGTAAAGCTTCCCCAGGGCCTGATGTAAAGCTTCCTCAGGTCCTGAATTAAAGCTTCCCTACGGCCTGATGTAAAGCTTCCTCAGAGCCTGATGTAAAGCTTCCCCAGGGCCTGATGTAAAGCTTCCCCCTGAGGCTCCTGAAAAGGGCCTTCCCCAGGGCCTGATGTAAATCCCTACGGCCTGATGTAAAGCTTCCCCAGGGCCTGAAGTTAAGCTTCCCCAGGGCCTGATGTGGAGTTTCCCCAGGTCCTGACGTAAAGCTTCCCCAGGGCCTGATGTAAAGTTTCCCCAGGGCCTGAAGTTAAGCTTCCCCAGGGCCTGATGTAAAGCTTCCCAGGGCCTGATGTAAAGCTTCCTCAGGGCCTTATGTAAAGCTTCCACAGGTCCTGATGTAAAGCTCCCCCAGGGCCTGATGTAAAACTTCCACAGGTCCTGATGTGAAGCTTCCACAGGTCCTGATGTAAAGTTTCCCCAGGGCCTGATGTGGAGTTATCCGAGGGTCTGATGTAAAGCTTCCCAAAGGCCTGAAGTTAAGCTTCCCCAGTGCCTGATGTAAAGCTTCCCCAGGGCCTGATGTAAAGCTTCCCTAGGGCCTGATGTAAAGTTTCCCCAGGGCCTGAAGTTAAGCTTCCCCAGGGCCTGATGTGGAGTTTCCCCAGGTCCTGATGTAAAGCTTCCCCAGGGCCTGATGTAAAGTTTCCCAAGGGCCTGAAGTTAAGCTTCCCCAGGGCCTGATGTAAAGCTTACCCAGGGCCTGATGTAAAGTTTCCACAGGGCCTGAAGTTAAGCTTCCTCAGGGCCTGATGTGGAGTTTCCACAGGACCTGATGTAAAGCTTCCTCAGGGCCTGATGTGGAGTTTCCCCAGGTCCTGATGTAAAGCTTCCTCAGGGCCTGATGTGGAGTTTCCCCAGGTCCTGATGTAAAGCTTCCTCAGGGCCTGATGTGAAGTTTCCACAGGGACTAATGTTGAGTTTGACATATTTGATGCTTAATACCTTTGCTGATTTCATTGTCATTACCTCAGTTTAAAAAAAATTGAAGGACCAGATAACCTTGATCCACAATACAAAGGTCAAATTTGCTAAAATATTGAAACAACATCCTAATCACAGTACAGAATTGCATATGAGACATGATTTATCTTTGTCCTTAATTATGTTTATAACGACATAAATGACTCAAAAGTCTCTTACTCTTTGCTAATGGACAAAGCTTTGAAAACTGTATAAATAGAACTTGATGTAATAATGTCAAAAACTGCTGGTACAATGGTTGATTTTCTGTCTTTGTAGGTCTCTTGATGGTGATTGACATTCCCCAGGAGAGAGGGATGGCTGTGGCTGACTCTCGCTGGGGAGACAACTCTGTTTGTTATTTTCCTTTATTTGACTGGCTCCAGCCCCTCCCCCTTAAGTGGATGTATGTCGTTTACCTCATCATGTTGTTTGGTAAGAAGAAACAGTCTTGCTTATATGTATGCTGTATAGATTGGTTAGAAAGATTTAGATGTCATTCAATTTGGTGGTCATGCTTTGTTGATTGAACATTCATAGGGGTCATGCTTGATTGATTATATAGATCATTATTGATGTTATATATTGTGCTAAGTCAGTTATATTATTGAAGGCATTATGATATTATGGAGGTCATGCTTGGTTGATCATAATCTACATTTGCTAATTCCATACAGGTGCAATAGGGATCATGCTTGGTCTGTTATACAGACTGAGCTGCGTAGCTTTCTTGGTGACTTACTGGTATGTGTTTCTGCTGGACAAAACAAGCTGGAACAACCATTCCTATCTCTACGGACTCATGGCATTCATACTACTGCTGTGTGATGCCAACAGATACAGGTACTTACTCTATAGTTGATACAGGCTTTTTAGATCACCTTGAAAGCTAAATTAGTAGTTACTGCACACAAGGAAACATTGCCCTCGGTCATCACTTCGGCCCCGGTTAAAACCCCTCATCTTGTTTTGTGTTAAATTCTCCCCAATTAAAATTCTGTTAGCATTTCTTAATATCACTCTTTTAAAGTCCTGGCCAGATGTTTCTTATATAATAGAAACTTAAGTCCTGTAGTGTAACATCGCCTTTGTTTGCGGATATTTGCAATAAATTGGTCTTGTCCCGGTTGTTCAAAAATAAGATCTAACCAGTTGTTAGTGAAAAATTTTAATTGTCACCATTGCACAAACAAGAGTGTTAAATGCAATATAAAGTCTCAAAATAATATCAATCTAGTCTGTCTCAACATACAGCTCTGAAGTGGTAAAGAATGTTGTCAATTTTGTTTAATTCATGTTTAAAATTTTTCACTAACCACTGCTTCTCTCCTACCAGCCTTTGAACAACCTGGGTCGCAATATCACTCAGACAGTAAGGGCTAAATTTCTCAAATTTTGAATGTGATTTTAATGCCTTAAAAATATTAAAGTTTCATTCCACAATCATAAATTAATCAGTCTGTTTTTTTTATTTTTTTGTGAAAACAGGTCACTGGATGGACTGCTGAGGCCTCAGATAAGAAACTGTCACGTACCTCTATGGAACTACACACTCCTCAGATCACAGGTAAAAGTGCACCAAACATAACTAAGAAATTTATGTGGGATGTCAAAATGATGGAAATTTCATATAATTTTTCTTTTTTTTTTTTTTTGAGTTTTTAACCAAAGTTGGTCTGAAACATCCTGCTGAAAAGCAGTCATGTTTTAGGGCATAACTCCTCAGGGGAAATTCCACTGCTGATTTGAACTGATTTTACCTGTATCTGAAAAAAGGAATTGCAGTCATATTTTTTATGAATAAAATTTTTAGTCACCTTGAGGCTCATAAATTGGTTAAGCAAAATTTTGAAATTTATTTTGGCCGTAATTTTAGTTGCCATGGTAACTGGTAACTGTAAGTAAGATTTAACTGCAAATAACCAGTCCTTGGTTATTCAACAGACCAGTAGTAGGAGGATACATTGGGTATTTCAGAAACTGTAACCATGGTAACATTTTCTTGGCCTCTGATAGGTTAAAATTTAAATATTATTTGATTTTGACCAAATCTGGTATATACGGATATAAGGGGATACCAAATACCACTGTATGTGTTTCATTGCCATGACAACCATGCTAAGGCAAATGTGGCCTCTGATTGGTTGAAATTAAAATATTGGCTTATTTCAACAAAATTTCAACAAAATTTGGTCTATAGGGCAATTAGGGAGTGCCAAACATCATTTTTTATGTTTTATCATCATGACAAATATACTGAGGCAAATTATGGCCTCTTGTTGGTTGAGATTTTTACCTAACTCTATAGAAGTATTAGGGAATGCCAAAAATTAATTTTCAACTGTTTTTGACATTTTTCATGGAGTTTTGACCAAATTTAGTATATAGTGGTCAATTTGTAGGGGGTATTAGTTATTCTCTGAATATCAGTTCTAGTTTTTTTTTTTTTTTTCAAATTTCAAATTGTTTATGTAGATTCCGCTTGGTCCCTTCAGTAAAGATCATTAATGAGATATCTTGTTTCTATAAGGAATTTTCTTATCATTCATAGTGAAGGTAGCTCTCTGGACAAAGAGTTACAGCTGTATATTGTGAAATTTTAGCTTAGTGTTTTCTGTGTCCAGTATCAAATTTGTCCTTCTCTGTATTAAAGTACATATATTTCAGCTTCAACATCAAACTGTCAGCCATTATTTTATTTTCATCCTATAGACATATTTGCTGCAAAATTTTTCTGATTAAGTAGTGAATTGTAAAAGTTGATTCCATGATAAAAACAGGAGTTGTGTTTACATTACAGATATTCCTGGTATACTTCATAGCTGGACTGAAGAAGCTAGACATGGATTGGGTATCAGGCTACTCTATGCAGTACCTGTCCAGTAAATGGGTGTTTGATCCCTTCAGGTCAGTGACATACTGGCGAGCTATTTATATATACCCCACTGTATCAGTAAGGTCTATATTGGCTTGTAGTACTGGCTGTATATATATATATATATATATATATATATAAATATAACTTTTCTTGACATTGACCTGGGTCCAATGTATGATAGTAAAATCTTTAGAAATTATGGAAAGAAATTATTTTCACATTCATACTGCATGCGGATTGAACTGTATGTATGTTCTTCCACCTTACATTGTGTTTGTGTTAGCCACACCTCCTCTAGTCACATGTGTCTAGTCTCGTGTCTTCTTGCACCTATGCAGAGGTTAAGACATCTATGTAAACGACAACTTTTTATTTCCCTTTCCACTTCTGTGACCTCTGTGCAATTGATGACATCAGTATTTAAAGATTGTGACTGTGTAAAAATTAATTTGAAAATCATACAGAGTAAATCTTATCTGAGGATAGACATTTTCATAAGTGAAATAAAGCAGAGAGCTTGTGGGTGGTTGGGTGGCGCAGTGGTAACGCACTCGCCTTTCACTTAGCCGACCGGGGTTCGATTCCGGGAACGGACATGAAAAAGTAAGGGGTCACCTGCCCGATCATGTGGGTTTTCCCCGGGTACTCCGGTTTCCTCCCACAATAAGACCCCTCGCACGCTTACATCCGGGCCAACAAGAGTGATTAGTATAAGTTGACATAAGCTGTTTCTCAATTGTTGTAAAATAAATAAAGTTTATATTTATTAGAGAGCTTGTGTTTATTTTCATCTGGTATATTTATGTAATAACATACATCAGGACTTCGGGAAAATAGCGATGCTATCTGGAAAAGGAAAGTAACATGGTTGAGTTCCTTCCTAAACTTTCAACGAAATATGAATAAGTCCAGAAAATTGATTAAAATTAAAAACTTTCCCCCAAAATCAATGATCGGGTCTTCGAGACATGCACTGGAGATTTATAAGTTCCAAAAGGTCAAGGTCGCTTTTTCATGCAACTTAGATCTGATGTCTTGTAAAGTGGCAAGGTAAACATACCACATCCTTATTTTGCCACGTCAGTATTCTTAAACGGTACATAAAATTCAAACATAAATCCTGGTTGGTGTTGTAGGTTACTGCTGACAGATGACCAGATCGACCTGTACATAGTCCACATCGGGGGACTCACACTCGATATGTTTGTTGGATTCTTCCTGTTTTTTGACAAGACGAGACCGGCAGCTATGTTCTTCGGGGGATCTTTCCATTTGATGAACTCCCAGATGTTTAACATAGGTCTGTGTAAGATAAAATTAAGATTGTCTGCATGTATTATTTTACACTGTTTTCCTTTTATTTCACTGAAATAAAAAATTTCATGTTCATTTCATAGTGATACTGTGTAAGATGATTCATAATTTGTCAATTGAAATTGCTTCAAAAATAATTCATGGTTAGTACCACAACTTTTGAATAACTTTCTTTGTTGAACTGAAAAGTTTGTTGTGACAAAGGTTAAACATCTACAGGAAAGCAAAGAGACAAAGAAATTACCTCAAATTTTTAAATTATGAAAGTTGTAAATTTTTCTACAAATGAAGGGCATTTTTAGGATGAGAATATTCTTTGAAGCTGAAACTTTAAATTATAACATGAAAATTTTATCTACAGGGATGTTTTCGTACACAATGCTGGCTACCCTCCCATTGTTCTGCTATCCTGATTGGCCAAGGAGATTATTACAATGGTGTCCCTCACCAGGTGGCGCAAAGTCAGCAGAGGACTTACAACCAAATAGCCATTGTGTATACAAGTTGGTCAAGTCACAGACAAACAAACAAGAGGTATAGAACATGTTGTTGTTTGTTTAAACTGTAGCATGCTGCAAATATCTTTTTTTTTTTCAATTTTACCAAAGTTCATGTTTTTTTCACAGGTTCAAATTTTTCTGGCCTTTTCGAGCAGTGTTTTTTTTGGCTCCCTGAAAATTTTCAGGGGAGCATATAGTCGCTGTCTTGTCCATCCTTCAAATGTCCTTCTTTCTGTCTGTTCTTTTATGTCCGGAGCATAACTTTGCCTATAGTTAAGCAAGGATCATGAAAATTTGTGAATACATTAGTCATACTAAGGGGATGTGTAATGTATCAAATTTAGGGCCTTTGACCTCTCTATTATGGTATTATTACCCTTTGTTTAAATTTTGTGTCCAGAGCATAACTTTGCCTGCTTTTTTTTAAACAAGGATATTGAAACATGATGTATACACAAGTCATACAAAAGCAGGGTGCAGTGGAGCAAGGTCAGGGGCCATGACCCCACAGTACAGAGTTATTGCCCTTTGTTGAAATTTTGTGTCATGAACATAGCTTTTCTTCCATTAAAACTAGGATCATGAAACTTTTGTAGATGTTGGTCATATTGAGAGAATGTGCAGCATATCAAATTCAGGGACAGCAACATTTTAATTACAGAATTACTGCCCTTTGTCAAACATTCATGCCGAATTAAGCTGTTTTTCCAGGAGCATTTGTCAGTGTCACTGATAATCTTGTTTGTATTTTTGTATTTTTTGCAGTTTTACCAAAGGTTTACGTTTTTCACAGAGTTCAAGTCATTTGCTATTTTCCAAAAGTGATGTACCAGAAGTTTATAAAATAAAAAATTAGTTGTTTTTCATCAAAAATAGGATCTACCGTTTTCTCTGTTAATTTCAAGCTGAAAATAGTGAAATTTGGATCCCCAAGAAACAGTGATCTCTTACAACATGAATAAGTAAATAGGGTAAAAATAAAATAAGGAAAAACGGAGCAAGGCAGTTTGAATTTGCTGTTGAAGGAAAAGGGGAAGTACCACAAACTGTCAGTTTTATGTTTGTGTCTGTCTGTTCACTTGTTACATATTTTCGTAGGGTATATCAAAACAGACTGGATATTACACTGAATGTGCTTTTTGAATAAGCAGAGGTGTAAAATTTAAATGTATTTGATTTAATTTGAAGAACTAGCATCAAATCATATTTCATTGGCCTGTAATATATCCATTTCCTGATTTTTGAACACTGTGCACTTACTGTAGCGTAAGGACAGTATGAAAGACAAGTGTTCCTTCTGTGACTGGAGACGTAATAGTGGGCGTAAAATATGTTAAAATGAATAGATAGATCAAAATATCTGTGACAATGACCTACAAATCCGAACTAATTCTTTGCCTCTTAGTTTGTTAATCCACACGAGAAACATTGATGCATTATCCCGATTTTGTCCATTTACAGGGTATCTCCGCATATCCTAAGTCAACTTGTAGTTCCACACCGAGTCTCCGCCATAAATTCTTCTCCTGTGTGGCCATTCTCTACCTGAGTACCCAGTTGTTTCTACCATACTCCCACGGCATCACCAAGGTAACAAATTTTATAGTCACTTTAAAATCTAGAATCCAGTAGTCAGTTTGGCCGTTGAGACTACAGATGTGACTGACCATTGGCCAGCGCTAATCAAATGATATTTTCAGAGCATAAATACATATCACGCAGGATCCCTGAGTGATCGTTTGTTTGAGCCATTGATTTGAATAATTACAGGGTTATAACACATGGACTAATGGCCTGTACGGGTATTCATGGGATATGATGGTACATTCCTGGTCCACACAGCATGTCCGTATCGCCTACCACGACCGTGACACTGGTGAACAGGGCTTCCTAGATCCACAAGTAAGTTTCAGGCCTTTCAATAAGGATTCAATTCTATTTACCGGATCCTAGAAAAGTTTGAATTATTGAAAGAGTTTTATGAACTGAGTTTAAAGTATAACATTTTAGGCAAACAAAGGATAGGGTTTTCAAATGAGATTTTGACAATTGTTAGTTTTCTTTCTGTCTGTCAGATTGGTGTAGTGATATTTAAGATAAGATAAGATAAGACAAAAAAAAAAAATCTCATTTTTGCATTCACTCAGAAGCATTACTGTTATTCTTAGAAAACTTGAGGATAAGTTCTTTACTGGAGGCAAGTATAAGCTCTAAAAAAGTGCATTCCTACTGGCATAGATTGTGCTTTAGTCTAGTAAGACATTAAAGTGTAGCAAGCCAGATATCTCACGTTGATCATTAGTGTACACACTGAAGTGTAGTAAGTCAGAGGTCGAGAATACATCGAAGAAATATTGCATTGATAATGATGATATATAGTTTAAATTTGCATGGCTAACATCAATACTATTGAGATGGTCAGTCATTCATCATTGAATGCAATTACATATGTTTAGATCCAACATTTACTTCTGTAGGCTTGGGCACCAGGAAGAAATAACCGGTGGTCAAGTCATGCTGACATGGTTAAGCAATATATGACGTGCATAGCTGACCGTTTGACCGAGTACAATATCACCAATGTCGAGTTATATTTAGATGTATGGAAGTCTCTCAATGACCGCTTCCAGCAAAGGTAAGAACTCATTGTAATGACATGCATAGCTGACCGTTTGACCGAGTACAATATCACCAATGTCGAGTTATATTTAGATGTATGGAGGTCTCTCAATGACCGCTTCCAGCATAGGTAAGAACTCATTGTAATGACATGCATAGCTGACCGTTTGACCGAGTACAATATCACCAATGTCGAGTTATATATATGGAGGTCTCTCAATGTTCCAGCATAGGTAAGAACTCATTGTAATGACATGCATAGCTGACCGTTTGACCGAGTACAATATCACCAGTGTCGAGTTATATTTAGATGTATGGAGGTCTCTCAATGACCGCTTCCAGCAAAGGTAAGAACTCATTGTACTTGGACACTAACTGTCCATTAGAAGGACAAAGAGTTTAGACTTGAGCATCATTTCCAATGTTGCAACCGAGATTGAATTTGCCAATAATATCCTTCACCTCAGACTCAGTTCCAGGATAGGGTACTTTTAGAGTTACGTCGATATAAATTTGTGTTGTTTATGTTGTAGGGTATATGACCCCAAGGTTGACCTACTTCGAGCGCACTGGGGACCATTCTCAAAGGTTTCCTTTAGTTTTCCTTTACTGACTCATCTGTCTGATTGGAGAAAGAAACTCTCAGAGATTCAGGATGAACTTAGTAGCTCATCAAACTACACTGATGTTGTGTTTGTAGCAGATTTTCCAGGTATCGCATAAAAATACAATATCATGTTTAATTTTATTTTTCAAACTTCACTTCATGTATGTTAGTTGTTGGAAAATGCAAAAAAAAAAAAGAAAAAAACATAAAAGATATTTAGACACCAAGTGACCCAAAGCATACTTTATCAGTTACTTTATTTCTTTACTTTATCGGACGTGTTGGTCAGTCAGTCAGGGTCTCTTAGTTGTGGTCAGTAGTATGTATCTTAACCATTTGGAACAGAAAACTGTTTTGTTGCTCAGAATAAAGAGGATTTGTATTGGGAAGTTCCATTTCCAGATCAAGAGTAGGGTGATGCATATTTTTAATCTACATGTGTCTCAACACACCCTGATAAAGATGTGATGCTGCGTTGTTATATATTTTTAAATTTGAATACAATAAAATAGATTCATAGTAAACATGTGTTTATTTTCAGGACTTACACTGGAAAACTACATACAGCCTGACCTTGGCAACACAAGCATTACGCTTCTAAAAGGCAAAGTGATCGTGGAGATTGTAGACAAGAAAAAAAACTATACACTTACGGAGGGACAACAGATTCAGGTATTGTCGAAAATCTTTCAAAATACTTTCACTTGATGAACAGTAATGGGTTGATTAATTTCTAGCTCGCCTCAATGGCAAAATGTCAGTCTTTTTTTTTTTTATCTGCTGCTGTCCTCATTCCATTTGTCAATTTTTCAAAAAATCATGTCTACTGTTCCAGAACAGCTGGTCAGACTTCAACCAAATTACACAAGGGGCCAGTATTTGAATCATAATATATATTTTGCTGTAAAGGCCTATTCTGTAATTATACAGGTAGAACTAGGAGATTAGATAGACAGATTCTGACCTACTTGTACTAGGTATATCAGCCGCAGTAACCTTGATCTTAAATTAGAAGGAGAAAAGGAAAGTAAATTATATAAAGAGGCAAAAAGAAAAGAACAAGAATCTGAAGCCTACATCTATCGGGTTCGAGGACCACCATGGAACAGAAAAATTGTTCGCATCAGTAGAAAACGAGACATTTAAGCCAGGAAAGTTATACCATATTAAGCACTGAAATATAAATAGACCTATATCTCAATCTTTCATGATGAACAATAATTTGATCTCTCAAAACCGTAAATTGCTAAGTCACTATGTAAAGATTTATTTCCTCCTAAATTGTATGATATATCAATTTTAGATATGGACATAGAGGCATTGTTCTGCCTGTGTCCATTATTAACTTAACTTAACTTAACTTAACTTGATCTAGCTATCTTGTATTTACAATGGTAGTTTATAATTCACACATGTAGAGAAACAAAAACCTTGGATAAGCATGTCGAAACGTCTATAATGAAACCGACGATTTCCTTTGGCATGATAAGAGCAACCAGGCTCTTTCTGTGTGGACATCAAGAAAAACGGCAGTAATTGGTTATAGTCTATCGACATACCAGTATGTTACCACATTACACAGAGAAGCTTGACCATACTTAATGCTTAACAGTCAATGTAAGCCAAAGGCTGTTACTGCTACATATCAGATGGATTTTTCCTGATATACATGTGTTAGATTCTTTAATTTAATAAATAAAATTATAGTTAGTGGGCAGCCATCTTGTAAATTAACAGTAAAACTTATCCCTTTTTCTCAGGGTTTCTGTTCTCCAACCCCAGACCCAGAACAAGGTCATTGATTCTTCACTACACCACTGGTAACCACTCACACAAAAGTCTGTATATCTGAATAACAATTTTGTTGTTTGTGAAGCTGCATATATCTATATATATGATGTGGTGATATCAATATTAACGCAAGAATGTAGTGAGAGGTGATGTATTGATATGGTATTTTATTGTTTGTTTATGAAGGTGCCTGCTGCTGCTTTCCACAATGTACACACAGTATCGTCAGAGCCGTCCTGTTATATGTATATTTTTATCAATACCACAATGGAAGCCTTCGAGCTCAAGTTGGAGGAGTACAGGCATGCTGTCAATGCAATGGCCAATGGCACAGGTAATTTCTATCATGTTAAGACTTAATTTTCAGCTTGTTCCTTACTCCGTCCATCACTTTTTTTGTCCCTTCATCCACTACACTTCCTGAATATGTAACGGAAAGGATCGTCATAAAGAAAAATTTGGCAGATGCACAGTGAGGATTTGATAGTGCACATCCTTTTTTAAACTTTCCCAGTTTTCAAGATGGCCATCACAACCATTTTGAAATTTGATATTTGAAGACTGTTACTGCTGTTTCAGACCTCAGGAAGGAATCTTCTTTAAACTTTACTGATAAATTTAGTATGTGTTGCAAATGCTACTTTTGAAGCTTGAATTTTCAAGATTGCCCTCGGCCACGATTTTTTAATTCGGATACATAATGTTTGTTTGCAATATTTTTCAAGACTTTCTTCGGAAATCTTCTTGAAACTTTTTGAACATATTGTGAATATGACGGAAATTTCAAGATACATAGCAGGGACCATTTTGAATGTTGACAATCAAATTTAAGAGACACATGTTGTCTGAGTCCTTGTACACAACACTTTCAAAGCTTGATAAGATATTTAACATGGAATTATCAGCCATTTTAAATTTGGTAATTGAGTTTACTAGCTTTCTCTTGAAACCTACAATAGGGATGTTTTTAAACAGCTGTAGGAGAGCTTCTGAGGTATGGTACTTTTTTATCTTGATATCTTTGATGAAACTCACTGAGGTCACATAAAAGTTCTTTCTGTGGTATATACATGTATTGTGTTACCAAATGAATGGTTGTTGCAGGATGGGATCCCAGACACCATTTGTATGGATTTTTCCGTAGATCCAGGTTAAAGGTCAATGTCGTGGAGGAAATGTTCTGCCTTTCTCTTTAATTATGGCAAAATCACATCATGAAAACTGTTTAAAAGAATAGGAAGGCAAATGACTTGATTATGAGAAAAAAATGTTTAAAATGTGTCAAAGATACCAGGCAGACAGGCGAAACAGAAAAATCTAGCAGTGAGTAGTGTATTGTGTCCTTGTTTTTATAGGAGAATAGTTAGTCCCTTATAAATTAGGAAGATATACACCAATGTTAAATGAAAAGTAACCCAAAATAATGGACAAAACATGAACATATTGTAAATATATCTTCTGTTAAACAAGGTGTCTTATATGAGCCGATGAAAAAAAAATAATAATAGAGTTTCTTTTCTATTACACAAATGCCTCAATCTTTTTGCATTAAGCAGACAAAACAGGAGAATTGATGAAACAATTTGATGATGATCCTAACCTCCATCAGTACGGTGAAAAACTGGCAAAGGAAGGAAGGCAGAAGGAGGAAAAGACGTATTCACCTTGGCAGATAGCAACTAGATTTTTTAAGCGCAAATACAAAAAGTTTACACGCAGGTATTTTCATATTCGTCTTTCAGATCAGCAATTTTTAAAATTTCAAATCTTTTATCTTAATTTTCCTGCACAAATACTCTCATCCAAATTATCAATGCAAACTGTAAAATTATGCTTTTTCTGTTTTTAATATAATTTACAAAAAAAATTATATATAGCCCAATCCAGTTAGAAATTTACATTATTTATAAACAGAATTCTATGTGACCACACAAAAGATTAAAAGATTCAGTATCAACCAAAATGGTTTGATGTTATGTATGATATAAAGAAAAATATTTTTCAGCCTTGTCACTTGTTTTGTTTGCTTTGTTTGTTTGTTTGTTTGTTTATTTGTACATTTTGATATATCAATAATGCTTGTTACATCAGGAAAACTGATTTCAAAGTTAAAGAAAAAACTTAAAGTCACTAGACGGAAAGGTGAACTCATTAAAGTGACATTATTTGTGTGGATCATGATTAGAGGTGTCTCATTGTTGATTTTTTCCTCTGGTTCCAGTTTTTCCTTCGTTCACGGCGCCCTAAAGAGCATCATCTTTGGTGATTCTTTTGATGATTTTTGTCAGACTTTATACAAAGAGGAAATGGACCAGAAAAACCAAGAAGAAATGGATATCAGACTGCAAGGGACAAACTCCCCACTATAGACTGTATGGAACTTTACTGATGAAACTGGTATTTGAGAAAGAACATTGCGATGATTTGGGGTACTTTTTGTTGAAATAAGCAACATGCATTAAACAAGTAACATCCTAGGCTGAAAGGGCTAGAGCAATTGAGAAAACGGTGATACTTGTGGTTTTACAGGAAAACAAACCTGGGTCACCTCAGAGAATGACGAGTATGTTACCAATGTACTACCTGAGCTGTTTTGTCCTGCCATCACCATTACAGGGTCAACGAATTGCCAAGGAACTTTGGACTGGAGAATAATTCTTGACATCAAGTGTTTAGTAGGCAAACTTAAAACTGTTATAGGATAGTTGTAAAACATGTATTTCTTTAATCATGAATATCGGTTGTATTGTCTGTGATGTTGTCACAATATTGTTGAACTTTTATCGGAAAATTCTTTTTACAAAGTATTATTATTATTATAACAAAGTATTTGGAGTGTAGGCAGACAGTTTGGCGACAGGAAATCAAATATTGAATTATTTTATTTTATTTTCATATATTTAATCAATTAATTCTTTAAAAAAAAATATTATTATATGTTTTAGATATTTTTTTGTATCAAAATTAATTTTTATTGAAGCATATTGGATTTATTTTTCATAGGATTTTACATGTACACTTTTACATTTCAAAGTCCCATTTTTATTTGCATATACAATTAAATGTTAAAATTATTTGTTTTTTTAACCATGTTTTGAACCTAACTACATACAAGTTCCATATCAGTAAGAATGCATTCTTTATCTTCTTTTTTTATTTTTGTGTTTATAATCAGTAGTGGTTTAGATATTATAAATGAGAAGCCGTAACAGCATTAATTTTTCTAGATCTTTGGCCTTTGTTTGTCTTTGTTTATTTTTCTTATGTAAAAGAATACCTATTTTTTATAAAAAGTTTCTTATTCAATAAATATTCCCCCCTTGTTTGACATATCATAAGAGATCAAGATGAGATATAATGAAAATAATAAATGTGAAATTATTTATTTTTTGGTCAGTCCTAGTTCATTAAAGATCAGATTTATACACAGTATGCAATGGTGAAGCATCATTTTTTCTTGTCGGTCATCCATCCTTTTTTTCGTTTATCAATTCTTTTTTTTTTTTTAAATGTTTTACACGTCAAGAACAACATAATTAGATTTTGATCTAATTTGGTCTCGATCATATTTGGGTAAAATACAGCTAAATTTTGTATAAACAGACTTTGTCCTTCATGGTATGTCAGTATTATGTTACAAGATCATCAAACTGATTGAAAATACTGCCAGAATTTTAGTCAGCCTCAGAAATTCATCTTTAGTATATATCATCTCAACCATAGATGTGACTTTCAAAAAGAATTTGTAACATTAAGATGTATTTTATGTTAAAAGAATGTAAGATATATATCTAAATCCAAAGTCTTTATAAAGTTAAAGAATATTTCAACGGTGAAAATAATTCAAGGTGATTGAATATCAAATCATCAGAGTCACCATATTCTAGAGAGTGTGTAGTTAAGCATAGAACTGTAAGCATTCCTGGGAAATTTGAATGTCAACTAAATACGTGCAAATCCAATGAATCATGGAAACGGTTCAAAGGGAATTGTCTTGATCCAGTCAGCATTCAGATTGCCAGGAATGCAAACACCATTGGTAGTTTCTGTGCTGGCAATACTCCATATATTGTATTTTTGATGCTTTGAATTTGTGTTGTTGTATTTTGTCATTGTGAATTGTCATGTGGATTTATAAATAAAATGAAATTTGCAAAAGTATTTAACTGAATTGAAGAATTGTTTTGTTTAAGAAAATATATGGAATGTAATAGAACTGGGCATGGAAGGATATGTCACAATTTGGCTACATACAATTAAAGTAGTGAAAATAAAATTTTAACGATTATCAGTCCATTTCCAGGTCTCGTTATCTTATAAAATTTTATTGATGTAAATCTTTCATAATTTGCGTGGGATTTATTTCCGAGTTAATACACAAAAAGAGTCAATCACGAATTCAAGTCCTTCCTTGTAAAAAAATATTTCTGGTTGGCGTTCAAGTTATCTGGTTATTGATATTGGAGTCTTAAAAAGTCCAGGCTCCAGTTGCTCAAAAGTTGGTCAAAACTAACCGGTGGTTAGTGGAAAAAAAAAAATTTGTTGTTACTCAAAATAAACTGGGATTCAAAGGAAAATAGATTGATAAAAAATGTCAATCTGGCCAGTGTTAACTAACATACAGCTGTAAATTAATGGTTGGTTAATGTTAAAAAAGCTTTGAGGAATTGTTTATATATATTCCAATTTTAAGCCTTTCTAGTCAGCATTTGCAAAATCATGTATTCATGAATATGTCTGAAAAGGTAAGTTCGCGAAATAAAGTATTCGCAAAATTTAAATGATTTACAGTTTATCTGTTGATCCACTTTTAATGGTTGGACAGAGATTGTTTAATTATTCCAATGCCTCTGTCAGAGATAAAAACATGGCACCTCTGTCTAATAAGGCTTACACACAACCCAGGAAGTTGAAGAGAAATTCTTCAAGAGCAGTATTTGACATCTAGAATTTTCCAGGTGACAATGACATTGTATTCCAATAGACATTCTAGACATTGCAGAGAATAGTGAATACAATGCAGAGTTGTTGATGAATGGTGAAAGAGTCATCTCAAAGACATGTTCCCTCAAATGTTTGTGTAATTCTCCAAAATGGCTCCATCAAAAGATATCAAACTGTTTCAAGTTCCTCTGTGCCAGCTAGATAATAATGCAACCATTTTATGACAAAAGACTCAAGACAGCAATGTAAGAATAAAAATATATTATCCAGTATACGAAATTCACATCATGTGCTGAACACAGGTTCACAGTGTTTTGATAATTTGTTTGACAGTATAGCACCACTTTCGCAACACACTATGTATTGACTAGACTCTTTCATGCAAGACTGGTGATTATGACTGGCCGAAGGGAGACAACTCTCTACGATTATTGAATGATAGAGTAAAAGTTACTATATTGGTCTACTATACTATATATTGGTACCTTGAAGATTGCCTGTTGGCTAGTGTAGCAATAACTGTTGCAAAATCCTATTGTTTACCCTTACTTTTGACTTCACTGAGGGTGGCAAGCTGATTGGCCGATGTGACTAGCCAGCAGTATTGGCTTAGAGGTAAGATGATTGGACCATGTGACTAGTCGGGAGTAGTGACTAAGAGGTCAGCTGATTGGCTAATGTGACTAGCCAGCATTATTGGCTTAGAGGCCAGATGATTGGATCACGTGACTAGTCAGGAGTAGTGACTAAGATGTCAGCTGATTGGCTGAGTCCTAATTAGTAACTGTATGGTAGGGTACAACATATCTAAACCATGAATGATACAATAATTGACTGAAACAGTTACAATAAGTGTCACATTCATCAACAAAAATAATTAAAAACACCTACAACACTGTTGATAATTAAGGTGATACAACACCAACCATAGACTAGTAATAACTGTTGACAGCGGCTCACAAACATTGACAGCTTAATAAGACTAACCAGGGATGCATACAAATAAAATCTGACAAATATTTTCAACTCTATATCACATTAGTTAGTATCAATGCATTCACTTTTTCACACAGTGTATAACATTTTTATAAATACTGCCTTTACATTGTAACTTTATCAATCTGAGAATAAGTTCATTAGTGAGCAAAAACAGATGCATATATTTCTCATACAAAAGTATTACAGTTACTGTAACGCTATAAAAATGTTAAAAACATGAATATTCATACATTATCTAGTAATATCATCATTTACCCTAGTGAGGAAACAAAGTTTAGTGAATATAGGAATGATGTTTATATATATAAATGGACCAAAACCTAAAAGGTCAACCTGATCTCAGTCACCTGATTGGGTCCAGAAGGCCTACTAAAACAATATTTAAAATCTGTTTTTTTAAATATCAATACTTTAACTTCATAATTGTATACAAAAGACCAATGAAATCTTCACTGCAGTGATCCAGCACTACTTGGGAAAAAAATAATAAAAAAAAAAAACCCATTTTATTTAATCCATTTCAGGACCCTAGATTGACTGAATGTCACATTTATCCATTATAAAACTAAAACAAATTTGAATGAAAATATAAAACCTACAATGATGGAATAGTGACAAAAAATTCAACAAGGGGTTAACAGGAGGGTTGCATAAACTTAACAGGGACGATGGAGAATCAGAAACTGTTCTCTAGGATGATGACTTATAGCTTACTGTCTTTTCAAATAAAGGTTTTAAAATGGACCCGTATCATGACACAATAACCAAACAAAAGCATTATAATCACTTCAACATTCATTTTGGCATTGAAAAGAAAGTACATTATGTTTTTCATATCAGTAATTCAGGGAGGAGCTATCACTATTTGTCAGTTTCATGTCATAACAACTCTCGTTAAATTAAAACAGCTTTCCCCTATTTTAATTAAGTTTATAAACTTTTAAAGAGATTGGTTGACAATTGAGGTAGGTAATCAGGATTACATTTCTTTCTTCTTGAAAAATTAAAATGCCATCAACGAAGGCACAACTACTAGTTGTGAAGATAAACCCAACTCATCAGACTGATCCAAAACTGAGATAGGAGATCTTCAGAGAAGATAAATAACAAAAACGTACCCATTAAAAACAATAAATCAAAAGTCGGTGTGGAAAATTCACCTTCATATCATGGTCATAGTGCTGACCAGCTTCCAAAGAGAGTCAAACATGGTCATAGCGCCGACCATCATCCAAAGAGAGTCAAACATGGTCATAGAGCCGACCAACTTCCAAAGAGAATCAAACATGGTCATAGCGCCGACCAACTTCCAAAGAGAGTCAAACATGGCCATAGAGCTGACCAGCTTCCAAAGAGAACCAAACATGGTCATAGACCCAGCCAGCTTCCAAAGAGAGTCAAACATGGTCATAGAGCTGACCAGCTTTCAAAGAGAGTCGAACATGGCCATAGAGCTGACCAGCTTCCAAAGAGAGTCAAACATGGTCATAGAGCCGACCAACATCCAAAGAGAGACGAACATGGTCATAGAGCCGACCAGCTTCCAAAGAGAATCAAACATGGTCATAGAGCCGACCAGCTTCCAAAGAGAGTTGAACATGGTCATAGAGCCAACCAACATCCAAAGAGAGACGAACATGGTTATACAGCCAACCAACATCCAAAGAGAATCAAACATGGTCATAGAGCCGACCAGCTTCCAAAGAGAGTTGAACATGGTCATAGAGCCGACCAGATTCCAAAGAGAGCCAAACATGGTCATAGAGCCGACCAGCTTCCAAAGAGAGTCAAACATGGTCATAGAGCCGACCAGCTTCCAAAGAGAGTCGAACATGGTCATAGAGCCGACCAGCTTCCAAAGAGAGTCGAACATGGTCATAGAGCCGACCAACATCCAAAGAGAGACGAACATGGTCATAGAGCCGACCAGCTTCCAAAGAGAATCAAACATGGTCATAGCGCCGACCAACGTCCAAAGAGAGTCAAACATGGTCATAGCGCCGACCAGCGTCCAAAGAGAGTCAAAAACAGATCTCTAGACAAGATGTCAATAACAATTTAAAAAGGATCAATAAATCTTCAAAAAATTCAGCAACCAAAATGTCATTTATCATAAAAATACAACTTCTTGTTACGATTAGGAAATCTACCATCTTAATTATTGGTAATTAAGGCCTTACAGTTTTAGGATTGTTTGAAAGTTAAGACTGGAAATCTCTGGACAAAAAGTTTATGACAGACAGACTGAAGTAAAAAATGGACAAAGCCCTAGCATTATATGTTCAATCAAATCTTTACAGAAGTGTACAGAAAAATTGCATGTTCATTCAATGATAAAATGGACTGCATTAGATGAAAATTTCCTTGATCCCTTTTTTAAATTCAACAATAGGTAAACACTGAATGTTTGAAATGATAAACTTTGTTTTCTTTCTGATACTAAATGTAACTTATCATCTTCTAGGATGACTGTTACATTGCTCTTTAACATATTTTATAGTTATTTCCTCTGATAGGAAAAAGTTGACTTTGTTGTGAATTTTGACATTGTTGCCATCATCATCATTGTCATCGCTATCCTGTCACCATTGTCGTCATCCTCTTCCTCATTGTCACTATCCTGTCACCATTGTCGTCATCCTCCTCCTCATTGTCGCTATCCTGTCACCATTGTCGTCATCCTCCTCCTCATTGTTGTTGTAAATGACATCCTCCTCCTCATCATTGTCGCAATCCTGTCACCATTGTCGTCATCATCTTCCTCATTACTGTTCTTGACAGAAATAAACAACCTCAATGTAAATCAAATGACATTATCATTGTCATTTTCATTGTCATCATCATTACCATCTTTGTTCTCCTTTCGTTTCTCCAACCACATTGGTCCAAAAATAGCAATGAGGGCGGCGCCTATTGGAGCTGTAACTATAATTGACAACACTGCAATCGTCAGTACCGATGTCCCCAATGCCATCAAATTGGCATCCCCTCGCTTGGTTGCCTCGTCCAAAGCTATTCCACCAATGGCTGCCTGAAACCATACAAATTATAATGACAAAACATGATGATGATAATATGGAACCAGGGGAGATTACTCCAAGTTGGCATTCATGAATATTCTTCAATTATGATTTTAATGCATCTGTACACCAAAATGCTATGTATGATATAGATAATGTAAAGATTATTTTCCAGCCCTTAAATGCTCTAGATACAAAAATAAAAAAAATCAAGAAAATACCAACATGGCAACATAATCATAATACAATCTCAAATTCCATAAAACTAGGGCATAATATGAACAAAAGAACGATTTACAGGGAGATTCCTGAAAATGTACAAGGAGAATAAGACCAGGTGTTCAGGGAGAGTAAGCATCTTCTGCTTCATTAATGACACCTGCCATATGTAAAACTTTGTTGTTCCAAGTAAGTAGCATCATTTTCTCAAATGAGAACAAGGTATACAACGACAGAACCAACAGGCAAACCAACACGCATCAAACACGTCCAGTTTCACCTCACACAAAGAAATAGAATATTTCTCAATGAGATCAATATGGCAAACATATTAATTCAAGTTTGTATTCAGTAATCTTCAAAATTTGATACCTAATTTTCTTATCATTTCCCTGACACAAACATATCATCATTGTTAATATTGTATTATCTCCTCTTGAAATTTTCACTTTCTTGTATCTTTTTGTACAAAATGTGCAATGATCATGGAAGTACTGATGTAAATACCAAATTACCAATTAGGGTCTATAAATGTATTTACCTGTACCGTGGCCTTAGGGAGCCAGGCTATTGGGATAAAGAGCATTTCCTTTACGTTGAGACCAGAGAACAGCACTGCTCCAAATGATGCACACAGTCTCACAAACAAACCAATGGCAAGGGTTCCCATGGCTAGACCTACAGTCAATAACACAATTCTTAAATCAATTTATGAAATTATGTAAAATTAAAACTCCTCCCACAGCGAAATACTGACAAACAATTTAATAACTTACAAATTCTTTACACAATACAGGTCTATGGGCTTTTGGATTCAAAATGTCCTACACAATTGTTGACCGCGATCAACTCAACTCAGGATCACTCCTGAAAGGTTACAGGTAAAACACTATCAATAGCATTTGAGAAGTTCAAAATGTGAGTAGTTTATGCATGGCAAATGACACCAGAAATAGACAGTCAAATGTAATGGTAGCAGTACACAGTTTCTCTGTGTGGCCATGAGTGATATTTTTGTTCATTAGATTACCCCCATTATAAAGGTTTTATTTAAAATTTAAAAAATAAATCCATGCTAAAATTGGTCTTGTCATGTTGAAGCGGACAACGTGGGGTTTCATTTTTTTCAGAATAATATCTTAGCTTTCTGTTGGAGATTACTATTTGGGCAGTCACGAATCTGTGTCTATGCAACAAAAACCAGCTTTAAAGGAAAAGAAATTTTCATAGTGTTTACATGTGGTCATGTTATGAAGGATTTCCTCGAGTTGGAATTCGCTGAAATGTAAGTGGTTTGTTACCATGACAGTGTTGTTGATTTTAAGATAGGTGTTTATAAATAAATTTCTTCTATAAAGTTGTAGTGTTAGGTTGGAATAAGCAGTATTTTTGCATTTTTAGCATTTTTTCAGTAGGTAAAGATGGCAATCACATGTCAGAAATCAGAGCAAATTTTTTATTTACACAAATTTTATCTCTCTACCATTAATGTAATTGTTATGTAGTTTATAAACATATGTACATGTAAGGATGTATTTTTCATAACCAATCTGCTATACCTGTATATCTCAAACATGACCAATAATTTCAGGAAAAATGCAAATTAACTGTTTCCTGCTACCTTACAGCACATTAAAAAAATTTAATCTATGTAAAATGTGTTTTACTTTGTTTGATTAAGTTTAATTCTATTCATAATTGCTATAAATACATAAAAAAAAAAGACACTGAGACTTGTTCATATTTTTTTTCAATTTCATCTCGGGTGCATAAAGGGAGGTAATTTGGGTGTTCTTGTGGGTGAGAATTTCAGCTTTTTTCAAAGGCTTGATATCAGTTGGAAAACTGTTCTACAGTAGGTGCAGGTATGAAATAAGTCAGTAACAACTTTAGAATGTATTTAAACTAAATTTCATGGCAATTCCAATAGTTTAATGTGTGGTATCCATGATAACTATGAAGAAAAGTATGAGTTTTTTAATTTTGGATAAATTCTCTATTTTGATCATTTTTACTCAATAATGTGTGCGTATTTCTCATAGACTAGGCATATAATCATGTTAACCTTGTCATAAAATTACATTTCCATAGTTACAGCTGTAAAACATACAATTTTTTGAACAATTTTGGAATCTCATAAAGTTTCTGATAATCACAGGGTAGGGGCAGTAAGCATAGGTGTTTGTGATGTCATACACATGAAATATAAGAATATCTAATGCCATACCACTGTTAATCACTTTTAAGAAATGTGTCGGATGCTAATCATAAGTTTTTGCAACTTTATTCAAGTAAACTTCAGGCTTATTAAGATTTTAATTTTTCAAATTACCTCCCTTTATTCCTTATTCGAGAGCAGAATTGGTCAAGATACACCATGTGGGAAAATCTATATTACTCTATAGCTATTCGAGATACACAATATAGCGATATATTGATTTGTTCATCTTATCATTATCTAGACACTCAGAGGGATTTAAATGAAATTACAAAAAATGTATTATGTTTACAATCTACTTCAGGTTGTTTGCATTGCTTTTTAATTGTGAAGCTAAAGTTGCAAGGATCATTTCTGATAATTTTGAAAAATATCTCGAATGCAGTACAGTATAGTGGAATCTTTTGCATAGCTATACTGTCAATGGTACAGAATTCAGCAAACTCTGGTCACCAGATAACATAGTATGTCTTCTAGAGTACTTACAAGTTAGGAAATATTTTGGAATTTAAACCAAACTCATTAAGTCCATTCATCAATATTAGGTTATCAGAATTAAAATGAAAAATAAATGTGGTGCTTACCTACAGTGCCACCATCTATGGTGTTGACGTCAACTGCAGCACCGATCAGACCAAACAACAAAGGCTGGAAAATCATCCATAGTAGTGCCACCATATCATTGATTCCATTCTATAATGATATACACACAACTACAATGAAACAATTTCATAACTCATCTGGCCTCAATCATCCAACAAAGAAGCCATATCTCTGTTTAATCCTGGAGTCAGGAAACTACTGCACATAAACTTCTATTATTGTGGGGTCAGGGTTATTGTTTACTGGTGGGTTATTATTTACTGGTGGGTCATTTTTTACTGATGGGTCATTATTTACTGGCAGGTTATTGTTTACTGGTGGGTTATTGTTTACTTTTATCACTGTTTTATTATTACGGAATGAGATATTTACTTCCTGGTATAGTAGTTGACCATCCTGATCTCAGTGATCCATATAAAGTTTGTATCACATGGCCTATTTAACTATAAGGTAGGTATGAAATCTAAGTTTGTATCACATAGGCTATTTAACTATAAGGTAGGTATGTAATCTAAGTTTGTATCACATAGGCTATTTAACTATAAGGTAGGTGTGTAATCTAAGTTTGTATCACATAGGCTATTTAACTATAAGGTAGGTGTGTAATCTAAGTTTGTATCACATAGGCTATTTAACTATAAGGTAGGTATGTAATCTAAGTTTGTACCACATAGGCTATTTAACTATAAGGTAGGTATGTAATCTAAGTTTGTATCACATAGGCTATTTAACTATAAGGTAGGTATGTAATATATTTATACATCTCCTTCCTTTTCTGCTTCTTTCCTCCAGCGAAGTGCTGCAATGAAGGCAAGAGTGAGGCAGCCAAGAGGCCCAGCACCTGACAGATGGACGGCAGAACTCCCAAATGTGGCCATCAGTCCACCTCCTAATAACAACAGTGACCGGTAAAGTGCAGGGTTGTTCTGGAATAAAACAAGAAAGCTTTAACTAAAATTAGTATTAATCAAGTTGTAAATCTCCGGTATTCTACTCAAAGTATCTAAAATTAGCCACATAAATATCGGATAATTTATACCAGTTACTAAAAATATCCAGGTAAATCTCTTACGTTCTACTCAAAGTATCTAAAAATAGCCAGGTAAATCTCTTACGTTCTACTCAAAGTATCTAAAAATAGCCAGGTAAATCTCTTACGTTCTACTCAAAGTATCTAAAAATAGCCAGGTAAATCTCTTACGTTCTACTCAAAGTATCTAAAAATAGCAAGATAAATCTCTAATGTTCTACTCAAAGTATCTAAAAATAGCCAGGTAAATCTCTTACGTTCTACTCAAAGTATCTAAAAATATCAAGATAAATCTCTAATGTTCTACTCAAAGTATCTAAAAATAGCCAGGTAAATCTCTTACGTTCTACTCAAAGTATCTAAAAATAGCAAGATAAATCTCTAATGTTCTACAAACTGAATCTTAAAATAGCCTGATTAATTTCTGATACTTTACTCACTGTATCCTTAGATGGGAGATACCACATGACAACTCCAACCACAATCCCATACACAATTCCCAACAGGGCTTCCAGAGGACCCTTCACAATTGTCAAAGCAATGTCACCTGGAAAATATTACTTATATCATAATAACAGATAGGTATATTGTCAGGTCATCAGAGCATCTGAGACAGTGTTCTTTTATATATACATTCACCAAGGGCCACTAACTTGTTGAGATGGACATTTTACAGACTTACCTGTGCAGAAGAAATGATTTGAGACTTACATGTGGAGGATAATTTTGAGACTTACCTGTTGAGGATATTATTTAAGACTTGCCGGGGAAAAGGATAATTTCAGAGAGTTACCTGTGGAGAAAGAGTTTTGTGGAATGTTACCTGTAGAGAAGGAGATTTGTGGAGTGTTACCTGTAGAGAAGGAGATTTGTGGAGAGTTACCTGTAGAGAAGGAGATTTGTGGAGTGTTACCTGTAGAGAAGGAAATTTGTGGAGTGTTATCTGTAGAGAAGGAGATTTGAGGAGAGTTACCTGTAGAGAAGGAAATTTGTGGAGTGTTACCTGTAGAGAAGGAGATTTGTGGAGTGTTACCTGTGGAGAAGGAGATTTGTGAAGAGTTACCAGTAGAGCAGGAGATTTGTGGAGTATCACCTGTAGAGAAGGAAATTTGTGGAGTGTTACCTGTAAGGAAGGAGATTTGTGGAGTGCTACCTGTGGAGAACGAGATTTGTGGAGAGTTACCTGTGGAGAAGGATAAGTTTGGAGTTACCTGTAGAGAAGGGGATTTGTCGAGTATTACCTTTGGAGAAGGACAATGTTGAGGAGTTACATGTAGAGAAGGAGATTTGTGGAGAGTTACCTGTAGAGAAGGAGATATGTGGAGAGTTACCTGTAGAGAAGGAGATATGAGGAGAGTTACCTGTAGAGAAGGGGATTTGTGGAGAGTTACATCTAGAGAAGGAGATTTGTGGAGAGTATCTGTAAAAATAGCCAGGTAAATCTTTAGAGTTCTACTCAAAGTATAGCTTAAAAATATTTGTGGAGAGTAAATCTCTTAAGGAGTTCTACTCAAAGTATCTAAAAATAGCCAGGAGATCTACCTGTATGTTCTACTGTTACAAAGTATCTAAAAATAGCCAGGTAAATCTCTTACGTTCTACTCAAAGTATCTAAAAATACCTGTAAAAATATTTGTGGAGAGTTAGCCTGTAGGTAAATCTCTTGGAGTTCTACTCAAAGTATCTAAAAATAGCCAGGTAAATCTCTTATGTTCTACTCAAAGTATCTAAAAATAGCCAGGTAAATCTCTTATGTTCTACTCAAAGTATCTAAAAATAGCCAGGTAAATCTTTGGAGTGTTACCTGTAGTTACTGTTTTTGTGGACTGTTACCTGTAGAGTTTTGTGGATGTTATCTAAAAATAGCCAGGTAAATCTCTTATTAGAGTTCTACTGTAAGTATCTAAAAATAGCCAGGTAAATCTCTTTAGAGTTACCTGTACTCAAAGGATATTTTACTCAAAGACTAAAAATAGCCAGGTAAATCTCTTAGAGTTCTACTGTTATCTGTAAAAGGATGGAGAAGGATATTATTAGAGACTTAAAAATAGAAGGTAAATCTTATTAGAGACTTACCTTCTACTCAAAGTATTTTTAAAATAGCCAAGGTAAATCTTATTACGTTCTACTCAAAGTATCTAAAAATAGCCAGGTAAATCTCTTACCTGTTCTACTCAAAGTTATTATCTAAAAATAGCCAGGTAAATCTCTTTTTCTACTCAAAGTATCTAAAAATAGCCAGGTAAATCTCTTAGAGTTCTACTCAAAGTATCTGTAGCCAGAAATCTCTTACGTTCTACTCAAAGTATTAAAAATAGCCAGACTTACCTGTAATAGCCAGGTAAATCTCTTAGAGTTCTACCTGTAGAGAAATAGCCAGGTAAATCTCTTAGAGTTTACTCTGTAGAAAAATAGAAGGATATTATTAGAGACTTACCTGTAGAAAGGGGATTTTGTGGACTGTTACCTGTTCTGGACTCATTAAGTATCTAAAAATAGAAGGGGATTTTGTGGAGTGTTAGCTGTAGAGAAGGTTGGAGAAGGATATTATTAGAGACTTACCTGTAGAGAAGGGGATTTTGTGGAGTGTTAGCTGTAGAGAAGGTTGGAGAAGGATATTATTAGAGACTTACCTGTAGAGAAGGGGATTTTGTGGAGTGTTAGCTGTAGAGAAGGTTGGAGAAGGATATTATTAGAGACTTACCTGTAGAGAAGGGGATTTTGTGGAGTGTTAGCTGTAGAGAAGGTTGGAGAAGGATATTATTAGAGACTTACCTGTAGAGAAGGGGATTTTGTGGACTGTTACCTGTAGAGAAGGGGATTTTGTGGACTGTTACCTGTAGAGAAGGTTGGAGAAGGATATTTTTAGAGACTTACCTGTAGAGAAGGTTGGAGAAGGATATTTTTAGAGACTTACCTGTAGAGAAGGTTGGAGAAGGATATTATTAGAGACTTACCTGTAGAGAAGGTTGGAGAAGGATATTATTAGAGACTTACCTGTAGAGAAGGTTGGAGAAGGATATTATTAGAGACTTACCTGTAGAGAAGGTTGGAGAAGGATATTATTAGAGACTTACCTGTAGAGAAGGTTGGAGAAGGATATTATTAGAGACTTACCTGTAGAGAAGGTTGGAGAAGGATATTATTAGAGACTTACCTGTAGAGAAGGGGATTTTGTGGACTGTTACCTGTAGAGAAGGTTGGAGAAGGATATTATTAGAGACTTACCTGTAGAGAAGGTTGGAGAAGGATATTATTAGAGACTTACCTGTAGAGAAGGTTGGAGAAGGATATTATTAGAGACTTACCTGTAGAGAAGGTTGGAGAAGGATATTATTAGAGACTTACCTGTAGAGAAGGTTGGAGAAGGATATTATTAGAGACTTACCTGTAGAGAAGGTTGGAGAAGGATATTATTAGAGACTTACCTGTAGAGAAGGTTGGAGAAGGATATTATTAGAGACTTACCTGTAGAGAAGGTTGGAGAAGGATATTTTTAGAGACTTACCTGTAGAGAAGGTTGGAGAAGGATATTATTAGAGACTTACCTGTAGAGAAGGTTGGAGAAGGATATTATTAGAGACTTACCTGTAGAGAAGGGGATTTTGTGGACTGTTATCTGTAGAGAAGGTTGGAGAAGGATATTATTAGAGACTTACCTGTAGAGAAGGTTGGAGAAGGATATTATTAGAGACTTACCTGTAGAGAAGGTTGGAGAAGGATATTTTTAGAGACTTACCTGTAGAGAAGGGGATTTTGTGGACTGTTACCTGTAGAGAAGGTTGGAGAAGGATATTTTTAGAGACTTACCTGTAGAGAAGGTTGGAGAAGGATATTTTTAGAGACTTACCTGTAGAGAAGGTTGGAGAAGGATATTTTTAGAGACTTACCTGTAGAGAAGGTTGGAGAAGGATATTATTAGAGACTTACCTGTAGAGAAGGTTGGAGAAGGATATTTTTAGAGACTTACCTGTAGAGAAGGTTGGAGAAGGATATTATTAGAGACTTCCCTGTAGAGAAGGGGATTTTGTGGACTGTTATCTGTAGAGAAGGTTGGAGAAGGATATTATTAGAGACTTACCTGTAGAGAAGGTTGGAGAAGGAGGTTGGAGAAGGATATTTTTAGAGACTTACCTGTAGAGAAGGTTGGAGAAGGATATTTTTAGAGACTTACCTGTAGAGAAGGTTGGAGAAGGATATTTTTAGAGACTTACCTGTAGAAAATGATATTCCCAGGACTACACCAAATCCAGTAATGGCCAAAACATCATCAACGCTGGCTGCGGCAATGACCAGTGTGGGGATACCTTTGTCCAGGCCATACCCTCGGTCTGAAAGACTGAGTAGACTTGGAACAACAACTGCAGGGGACACTGCAGCCAGTACAAATCTGTTGGTATCAAAGTTGCTTAGTTAGTCAAAGATTACATGATACAGCAGTAAATCTGAACCTGCAGGTAAGTAGTAGGAAGTTGTTGTCAATCAACACTTCAGTACCAGTGATTGAGTTCACTTTTTGTTCCATTACATGGTATCCATGTATACATTATATTTCACCATATTTATGATTTTTATGAATATTCATTTCTTAATGTTTTTTATACATTTCTCCACATCATCTGCATGCTGTACAAAATATCACCAAAATTCTTAACTACCTGGCCTCCTGAGTTCATTTTTATTTTTCAGAATCACTTTGAGTAAGGGTTACCTTGTGACTACATAGTAACTCATGTCAACCTCAGTGAACATAATGCAGGAGGTCCACCACATTTCATTCTGAGCAAATTGGTAAAGAGTCTTGCCCAAGGATGCACTATGACAGCACAAGAGGGTCCCTGATCTCAACTTCCTGAGGCACAAGTCACTCAGATCAATTTAGAATACAGCTGTAGAAAGTATAGGTCTCCTTAATAATCTCCATTATCCCAGTTGAAAATTGTGTGCCTTTACAAAGGGAGGTCACTTGCTTGAGCCACATCAAGATAAGGGCATTTTATGTAACATTACAGTATGTTATCGGTTCTCCCGTCTCTTGGTTCTGTAACCCTTTTTTATATGTAGGGTTCATTTTTGTACTTACCCTAACATAAATCCCCATTCCCACGGAAACCCAAGTAGGAAGTGGGCTGCGACCGCCTCAGCACAACATTCTGCCAAACAAGGAATGAAAGCAAGACGCAGAACGGTGAATGATAGCTTCCGTAGAGCTTTTGGGTCAAGGCCAAGACCAGCCCTAATTAGGATCACTGTCAGAGCAATCTGTCTGTAATAAATATTTTTTTATCATTATCTATCATTAAACTTTATTTAAACCAAATATTCTTTCTTAATTATCTTTAGATGTTATTATTTAATAAAAAGGTAAGAACAATATATGTAAGTTTGATATATACTGTAAATGCATTGATTTCTTTGGGGATTAGTTTTTGTTGAATTTGCAGACACTCTGCCTCGAAAAATTTAAATGTCCACCAAATAATAGATAGATAAAAGTTGACATGGATTATAGTACATGTGCCCCACGAAAATATGTGATTTTACAGTATTCGTTTGGAATTCATCCAATTTCTCTAAGGAAAATGGTTTTACACTTATTATAATGAATGTCAGAAAATGCTTACGATATTTTCGTAAAATGAATGAATTATGAAGAAGACACCATCAGAAAATCTACAAGATTGTCAGAACAAATTAAACAACTCAACTGTGGTCGATTACAAACATCATTGCTCCTACTGACCTGAGAGCTGACGACCATGGCATGGCAATGCTCTCGCCAACAATTTTCACCCCTGGGATGTTTCTTAATGCCGCACCCACTATTAACATACCTGAAGAAAGGTACGAAATCAAATAACATTTTGTTTAATCAAGTTAGGCATTACAGAAAAAACTTGCAATACCCATACATCCTAGCCAAACTGCCCTCAACATTATACCCCTCCATCTAAAACTTTAATCCCACATCCTTAATCCAAAAATTCATCCAACTGAAACCCTTATCCCAAACTCTTCCACCTTCATCTAAAACCATCCACCTAAATCTCTTCTTCCAAATCCCACCACCTTCACCTACAACCACCTTCACCTACAACCACCTTCCCAAACCCTCATCCCCAACCCTTAAAACTTTACCGAAAACTTTCCATCCAAATCCCTCAACTCAACCCCAACCATCCCCCCCCCCCCAAAACTTCACCTAAAATTACCCACCCAAAACTCTCAACTCCAAACCTCCATCCAAAACCATCCATCAAAGTTTCCACTACTAACTCCTATCCCAAACAATCATCATTATCCCAATGCTATCCCTTCATCCCAAAGCAATAATTGAAATCTCGATCTCATGCACCTTCTTACCCAAAAGAGGTGGTAGTCTCAGGAAAGATATTAAGTAGCCGCCAACAACTGCTCCGTAAAATAGTACAAACAGTGAGAAGAAATTTCCCCCTGGGAGGGCCTCAGAGTGTGTCAGGGAAACAAGAACTATCCATGTTATGCCTGCTAGAATAAGGAACTGCATGTACCAGGCGATGTTCCCATGGGGAGGACATAGAAAGGAATATTTCAGTCTTTGGCAAATGCTCGGATTTTCCGGTAATGGATGGTATTTAGTTCGCATTGGTTTTGAAAACTTGTGGCAACATATCCGCAGTCCTATGCATCGCCTTGATGTCGCTATCTCTGCGTCAACATCACTGGAATGTTTGTTTTGGCTCTGTAGTAAAGTTGACTCGTTCACACCATCTAATTCTATATTAGTATCCCGACAGACTTCAGACATATCTTTCTTTGTTGACGCCATGTCTCTGTGAAAAAATTAAACCCTGATTATCAGATGCATAGGCATTTCTCAGTAAAATCACATTATCAAACTATGTAGTTCACTAATCTATTTATGTAGAAAGGACAAGATAATTCATAATATCATTGTATTGTCCCACTCTTTAATGAAATATGTTTTCTCAGGAAACCATAACAACATCATACTTAATTAACAAACTTTCGGCTACCTAAGGAGTTGATCTAATGGAGTCATGGTGTTGGAACATAAACACAATATTCAAGATAATACCTGTTGAAATAATGCATTCTTTTAAGAAGAATTATGTATTAAGTATTATAAAAATAGAGAGCAAACTATTTTTTTATTAGATAAAGTATGTTTAATAACTTGCTGACCTTGTTGCCTCATCAACAGCCATGCGGCTTTCTTGTAGTATCAGTACATTTGTACATGTAGCTGATGTCTATCTAACTGAACAACATACTGGAGGCCCATCATGGCATGTCATCTAAAGCAATTGGGATAAAGTGTCTTGCCTATTTCCCAATACAGCACAGGCCAATCTACTTTTCAGCTTTCTTAGAAATATAAACTGCCATGGGTATAGAGCCATGCACCTCGCATCTTCACCCAAGATTACAAACAACCCCAAAGCCTTAGTGTAGTCCCTTCCTAACGAGAGTGAGTGTGTGAGATGACAAGTCATTTCTACACATTTGTAAGTTTCCAATCTTTAATAAAATGTCATTATTTCATATATGCCAGTCACAATTCATAATGATTTTAACCCTTGTGATGTGTATACAGGTTATATTTGGACTCTGTTTTGTCAGTAATTTTGACTTGAAATATTTAACCATACAGAAGTTTAATATTAAAGACTTTGTGATACAATTATAATAACAAATTAACTGATTGATTGCACTTCTGCCATTAAGATAACAACAAACACATGGCATTTTTTAATATTTTCTACAGGGACGTATATATATGTCCCTGTTATCTATGATTAACAAAAAATTCAAAATTGAAAATAAATTGAAAAATAATTCCATATGTGAAATTGCTGGTATTGTACATGGCATCGTACATATTATCATCCAGAACATAGACAAAAATAAAATTGCATATAGATAGTCAGAACCCTACAGACTACCTAATTACTAGCCTTACTCTTAATTACTAAACTTTTATGTTGTTAACTAGTTGTAGTTTAGTAATCATGAGAGGAAGTAAAAACTAAAAATGTAACTGGAAATTTCCTATTGCCATGCTGCATGTTATTTTCCTACAGTTAAAAGCAAAGGGTTGCATGCTAAGGACCCCCATTTGGGATAAAAGGTCACAGTAACCGTGCATTGTATTTAACATGCGCTGCCCTCTACCAGAGACATATATAACTATAAATGTTATATATGTCTATGCCTATACATGCCGGCTTATGCGCCAGAGCTCGGCTGTTTGACGAGTCACTATTAAATGTTTTTTCTACATAAAAGGGGATAGAAAGGATGAAAAGTCGAGATTTGCATTGTAATAATAATATGTATAAATTCATTAAGTGGCTGCAGAAATTCCACAAGAAAGGCGTTCTGGGTAAAGCTATCTCCTCGGGTAACACTCCAAACTTTCTGCAGACATGACTAAACAACCTGCAGACACAAATAATTTGCAAATTGATAACGCATCGCGTCAGCTACTAGTCGGGAATCAAAGACATGCGCAAGCAAATTAATTACAGATAGATCATATATGATATATATCTACTAAAAAATGCTACCGCACGTGTTCAATATTTACCTAAATTATTAACCCTCAAAGTCAGGTTCTGGGCAGTCCATTGGTTTAATGGTAAAACTCCGATAAGTCCGCAATGATTTTGACACAAAACGTCATAGGTTTCGTATATTTATACACGGAATTCCATTCGGAAGATCACGTGCCAATTTTGTTGTCAGTAACTACAACATACGGGTACTTTTGTGTCCTCGAATTCCTATCGTGAAAATTGGAGCCACCATCTTTGTGTATTTTGTTCAATGGAGTGTTGGGTGTCATACGAAGGCATCGCGATTCCCGTCCAGGGAGGACGTTAATAGTTGCGACATCTGTGCAGTGAAAATGTGCAGATATTTAAGAACTGGATTATATAACCAAATATGGCGATAACTTAGTGGATTTTGGAAAATACGCTGTTCTCCGGTACTGGGGAAGCAAATGATGTCTTTGAGGCGTTGCAATGAAGCTGTAAACTTCTAAGGTGTTTTTAGCCTTTAGTCGTCCTCAAAGACGCCGCGGACTATTCCATGATGGAGCTGTATATTGAAACGCTAACGGGCACTTTCTTCGAGCTTAGAGTATCGCCTTTCGAGACGATTATGTCTGTAAAGGCAAAAATTCAACGGCTCGAAGGTAAGAACACGCAGCCGCAAATTACACCAAAATTTCATTTCCTTGTTATCACTTGTATTCATAATTGGGTGCTAGAACTCTGGCAAATCTAAATGTATACGTGTATGTCAATTTCACTCCATGCACCGTCACGTATATACTTACAGTATGTATAGAGCGATCGTTGAATGTAAACAAATAAGTAGGCCTCATTACAAAAGCTGGATGAGATTTCGGATTATTTTCATGGATAACCAAATTAGCACTCAAGGAAACGCAAGATTGCTGTAAAAATACTCCTTTGTCATTGGCGTCAGTTTGTAATTTAAATTAATTTTCGATAGTTTTACCCCCTTAGACTGGCTTTATTAGCAAGCTACAAACACAAAAACAGTTGACATTTCGACATCAATGTCATACCACATGAATCAGACACTTGAAATATAGATTTACTACTAAAATAGCAGGAATCGTTTGCTTTTTGCATATGGTAGCTGTATAAGTAGTATGATAGCTGGATTTCACAGGGTTGTCCCATCGCTATAGTCATACATAGTATAGTCAAAGTTTTCTACGGTCCTGATACTTTATATCTGATAATAGAGCAGAAATGAATAGCAGACTTTGGTATTCTAATATTTTTATAATGTATTTGAATGGTATTCAAATATTCAGCTTATATTAACTTATGAATAGGAGAAAAATAAATATCAAAATTTCGCTTTTAATTTCCATAAAACATTCCTTCTAATAGAATTAGGATCCTTATTAATATATATTCTGAAAAATGAGAAGCTGTATATTATAAAAAGACCTATTGTGAACGGTATAGCAAAAGTCTAATTCAGGACCTAACTGTTTGTCTTTGTTGTGTTAAAGAGTAAGGAACAATTGGCTTGCAAATCTGGAAAATATTCTAGTTTTGATTTACAATGTATTGGATTTGTAAATCTGCATCCTATACTTACATATTGATGCTTTAACATGCATCAATATGCTGAGAGAAAGCAACTGGCTCTCATGGTGAATTTTCATTGGTCAATTGGCACCTGTAATCAACTAGGCTGTACAAATGCATCTCTGTCAGCCTGACATTCATTACTTCAAACTGACTGAATGTTTAGGAGATGACTAGCTGTGTTTGCATGATAACTGCAGAGCATAGCTTACCCTGAGATTTATATATCTGAATCAATCCGAAATGTTCTCGGACCCAACTTAAACATTTTTCAGTCTTTGCGACAAGGGAGGATAGATTGAGCAGAATATTCAAATACCATTTCACTGTTCAGATGCATCAGGAAATAAGTATTCATTCACGCAGGTTTGAACATTCATTTCAGCTCATTATAACAAAAAAAAAAGAGTCTTGTTTTGCAGAAGAACACACCACCATATGAAAACATTTTCAGCAGAAGGAATAAATTTGATGACGTGACACTTCTGATGTGCAGTCGAAGAGGATATATTTATATATGATCAAAAACACTGTCATTTTTACCAAAATGTTATGCCACTTCTGTATTGTAGAAAATTTCCTTCGTGAGATACTGGAGCCAACATTTGCTAGAAAACATGGTCTTATGACCTACATTTTGTCCCCTTTCCCCCCCAACACTTACAATTGCCTCAGTGTTGGCTACCAAGTAGACATAGTTAATTGTAATTTATTAGAACTAAATCAAACTTGCTGGAATAGAGTTTACAAATTTTTGGACTCATATATATGTGAGCCAGAGACATGTGCTTTTCCAATAAAGGACTAACTGAACTTTCTGAGGTCAGATATATAATTGGAGTTACAGAGACACATTCTTGTCCTATGGGATTAGCTCAACTGATGAGAACTTACCTGGTACTATTCCTCAAAGCATTGGGAGTCATTTCAGAATTTTGAAAAGGTGTACTTGACTTAATGAAAAATTTGTTCATAATGCGCTGTGCCCATATTGTGTAAGTCTATGGAAGTTAAAAAGGGAAATAGGATATACATGTTGGTGCTCGAATCCTTTTAGTCAGAATATCTTTGTCTTTATTACTGTTTTCATTCAAAATTGATTGAAATTTTCATATAAGTCACCTGAGATGAAGTCTTATCGTGGTTGCATTTGGTTTTCTGTTGTCTGTCATGCATCAATAAACAGTTTAAAAATCTTCACCATCTGCTCAAAAACCGCTAAACCTATTTTAATTTACACTAGCAGAATATGCTAGTCATTACTGAGCAATGCTACAGTACACCATGGGTTACCAACAGTACACCTTGGGTTACCAACAGTCCACCATGGGTTACCAACATGACACCTTGGGTTACCAACGGTACACCTTGGGTTGCCAACAGGACACCTTGGGTTACCAACAGTCCACCATGGGTTAACAACAGTATACCTTGGGTTACCAACAGGACACCTTGGGTTACCAACAGTACACCTTGGGTTACCAATAGTACAACATTAGTTCCATAATGAATTTTGATGCAGAAACTACCAGACAACTCCTAGTAATCTAGCTCAATTGCATATCATCAAAGAAGAGCAAATGGGGTGATGTTGTTAAGGATTCAACCACAGTTGTGTAGGACAGTCTGTGATTTCAGCTTCCTGAAAAATACAAATTAGTTGGAATAGTAATTATACCATACACCTCAGACCTTCACCTGAGACACATAAAATGTCCTAGGTAGAAATCCTACTACACATCTCATACCTTCACATTCAGGCCGTCCTGGGTAGAAATTGTACCACATCTCAGACCTTCACACACAGACCACCCTGGGTAGAAAATCCTACCACACCTCGGACCTTCACATAGACCACCCTGGGTAGAAATTGAACCACACCTCAGACCTTCACACACAGACCACCTTGGGTAGAAATTGTACCACACCTCAGACCTTCACACAGAGACCACCCTGGGTAGAAATTGAACCACATCACAGACCTTCACACTAACCACCCTGGGTAGAAATCCTACCACACCTCAGACCTTCACACACTGACCATCCTTGGTAGAAACCCTACCACACCAGAGACCTCCACACATGGACTGTCCTGGGTAGAAATCCTACCACACCTCAGACATTCACACACAGACCACCCTGGGTAGAAATCCTACCACACCACAGACCTCCACACACGGACCGTCCTGGGTAGAAATTGTACCACACCTCAGACTTTCACACACAAACCACCCTGGGTAAAAATTGTACCACACCTCAGACCTTCACATACAGACCACCCTGGGTAGAAATCCTACCACACCTCAGACCTTCACACACAGACCATCCTGGGTAGAAATTGTACCACACCTCGGACCTTCACATACAGACCACCCTGGGTAAAAATTGTACCACACCTCGGACCTTCACATACAGACCACCCTGGGTAGAAATCCTACCACACCTCAGACTTTCACACACAGACCACCCTGGGTAAAAATTGTACCACACCTCGGACCTTCACATACAGACCACCCTGGGTAGAAATCCTACCACACCTCAGACCTTCACACACTGACCATCCTTGGTAGAAACCCTACCACACCAGAGACCTCCACACATGGACCGTCCGGGGTAGAAATCCTACCACACCTTAGACCTTCACACACAGACCAACCCTGGGTAGAAATTGAACCACATCACAGACCTTCACACTAACCACCCTGGGTAGAAGTTGTACAACACCTCAGACCTTCACACACAGACCACCCTGGGTAGAAGTTGTACCACACCTCAGACCTTCACACACAGACTGCCCTTGGTAGAAATCTTACCACATCACAGATCTTCACACATAGACTGCCCTTGGTAGAAATCTTACCACATCACAGACCTTCACACACAGACCACCCTGGGTAGAAATTGTACCACACCTCAGACCTTCACACACAGACCACCCTGGGTAGAAATTGTACCACACCACAGACCTTCACAGAGACAGATAAAGGGCACTGGGTAGAAATCCTATCACAACACAGACCTTCACCTGAGACACATAAACTGCCATTGGAATATATTGTAACAAATCTGACCTTCACCAGATATTGTGATGCCTGGTGCTCAACTGACAGTTTTAATACTGGGTGTAGTTTTCGGATGCATGCCACATTTAAAATAGCCACCATCTGGAAAATATATTACATGTATTATCATTTCTTCTCTAAGAGTCATTTTTGAGACAGGGCTCAGATTTGTCTGCAGTTCTGTAATTGATCATCCTAATTAAAATTCTGAGTGGTGCATGCAATACTCAAGATGGCAGCCACTGCAACCCTCACGCAAATCTTGTTTTCACAACATTTCCTGGAAGAAAAGTTGTCTAAACCACACAGGACTGTTATGATCACTTAGGAGTGTTGTAAACAGATAGTCATGGCCAAAATTATGACCCTATCATTTTGACAATGGCTGTCATGACTGCAATTTTGTTATTACTACCTCCTGAGCTGAATATCAGATCTGAACCTGTTGAAGGTTTTGCAAGTCACTATCAACGCCTTCCCACTGCTTAAAAAAAAAAAATTTATTTATTCTTCGGGGGAAAAAATCTTGCATTACTACATACCTATCTAATATATACCTGACCAACAAGTTACAAATTCTCACCTACCAGATATTATTGATTTGGTTGAACAATGGTTTCATTACTGCATTAAAAATATACTTTGCTCAAATTTCATGTTATGATTTTGATAAAACTTTTAGATAGGAAAAATTGTAACGGTCTTCTGCTAGAAAACTTTATAATGTTCTGGGAAAAAAACCATTTAATTTATGACACTATAGCAAAATAAGAGAGTATTAGGTACACATATCCTTTGGATGATGTTTTTTTCGAGGTTCCAAGATTGAACAGAGGTCAAGATTGTAGTGGGATAGTTAAATAGAAAAAACATTGACCACTTTATAGAAATAGCTTTAGTTATTTGATTTTTAAACGCATTTTGATCGAGCTTTAAACAGGTTCTCAGATGTGAAGCAGGATCAAGCCTGTGACCATATTTTAAACACCTGTTATGGGTGGCCAGTGTCTACCAGTATGCGGTGTGCCATTATGTATGTATATATATATATATATGACGACGATTATGTATTGTAAGCCCATGGTAGACGCTACCTATCAGGGTACACCTATCAAGATTTACCTACGATACGGACCCCACTGGTTTAGTTCTATAACTGCTATAATCACCAGTAATACACATTTATTGAATTTACATTAGAACCCCTGTAGACTTTGTGAGTTTCACTGTCTCGAGTTGGCAGTTTCCCAAAGATAACAGAACAAACAAAACAGGGGATTGTTCTATATTGATCTCACAAGGTGTATAAGGTCTAGATTGGTCAGTAAGTAGATACTGTGTTAACATTTCAGTCAGGGTTACAGGAGGTGAACAAAATTCATACTGTCTCGTTACAATAAAGTTGAACATACACTATATATTTAAACTAAGCTTGTATTTTGTATCAGGAGAAGGGCTGAAATTATGAGACTACTATGATAATTTTAACCCTGCCAAATTCCTGCCAAAGTTACAAGTACCATTTTATATTCCTTTTGTATTAAAATATTTATATCTATCTGCTGTCCCAGCCCACAAATAAGCTCCATTCTTAATTTTTGCATCATCATCATCATCATCAATTTTGGAATAATAATATGGGTTAATCTAGAATTTGGGGAATACTACCCATTGTGGAATAAAAAATTTTAAATTTTTTTCCTATTTTGAGAAGTGGAAAATTTTAAACTGCTTTTTTGGCGTTTGGACAGAATTCAAAAAAGAGATAGGGTCAAAATATATGGCAAAGATTACCTTAATAAAATATGACAATGTTTCTTTTTCACGATGGCAGGATTTTAAAAGATATGTACTTATAAGGTCTGTTTTGGGAGAATTTTTCTCATGTTTACAGTATATTGTCTTGAAGGGGACTTTGTGTATATTCAAAACATACCACTTCAGGTATATACTATGCTTTTCAGGTTGTAAAATTTAAGATAAATACCTGATTAAGCAATAAAAGTGGTTCACAAATAAGCCCTCCCTAAACTTTAGTGCTTAGCTATTACACAAGGGGAAGTGGCTTATTAGAGGATAAATATGTAGTTTACTAAGCTTTAACACAAGGGGAGGTGACTTATTAGAGGATAAATATGTATTTTACTAAGCTTTAACACAAGGGAAGGTGGCTTATTAGAGGATAAATATGTATTTTACTAAGCTTTAACACAAGGGGAGGTGACTTATTAGTGGATAAATATGTATTTTACTAAGCTTTAACACAAGGGAAGGTGACTTATTAGTGGATAAATATGTATTTTACTAAGATTTTACACAAGGGGAGGTGACTTATTAGTGGATAAATATGTATTTTACTAAGATTTTACACAAGGGAAGGTGACTTATTAGTGGATAAATATGTATTTTACTAAGATTTTACACAAGGGAAGGTGACTTATTAGTGGATAAATATGTATTTTACTAAGATTTTACACAAGGGGAGGTGACTTATTAGTGGATAAATATGTAGTTTACTAAGCTTTAACACAAGGGAAGGTGACCTATTAGAGGATAAATATGTATTTTACTAAGATTTTACACAAGGGGAAGGTGGCTTATTAGAGGATAAATATGTAGTTTATCTAAGATTTAAACAAGGGGATATGACTTATTAGAGGATAAACATGTAGTTTATCTAAGATTTAACACAAGGGGGGATGACTTATTAGAGGTTAAATATGTTGTTTACTAAGCTTTTACATGAGGAGAGGTGAATTATCGGAGGATAAATATGTTGTTTACTAAGCTTTTACACAAGGGGAGGTGAATTATCGGAGGATAAATATGTTGTTTACTAAGCTTTTACACAAGGAGAGGTGACTTATCGGAGGATAAATATGTTGTTTACTAAGCTTTTATACGAGGGGAGGTGACTTATCATAGGATAAATATGTTGTTTACTAAGCTTTTATACAAGGGGAGGTTACTAATTAGAGAAGAAATATGTAGTTAGCATAGACACAGTCATGTTACCTTTAAGGTTATTGAACTTTTCCTATATTTCACACTTAATCAACACAGTGAAATACAATTTAAGAAGTTGGATTTCATGAGTATTTAAATTTAAAATTGCTATTTAGACTAAACTTGTATCAGTGATGCAGCTAGAATTCCTTTACTGACAGCACGGATGCTTTCAGGAAATGACTATACATGTTGCCTACACATTATAATTGTACTTCTTATTCTGTATAAGCTTTCCTTGTCAAAAGAGGTTTTAATAAATTATCATATGTAATCAAGGTTGCCTTTTCCTAGCTGTGAGTGGTCTCCCTTGATTGTGTGTGATTTCCCAATTTCTAATATTCTTTGTGACAATTTGGTAACCCTTGAATGATATTAGTCTTTGCAGATTTTGAGGGATCTTCCCAAATTGTAATTAGTCTCCACATATTGAGAGTGGTCTCTCTTGATTGTGAGTGGTCTTTGTAGATTTTTAGTGGTTTCCCCACATTGTAATTGGTCCCAGCTCATGTGAATTTTCCCCAGGTTTTGAGTGATTTTCCCTGAACATGCACGAGATCTGATAATTAAGATTGTTCTCCCCTTTAGAGAGTTCTGCCTTGATTGTGAGTAGTCTTTATTGATTATGAGTGGCAATGGTCTCCTCTAATTGTGCGTGGTCTTACTAGTTTATGGGTGGTCTCCCCTGTTTTTTAACAGTGTCCTTCGCTTCTCACCTGATCTTGTTTTTGCTTTCTTCACAGGAATTCCGATAGCACAACAGCACCTCATCTGGCAGTCCATGGAGTTGGAAGATGAATACAGTCTCCACGACTACAGTATCCATGATGGGGCAACACTTAAGCTGGTGTTGGCTATGAGGGGTGGACCCATCAACACACGCAGGAGTAAGTATCAGACTTAAAATCATGAATCTGTTCTTGTGACAAAATAGCATGTAGTGCATAATTCATGCCTTAATTTCTCCAAAATGTCTGTGTTCAATTCATTGATACAACTTTTGTGTTAGGATGGTATTCAGCCCTTTCACTGAAATGGCTGATTTCATGCTGCATACTGGCAGTGAAATTGCATCAGTTTACCTGTTGTCATACTTATTCATCCCACTCTGAGTGCTTCAATGTTCAGACCATAACAAAACTTTAATCTCGTTCTATTCAACAAATGTGAACTGGATTTGATTACTGGTAATATGTTTTCACTTTTAACATTCCCTTCAAATTTTGAAATTTTAAGTGTCAATTATTGGTGTATGATGTGCATTTCAGTTCCTATGGAGGATCCCACACTCAGGGAAATGGCAGAGTATGTAGAGGCAAACCGTGACGAGATCTGGGAGAAAGTTCCAGGAAATCGTCAGGTGACTCTACTCGTGTTCCGTGAGGGTGACCAGCTGAACTTCTTTCGTGTTGTGGACCGAGGTGATGGGACCCTCACCCCATTGTCAGAGTCTTTGAGGTGAGTCCAAGGGTTTATGTCAACTCCGTGGTCTGTTGTAGTAAAAGGCTCTCAAAACAGATCACCAAACCATCATTTTGATAATTTGTTAAAAAATCAACTTCATTTCAGTAAAACTCTGATAAAATGTTTAAAAAAAAATTGTATCTCATATGATATATTGCAACTGTGATTTACAAAAACTTTTAAAATTCTGATAGTAATACCCTTCCACAATTCTAACAGCAGTTTACACATATGACAAAGTAGAGACACAACAGTCTGACCTCAGAAATACAAACATCTGTCTACACCTATGACAAAATAGTGACACAACAGTCTGATCCCAGAAGTACAAACAGCTGTCTACACCTATGACAAAGTAGTGACACAACAGTCCGACCTCAGAAGTACAAACAGCTGTCTACACCTATGACAAAATAGTGACACAACAGTCTGACTCCAGAAGTACAAACAGCTGTCTGCACCTATGACAAAGTAGTGACACAACAGTCTGACTCCAGAAGTACAAACATCTGTCTACACCTATGACAAAGTAGTGACACAACAGTCTGATTCCAGAAGTAGAAACAGCTGTCTACACCTATGACAAAGTAGTGACACAACAGTCTGACCTCAAAAGTACAAACAGCTGTCTACACCTATGACAAAATAGTGACACAACAGTCTGATTCCAGAAGTACAAACAGTTGTCTAAACATATGACAAAGTAGTGACACATCAGTCTGACCCCCAGAAGTACAAACATCTGTCTACACCTATGACAAAATAGTGACACAACAGTCTGATTCCAGAAGTACAAACAGCTGTCTACACCTATGACAAAGTAGTGACACAACAGTCTGACCTCAGAAGTACAAACAGCTGTCTACACCTATGACAAAGTAGTGACACAACAGTCTGACCTCAGAAGTACAAACATCTGTCTACACCTATGACAAAGTAGTGACAAAACAGTCTGATTCCAGAAGTACAAACAGCTGTCTAAACATATGACAAAGTAGTGACACAACAGCCTCACTCCAGAAGTACAAACATCTGTCCACACCTATGACAAAGTAGTGATACAACAGTCTGATTCCAGAAGTTCAAACAGCTGTCTACACCTATGACAAAGTAGTGACACAACAGTCTGACCTCAAAAGTACAAACAGCTGTCTACACCTATGACAAAATAGTGACACAACAGTCTGATTCCAGAAGTACAAACAGCTGTCTACACCTATGACAAAGTAGTGACAACAGTCTGACTCCAGAAGTACAAACAGCTGTCTACACCTATGACAAAATAGAGACACAACAGTCTGATTCCAGAAGTACAAACAGCTGTCTATACATATGACAAAGTAGTTACACATCAGACAGACTCCAGAAGTACAAACATCTGTCTACACCTATGACAAAGTAGTGACACAACAGTCTGACCTCAGAAGAACTAACATCTGTCTACACCTATGACAAAGTAGTGACAAAACAGTCTGATTCCAGAAGTACAAACAGCTGTCTAAACATATGACAAAGTAGTGACACAACAGCCTCACTCCAGAAGTACAAACATCTGTCTACACCTATGACAAAGTAGTGACACAACAGTCTGATTCCAGAAGTACAAACAGCCGTCTACACCTATGACAAAGTAGTGACAACAGTCTGACTCCAGAAGTACAAACAGCTGTCTACACCTATGACAAAATAGTGACACAACAGTCTGATTCCAGAAGTACAAACAGCTGTCTATACATATGACAAAGTAGTGACACATCAGACTGACTCCAGAAGTACAAACATCTGTCTACACCTATGACAAAATAGTGACACAACAGTCTGATTCCAGAAGTACAAACAGCTGTCTACACCTATGACAGAGTAGTGACACAACAGTCTGACCTCAGAAGTACAAACATCTGTCTACACCTATGACAAAGTAGTGACACAACAGTCTGACCTCAGAAGAACAAACATCTGTCTACACCTATGACAAAGTAGTGACAAAACAGTCTGATTCCAGAAGTACAAACAGCTGTCTAAACATATGACAAAGTAGTGACACAACAGCCTCACTCCAGAAGTACAAACATCTGTCTACACCTATGACAAAGTAGTGACACAACAGTCTGATTCCAGAAGTACAAACAGCTGTCTACACCTATGACAAAGTAGTGACAACAGTCTGACCTCAGAAGAACAAACATCTGTCTACACCTATGACAAAGTAGTGACAAAACAGTCTGATTCCAGAAGTACAAACAGCTGTCTAAACATATGACAAAGTAGTGACACAACAGCCTCACTCCAGAAGTACAAACATCTGTCTACACCTATGACAAAGTAGTGACACAACAGTCTGATTCCAGAAGTACAAACAGCTGTCTACACCTATGACAAAGTAGTGACACAACAGTCTGACTCCAGAAGTACAAACATCTGTCTACACCTATGACAAAGTAGTGACACAACGGTCTGACTCCAGAAGTACAAGCATCTGTCTACACCTATGACAAAGTAGTGACACAACAGTCTGACTCCAGTAGTACAAACATCTGTCTACACCTATGACAAAATAGTGACACAACAGTCTGACTCCAGTAGTACAAACATCTGTCTACACCTATGACAAAGTAGTGACACAACAGCCTCACTCCAGAAGTAATGCTGTTCAATCGGGAACCCTCTTCAGTCATGATATGATTGGGGTTTTACGGCTATAAAATGATCTATTGTCTGGATTAAGGGTATTAATGTTGGATAAGTCATGGGAGCAGATAGCTTGGATTAAATTACTGCCTCTTTAGTTATGATAAAAGGATTTAGCCTGATTTGGTGTGTAGCACTTTGGGTCAAGAGTATTGAAACATATTTAAATAATGGTTAAAACCACCTGGGAGCAGATGGGTGTCAAAGCTTAAATTGAAATACAGGAATATCTCTTTGAGTATAAGAAAAGGTATTACAACCTTTGGTTGGACAGAGGATGAGAGCAAGCTTTATACCCAATTAATTGACTTCAGCTTAACCTGATCTGGACCAATCTTTTTGGTTGAAAAGAACACCATATATATAGATACGTGTGCATCGTTAACCTTATTAGTAAAATGATTGAATGCTGTAGCATGTTCAAGTATTTCAGTGACTTTTGATTGCATGGGAAGAACAATCTGAACACAAACATGTATTCTAAACTTAATTTAGCCTGCTTTGTCAGTAATGTTATAGTGCCTTTGCTATATATTTAAAGTTGTAGTGTCACATAACTATATTCTCAATTGATATCAATTTCCTTAGTAAGTTTTCATTGAGATCCCAGGATGACAACAGTGATGATGATGACAATGGTGATGAAGATTATGTTTTTGTCTCTCTCTCTCTCCCTCCCTCCTTCCCTCTCTCTCTCTCTCTCTCTCTCCCTCCCTTTCTCTCTCTCTCTATTTCTCCCCCCCCCCCTCTCTCTCTCTCTCTCTCTGCCAATAAAACTTAAACAAGAGTGAATCAAAACGAATAGTATGTTCAGGCTTTTGGGATTGATCATGACCCTGAGATCTGTCCTTCCTTCAGGACTTAACAATATTCTAATCCCTGGGTCATAACATGAAAACAGTTATGATAAAATGTCTATTCCTCATGATGTTTTGATGTATGGAATGTGCTGATCTGATCACAGTTGCATGACATGGTTGTGAAGGTCAAGTTTGCACACAATATTACGTGGTTACTTAAGTGGCTAGTGAAAGCCTCTTAATGATTAACACCTGCATCGTGCAGCCTTTATTTATAGTTTGTTACATAGACAGGTGTGACTGGGAAGACTCAATCATTCTGCCGTTAACTAGAAAATTATTAGTACATTATAATCAGTCGTCTGGTGTATTTACTAATACTCAGTTGTCTGATTTATATATCAGTGCAAGCAAACTGCTTGTGCAATCATCTTTATAATGTGACAATCTTTCTTATGCATAAGAACTACCTATTTCATTTCTAAAAAATTCACGGCAAGTAATTTTTTGACCTAGTACAACCCTCCAACCCCATCATACCAGATAAGCAGTCTACAATCCGTATATATGAAACAAATTCTTTAATTATTAATATTTCTTTAAAATTCTTTTTCAAAAACTATAAGTAAATTGCCTTTAGTACTCGCTATCTGTGCACTTGAAATATTATACAGATGAGTACCTTTAGAATTTTTTTTACAACCCCTATGAATATTCTCCATTTTCCCTATGATAATGATACTTTCAGGTAACTTTTTGTAAAGAGTTCCTAATACTAATATGTGTGTTTCCTGTCTCACAGTGGTGCATCAATGTACAATTTCAATGACGAGGAAGAAGAGGACGATGTTCCTCCAAAGGAGAAAATGGAAGAGAATGAACAGCTGAAGGAGAAGATGAAACAACTGCGTGGCAAGATGGAGAAACTCACACTAACGAAAAAGGTACAACATTCAATGGTAATTGACATCAAAGGTTCCTTAAGATTCAAACATGCAATATTTTGAAATCAAACATTCTTGGCAGTATGCAGCAAAAAGCTTGAATCTTAACTTGTTATATTCTAATAAGTGCAAAACTTCAATCAGATCAAGATTAAAATCTAGAAAAACTGCATACCAAGGCTGGTGAATGTACAGGCATCATAATTTTCTTATTTGGTTTCCGAGGTAGAAAGAACTTTTTTGCCATATGTGTAATGAATATAAACTTGATACTCGGTAAAGTTGAATATCTTGAAGAAACACTATACCAGTGTAAATTGCCATAGTCAATGTGTTTAACAATTTTTATTATTTTTTTTCTCAGCCAAGAAAGAAACCACATCCCCCAACTTCTGGTCACTCTAATGGAAGGGCTGCCACACGATACCGACAGCTTCCAAGTTCTGGAAGAAGCCTCCCAGTAGGTCATCACCTAAACCGAAAGTCGTGCCTTCCCCCTGTGGGACACACACTAGCCTCACCTTTTTCCCCTGAGGAGCGCCTCAGTCTCACATCAATGGGAGGCAAGGATAGCTTTGCCTCCATTAAGTCATCTGATAATGACATATCCACCTTGGATCTTGGTGGCGCTAACTCCAAGTCACCTCACAGCATGAGACACTTGGAGAGTGCAGAGGGTGGAACCAAGTTAAGCCGAACATTAGAAAGTGTTAAGGAGGACACTGGTACAGGTAGTGAACATAACACCGCTAGAAAAATCAAAGTTGACTCACCTGAGGGAGCTAAGTGTGATGAAAAAGATCGGTTGCTTTCTTCTACAAAGGAAAGTAGTCCAAAACTCTCAGATATTGCAGCCTCTAGTTCCATATCACATGAAAGTCAAAAGATAGATTACTTAGGGGCTGATGGTAAAGATCTACAACGTCTTGGTCACGTGGGAAATGTACAGGAATCTAGTTCTCGGCCAATCACTAGTAGCAAAATGAAAGACCTCGCATTGGAAAGTTTCAAGGATAGTCTTAGACCTCCTACATCGTCTAAAAATAAACAGAAACTGAAAGGAAGTGATCTCACTATAGAAAGTCTGAAGGAAGTGCTAGGTAGACCAGCTACGTCATCAAGGGACTTAACTCTGGAAAGTTTACAAGAAACCTTTGGTCGGCCAACCACATCATCCCGGTACAAGGGACTGGAACGACGGAAAGAAATAACATTAGAAAGTTTGAGTACAAGTGAGGCACGTGCCATGTCGGGACTTTTAAGACAAGCATCATTAGAAAAAATTGGCTCGTCACGGATAGGAAATATAAGTAACTTTGTACCCAGTGGTAGCAAGTCTCGTTTGTCTAATTACACGTTTGGAAGTCCTGCCTTACCTGATGGAAGGATCACCACGCCTGAAGGGCGGCTAGTGGTAAGTTGTCAGAGTACTCTGTTCACTTAAGAGTAAGGTGACTTAGGCTACTGCAATATGTGTCTGCCATCTCTTACCTACGTAGGTTTGTCTTCTTCTTAAGAACCGATAGGCATAGAGTCTTAGTATTTGATCAGCAGCTCTGAGTAACACTTAAAGTTGTTCAAGGTTACATTAGTCAAACATCCAAAAAACCTTCATGTCTGTTGTCTATTTTGAAGATTTTGTATGAAAGATTTCAGCAAAGAAATAGCAATTCATATTCTCCAAGTAAGCGAGGGACCAGATCATGGAATTCCTTTTGAATGGGGGAATAGGGTTGTTTTTTTCATTACTTTTTTTTTTCAATTTTAAAAAAAACTGTTAACATACCATTGATGTCAGGATGCACGAACAAAGAGCTCTTTAGTTGTTTTATCTAGCCCCTCCATGTCTTTCAGAATCACTGAAACAAACCTAAGGTAACATTCAGAATTTTGGCAGAACCTGACCTGATAGCAACTATAATGATTTTACGATCTTATAGTCAGGCATCAAGTGAAATGTTTTATAGAATCTGGTATAAATGAAGAAGTTATTTCAGCTTATATTAATCACCCTTGTTGGTCTGGATGTAAGAGCGCAAAGGGTCTTATTGTGGGAGTAAACCGGTATGCCCAGGAAATGCCCATGTGGTCCGGCAGATTACTTTTTATGTTTTCACATTCGTTCTGGAAATCGAACCCCAGAGGGCTAGATGAAAGGCGAGTATGTTATCACTGGTATGTAAGGTCTGAAGTTTTCCTCAGATGTTAACATACCTCAGGTATTGAAATTATGCTTTGAAAATTTAGAAAATATAAAAAACGTTTCAGGTAGATTATACTTGTGGATATTTTCAAGCAATAAAATTCAGTATGAATTACCAGGTATACAAATCATAATCGATTGTGCATTGAAACCAGAGATAATGATGTATATTACAGAAATTAAAGTACACAAGCTACACATATACCTATATACATACATTGGTAGTTATACATGTCGTGTTATATATCTGTACATGTATATAGGGACTTCTGACTGCCGTGTAAATTATACCCAGCTGTTGTGTCATGGTTCATTGGTGTTGTAGGTGTCAATTTGCTTGTTCCACATTTTGTCATTGGTTAATGTCAACATTTGGAAAAATTCCAGGACGGCTTTACCTCAGGACGTGAGATTGCAGAAAAAATGTATTCAATGGTTATAGGATCAGATCACAGAAACTGATAAGTCTAATTCGTCGATACAGATAATGCTTTATAGACTTGAGTTTTACAGTATGTTGTTCCACTTGTGTTTAAAGGATTACAATTATTTCAAGTTCAATAAATAAATTTAGAATCGCTCTGTACTAAATAAGATATACATTTAGGAACCGATTGCCTTTTAAAAACTAAACGTTTTCAGGAGTAATCTTTGCCAAATGTTTGTATATACTGCTAATTGTAAGAAAAGTTAAAAGAACATTTAAGTAGAAAAATTGTATACAATTAAGTTAGCCATATAAGCTACAGTATGACAGGTAGTGGTTCTATAATTTTATCACACAACTGTTAGTCCAGTTACCATAGATCTGAAGGTTGCTACCTATCGAATCAGTGATTGATATATTGTACCTGTTGTGTGTAACATGTACCACAAGGCATTGTTAATGATACCTGTCACAAAACTCGTGAAATACTATACACAGTTAAAATCAAGGCTCTAGGTAGGCCAGGCTTGATCACTTCAGTGGTGTTCAACAGATCAACTTCAAACATCATAAGGAGATTCATTACCAAGAGAGCTCGGACATGTCCGACACTTAAATTTTCGGACTGTAATTCATGGAGTTATTTCCCCATATTTAATTACAAAACTATTGTCTGCTCGATATTACAAAGTATTTTTCAACAGATCAACTTACTGTATAGGAAGGTTCAATAGCATGAATGCTTGTACAAGTTAAATCACTGTAATTTTCCAACCTTAATCCATGAAGTTGCAGCCCCCTTGTTCAATTGTCGAAACAATGTCCACTTGATACTGCAAGTAGTTTTTCCATGGAGCAACTTCAAACTTCATAGAAAAGTTCAGAACTGTGATAGATCATCAGACAAGTTTGATCATCGTAATTTTTCGGGCTGTAATTCATGGAGTTATGGCCCCTTATTCACTAACCAAAACAAGTAGTTATAAACAGATCAACTTTGAACTTTATAGACTGGTTCATTACCATGAAGGCTCCGACATGTTTGATGTTATAGCCCTTTATTTAATTATAGAAACAGTGTGGACAGTAGTTTTCAATGGATCAACTTCAAACTTTATATGAATGTTCATTACCACTATTACATGTACAGTCTTGTGGAAATCTTGTTCAGAATGAGATTCCACTACTGTATACATCCCTTAAAACTTTGTAACTTTTGTTAGAAAAATGTATGTTTGTTTAATTACCGATCAAGTTTATACGAGTTTTGTTATTCATGGACACATGATATTTTCATTTCTTGAAACTTGGTGAAGTGGATTCTCGATAATTTGGATTGTGATTGTTACTGAGTTTTTTTAAAGCTTTATTTAAAAATTAATAATAAGTATTCTCTAATTTTATATTTTCCTTCTACTAAGAAGGGTAAGGTTGAAACTTAACATGAATCCTTTAAACAACATTTGTCATAACATAATATCCCTGAATTTTGTTTATGTCTAGTCTGCCAGACTGCAGCGTGTGACAAACAGTCGAGATGGTCGTCTTCTGTCTCCTTCACACAGACTTCCACCCGTCAAACCAAAAAAGAAGGTCACTAAGCGTTGCTTTGTTTGTGGTAAAAAGACAGGACTTGCAACAAGCTATATTTGTAGGTATGTATCAACTGCACTGAATGATAAATCGTAAATCAAACAACTATGTTTTTTTATTCCAGCTTTAAAAATGTTACTGCAGTCCAGCAGACCGAGGAAGGCATGTTCTTTTTGGTTTACATTTAAGCTGATGGATCTCACGTAATTTTTATTGAAATCCATCAAATATTCTATTTTTGGAAAATGAGAGAGGAAAAATAAATGGGCAGATCAGGGTTTGAACCTAGATCCTCTGAACACTTAGCTACCTAGTTGTCAACAATCAACTTCGTCCAGCTCTGTTACATTTCTCCCTCCTTTTTGTAAGTCTTTGATCCAATGATACAACTATTTACAACTCAGGTGTCCCCTTGTAATCTGTAATAAATTGCACTGGAAGGAGTTAGGAAACGCACCCTACTACTGCTGGGGTTCAAACTATGGACAACTCTACCACACAACTTGAGGAGAATTATTGCTTCAATTTTCAAATGAGCAACGCAACTCAGAGAAAAAAATCTATATAATTTACGATTTAAACTTGATTTATATTACAGGTGTGGAAATAACTTCTGTGCTACACACCGGTATGCAGAGTCACATGAATGTACATTTGACTACAAGACAGAGGGACGGAAGCTACTGGAGCAGAGCAATCCGGTCGTCAGTGCCCCCAAGCTTCCAAAGATATAACTCAGGATTCAACCACATTCTGTAGGACTGGCCTCCAAACAGCGGATTTTGTAGCCTTGTGTTTTGTCTCTTTCTCTCCTGCCTGAGCTTGGGAATTAATTTTTGGCACTAATTTTTCTTTTTTTTCCTGATAAATATTTACTATTGTTAGATGCAGTGAGATTTTTCACCACTGTTACAAAAGTAATGTAACCACTGTTTATTCTTCTAAAATACTTGCATGAAAATTGAAAATATACATTAGCTTGACTTTTTCAGTCTTGTTGATATGCGATCTTTGTTTGATTGTTTTTTTTTTTTTAAAAAAACAATCACTTATCTCTGACGAAGTATTTTTATACAAGTTCATATTATTCAGAGAGAAGAAAGGTATTGAGAAAAGAAACCCCAAATCACTTTCAATTGGAGAAAGGGAGCTATTTTCTGTGGTGTGTTGTAGCAAACAGGTGTATAATTTTGGAATGTTCTGAAAAGGTGATTGATGATTGTGATAGCTTATATTTTATATTTTTATCAGTCTTTCATGTTTTTCCCACATTATAGGGAACTGTTTATTAAGTGTACAAATCATTATTTTACTATTTTAATACAAATCTTTCATTTTCCTCTTTTAATGTTTTTTTTTTTTTTTTTTTAGAAATATGAATTAAACTTAAATATTGTAATGATCTGCTTTTGGCAGAGGTTATTTTATCTTTAATGAAAACTCTGTGTTTCATTAGTGTTTTATGTTTTTTGAAGTCCAAAGTTTTGTTTGGATGAAATATGTTGTTCAAAATATAAAGGCTTTTTATTTACAAGATCAAATAACCTTCTGAAGAATATGATAATAGAGGTGATACTTACACTTTTTGTTATGGAAAGTTGAAGCCAGACCATGGATTTTTAGTTTCATTGTTGTAATGTCTGTTTAAAGTGAAAACCAAAAAAAAGATTGTTTTTAAATGTCACAAAGTCTAAAAATCATCGTCACTTTCCATGAAGTAGAACATAGGTATACATCTCTGTATGTCTTTTTCAAAAATTACAGATCTTCTTACTACTGAAAATTTTATAATGACAAGTCGTTTCAGTAAAACTGATGTGCGAAAATTTTTAAACCTCTTTTCCTTTTCTTAATTATGAAGACATAAAACAGAATGTAACGAGTTTGTTGGTTTGTTTGTTGTTTTGTTTATTTTATATAGAGAATCTGGCTTATTTTTTTAATTATGAAAGATAGCCTTTATTCGAACAACTTCTATACACACTAATTTGTTGCATATGTATACTTGTCACACAGTGAAGCAGGGATGTCCACTTGATTCTGTTGTTTTAACTGTTTGGCAGTACACAACATAAGTTATCTGTATAGGTATATGTATTTTTCCTGGAAATGTCAGGCCAAATATTTACTGGGTCATTTACAACTACAAGAAGTGATTAAAAAATCAAAATTATAGAACCATATTTACAGCTTCGATATTTAAATGTATTTATAATATAAAACCAGATGATTTAAAAATTCATGACAGTTCATTACAGAAATACAAGGTAGCATTTTGATCTGCATTTTAAATTGTACAATTATTAACAGTGATTTACGTCAGATATTGTTTCACCTCAAAAATATCTGATGTGTAACACAAGTCAAAAATCATTCCATTTGATAATGTTTGAAAAGGACATGGTTTGAATGATTTGTTGATGCTAATGTCTTTTCAGGTCATTTTCGTCCATCTGTCTGTCTGTCTATCTCATAAAAAGTATTGTTAATGATATTTCTTAAAATCTCCTGTTGTGTTTTTTTGGTATCTTTAGAAGATATTGAAGATAGCAACCAGTTGTATATGCCACATATTGAACATCATTAGATTAGAAGTTAGTGTTTTGATGGCAACTCTGAAACCTTTTTGGTCAATTTCAACAAAACTTGATATGCATAATTAGGACACCAGAAAGTTGTGAATCAAACTTTTCAAAATGTAACTTGTCTCTGATTGGGGTCTGGTGCGGACATCTCCTTTTAAACTATTGAATCAGTTTCAGCAAAAAATCTAGCAAGATAATTACGACTGCATTGTTAAAATTGTTTCTCAAACTGCTATCTCTGGTGAAAATGTTATCTCACAAGTTATTTCTGAACAACAGAAGAGGAATGGTGAAATATACATAGAACCAATGAAGATTTGGTGATGGTGGGCGCCAATATTCCTAAGATCTAAAATTTCAAATATATGAAATAATGATGAATGCCAACCATGGTGGATATATATCTCAGTTACATGAAATTGTACTGTTTTCAGATTTAAATATACTCATAATTACCTTCAAGATATGCATACATTGTCTAATATGAATAAGTTCATATGATTGCATGTTGATGTAAGCAGTGCCAAATAAAATGAGCTTTCCACCATTCATTACTCCACAACATGTTCACTGAAATAATTAACAACTTTTGACAGAATTGCTAATTGTGAAACAGAATTGAAGATAAAATGTTTGAATATTAGTCAAAGTGTCTAAGCAATGAATTTTTCATTTGAATGAAAATTATGGGACATTCTGAAATAGCAGACTTAGCGATCACTCAGGGAACCTGTGACTGGTTCAATGTGATTAGAGACTGGTACTTGATTATGATAGCTGTGTAGTGCCTCAGAATCCGCTATAAGCATTATATAAGTACAATGTATGTTAACTTTTAAGGAAATCATGAAACAAATGTAATTTCTTTTTTGTTTTCTGTTAATTAGTGATTGTTAGAGAATGTTAGCAATAACCAATTTAAATGCATCTTACTCATCCAGGGGAGATAACTCTCTTAGGTTATCTCCCTTATTTTATGTGTTTATGTAAGGTGCATGCATACATTGTATGCATTGGGTGTAACTTGTGGACAGATAATTGAGTGTGGAATAAACAAGTTGACTATAAATACCATATTTCTCTTGTTATTTTTATATCTATCCTGTAATAAACCCAAGGAGGTTAATTTAAAACGAGTGGACTTATTGCAGAACATTGATATGAAAAACCATTTGTTGGTGTTTTTACCAAACTGTTGTAGACATTGTGGGAACTTATTACAAGGCATGGATTTAATAGTGACCTAATATAATTATGTCAGATAAGGATAATGTGTTCTTTTTTGTAGAGAATCAATGAAGAAAATACAAATCCTTTCATGTTGTGTTGGGGCCTTGTTTTTCATGGTCACTTTTCGTGGCAAAGGGTAACACAAATCAGTGTCGTGCCATGTTCTTGTCAAGAGAAAATATAATGTACCTAATGATAAGAGAGGTCAGAAGCATATTGTACACATTTAGAAAGGTCTTGTATCAGTTCTGGATTTGTTGACGTGTAACTTTAAATTGTGGATATCAAAACATCATGATGTATTCTGTTGGGATTGATACAAAGTGTTGCTTAGGTAAGGTCAAGATAGTATGATTGAAAATCTGTGTATTAGGAAGTTTGTTTTAAAAAAGTAAACCATAACCTTTCAAACCCATCTCTTTTGTGAGAAGGGGGGGGGGGTTACTATATTGTATTTGTTCCTTGGCTTTATGTTAAATCAAACCGTATACATGTATCATTTGGCAACAGTTAGGATTTCATGGACATATACCTTTCTACAAGGAATTTCTCACTCATAAAAACCTTCCTATAAGGAACCATTCACTGAAATACACCTTTCCGAAAAGAATTCCTCTACCATAAAAAACTCCATGTAAGGAACCATTCACTGAAATACACTTTTCCACAAGGAATTCCTCCATCACAAAAAACTTTCTATAAGGTACTGTTCACTGAAATTAACTTTTCCAAAAGGAATTCCTCACTCATAAAAACCTTCCTATAAGGAACCATTCACTGAAATTCACTTTTCCAGAAGGAATTCCTCACTCATAAAAACCTCCATATAAGGAACCATTCACTGAAATACACCTTTCCAAAAAGAATTCCTCAATCATAAAAACCTCCATATAAGGAACCATTCAATGAAATACCCTTTTCCACAAGGAATTCCTCCATCATAAAAAAAACCTCCCTATAAGGAGCTATTAACTGAAATACACTTTCCAAAAGGAATTCCTCCATCACAAAAACCTTCCTATAAGGAACCATTCACTGAAATACACCTTTCCTAAAGGAATTCCTCCATCACAAAAACCTCCCTATAAGGAACCATTCACTGAAATACAATTTTCACAAGATATTCCTCCATCACTAAAACCTCCATATAATGAACAATTCACTGGAATACACCTTTCCAAAAGGAATTCCTCCATCACTAAAACCTTCCTATAAGGAGCCATTCACTGAAATACACCTTTCCATAAAGGAATTCCTCTATCACAAAAACCTCTCATTAAGGAACCATTAACTGAAATACACTTTCCAAAAGGAATTCCTCCATCACTAAAACCTCCCTATAAGGAGCCATTCACTGAAATAGACCTTTCCTCAAGGAATTCCTCATTCATAAAAACCTCCATATAAGGAACCATTCACTGAAATACACCTTTCCAAAAGGAATTCCTCCATCACAAAAACCTCCATATAAGGAGCCATTCACTGAAATAGACCTTTTCTCAAGGAATTCCTCATTCATAAAAACCTCCATATAAGGAACCATTCACTGAAATACAATTTTCACAAGATAATCATCCATCAAAAACCTCCCTATAAGGAGCCATTCACTGAAATACACCTTTCCAAAAGGAATTCCTCACTCATAAAAACCTCCCTATAAGGAGCCATTCACTGAAATACACCTTTCCACAAGGAATTCCTCAATCATAAAAACCTCCATATAAGGAACCATTCACTGAAATACACCTTTCCTAAAGGAATTCCTCAATCATAAAAACCTCCCTATAAGGAACCATTCACTGAAATACACCTTTCCATAAAGGAATTCCTCTATCACAAAAACCTCCATATACAGAACTTTTCACCAACATACATCTCACAACAGAAATCACTAGTGTTTCAAGAAGGAACACCTCATTCCCCACCATGAACACTGCGTTACAATCTGTACTACAACACATGGCTATGACTTGGACTCCAGCGAGATAAATATGCACCTTGTATAACATAAACATTCACTGTGACTATTTTCTCTGATAAAAATGAAAAATAAGCCATAATATTTCATTTCAACTCTCCACAATCCCAAGAAAGTAAAGTTAGGTATTAAGTGAAATTTAGTATCAGTAATGCCCTTGACAAAATGTCTGATGGAATGCTCCTGTCCTGAGACCCAGTGACTACTGGTGGACATTATAAAATCTTTCCAGTGTAAAAATACACTTTCTTGTACCAAAACAAATGAAACTAATGACAAACAACTAATTGAATGATGTTTAATTATATAAAACAAGTTTGTGAACATATGACACATAAAAACACAATGTACTTCATTCTTTACTGGAAAAATACACTTTGTATATGTTTCAGATGATTAATATCCTTCATTCCACATTTTAAGTAAGTCAAAATGACAGAAAATATCATTTATTGTTTTCTGTACTGTTTATTATTAGTGATAAGAGTTCAAAAAATAAAATTATGGTGAAATATTTTGAAACTTTTACAGAGTAATTTTCAAATACGGTTTTCAATCCAAAGCACTGTCTACTGAACTACTAACTAAAACAACTCAGAATTTACTTCTGCTGCTGTTCCATAATTAAGAGGGGCGAGTCACGCCCATGAAGTGCAGTACATATCACTGATTATACCAGTAACTGATTACAGCCTAACTGTCCTTTGTATCAATACCAATTATTACAGTATGATTACAGCTCCCCTAAGCACTGATTCAATAGTAATGTACAACTTAACATGATCAAGGTCAGAATGATGTCTCTATAATACAAATGAAGTTGATGATAGAACACTGATAAATCTATAAGACAGCTGAACTACAATAACCTGAATCATTTTAAACCTATCATACCTGTCAATTTTAACAAATCTTAAGAGATAAAAATGTTTTGTGAAATTTTAAACTTTATAACCTCCCTTTGACAAATTAATGGTGGAAAACTTCTTCTACTCACTGTCCTACGAGTTTCAAAAGCCATAATTTGGAATAAATATCCATAGGAGTTTTGGTGAAGGTTGGGAGGGCTGACAGGTATGATATACACATGCCATTTAACTACAATAATCTAAACCTTACCAGTACAAGACATGTAAACAAAAAAATACACATTCAGTCATCTATGATTTGAAACCATACGATCTGAAACACCAGATGTCTAGTAAGTAATATGTTATCTCAAATGTTAAGCTTCAGGAAAGTGACAAATACCCACCCAAACCCACCAAGTTTTTTCATCATATTCATTATTTGGAAAATTAAATCAAATCTGCTACATTCATAGGCATTTCATCGATCTGTGTTGAGTAGTACTGCTCAATGTCTCTCAAAATCCTGATGTCATCATTCTTCACAAAATTGATGGACACACCCTTTCTTCCAAATCGTCCTGAACGACCGATCCTGTGGATGTACAATTCTCTGTTGTTGGGGAGATCATAATTGATGACCAATGACACCTGTTGGACGTCGATTCCTCTTGCCCACACATCAGTACTGATCAACACCCGACTTGCTCCTGAAACAGACAGCAGAATGTTATAAGAATCTAACAATGATGCTAATGTTCTTAAGTTTCCAAATCTGAACTCTCAGACAAAACAGGTGGTTTTTTTATTCAACTTTTTCACAAAATTGTTGAATTGCCATATCAAAATCTGTGTACATGTCCAGAAAATACACTTTATTTTACATTTCATACTTGTTTCTTGAGAAAATAAATGGAGAATACTTTGATTTTGTTAATATTGCAGTTTTCTTAGCTGAAAACAAATTCAATCTGTGTGTATTTCTTATCGAGGCCTGAAAAATTAGTAAAACTTTATTTGTGGTCTTCCAATAAATTTGATGGAAAATGGCCTACTCAACCCATACTTAAATAAAAAAAATTTTGCCACTTTCTAATCGGTCTCAAAATTAAACAAGACAGAACTAGAAACTATGTGACTTCTGTATAAATCTTGTGAAATACCAATTACACATATGTAATGTTTAAGATTCATCAACGCGATATATTTCAGTCATTTAAGCCAAAGTCCATCTCACCATAAGGTTCTTTTTATTACTTATTTCAATGCCGTCGCCAGGATTCAAACCCAGCACCTACAGTTTTCCAGCCTGACACTCTTGCAAACAAGGTAAAGAGAAATTCTCCCTAATTGAGCAGTATATTGCAGCTAATATTTACTAGGGTTAGAAACCTGTCTGAGTGTTGGGATATTTAAAATTCATATAGAATGGTTTACCTGATCTGAATTCTTTCATGATTGCATCTCTTTCATCTTGTCGCATGTCACCATGCATGGAAGAAACTGTAAAATTTGCTTCCCTCATCTTTTCTGTTAACCAATCGACCTTCCTCTTTGTATTACAGAAAATTACGGCTTGGGTGATGGTGAGAGTGTCATACAGATCACAGAGAGTATCAAATTTCCATTCCTCTCTTTCGACAGCGACAAAGAACTGTTTGATGCCTTCAAGCGTCAACTCATCACGCTTTACCAGGATACGGATAGGATCTGTCATGAATTTGTTCGTCATCTCCAAAATCTCATGGGGCAGTGTGGCTGAAATCAGCAGAACCTGTGTAGCAGGAGGGAGGTATCTGTATACGTCATAAATCTGTTCTTTGAAACCTTTGTTCAACATTTCGTCTGCTTCGTCCAGGACAAGCATCTTGATTGATCGGGTTCTCAGATTCCTCCTTCTGATCATGTCAAATACTCTCCCAGGTGTCCCAGATACAACATGCTGTCCGAAATCAAGTTTTCGGATGTCTTCTCCGACGTTTGTACCGCCGATGCACGAGTGACACTGGACATTCATGTAATCTCCAAGGGCCAGGATGACCTTTTGGATTTGGACTGCCAATTCTCTTGTTGGAGAGAGTACCAAGGCCTGTGTTTCTCGTAATTGTGTGTCCAAACACTGTAAGATGGACATGGAGAACGTAGCCGTTTTTCCTGTACCTGACTGAGCTTGGGCGATTACATCCCGACCTTTTACAATAGGTTTTATCGCTCTCTGTTGGATGGCTGACGGCTTTTCAAACCCATAAGCGTATACTCCACGCAAAAGTTCTTCTCTCAAACCCATGTTATCAAAGGTTGGAGTGACTTCAACATCTTCACTCGTCTCAAATTCGATGTTTTTCATGATATCATCGGGAACCACGCGTCTATCCTGCCTTTCCGCCATGTTTGCGTTTGTCGATATTCCTATCACTCAGGTGTTTGAAATGCCTTCTTTAGTATATATGCCTACAAAACATAGCGCTGACCAAAAACTTATAGCCTGTTTCAATGTTCTCTTTCAAAATATCTTTTCGTACTTCATTTTCATACATTTTTCCAATTTATTACTTGTCATAAATTCTCTGGGAGAAAAAAAGAAAAATATAATCAAATAAAAAATCATTAATTCATATTATGATATTTGAATTGCCATCTATTGGAAAACTAGATTGTATGCAATCAGAAAAAAAATAAGTTCCGGAAACCGTCCACCTTTTCCTTTAGACTCCTCAAGCGGCAACAACAACGCGTGTATCTAGAAAGCGAAAGGAATGGCCGATACCGGCGATGCACCCTCGGTGAAGAAACCAAAGATCGCCATCAGGTAAAAGTGTGTTAAAACGACAGATAATGTATTACTGATTGGGTAATCAATTGCCTTATCTCAATTACACCAACTTGTCACACTTGAAAATAAAAGTGCATGCAGCATTGTCTGTACTACTACTGTGCATGACTGCATAACAGTTTCCATGCATTGCAAGATTATTTTTCATCAACCTTGCCTGTTCAGACAGTCTACTTATTTCTCGGCGGATGGATGACTTTACGATTAATGTCTCTTTATGAAGACACAACTGTCCATTCGTTAAATGGTCCCGCAATGTGTGGAAACCAATCTGATTGGATAAACCATTGAGGTGCAATGGGGAAAGCAACAATAATATATATCTATATTTAACGTCAAGGAAATGAATGTCTGACATATTTATGTACAACAAATGTATGGTATGTTTATGATATGATTGATTATTGCCAAATTGTACTATAAGGTTTATGAAAAATGGAAAGCGTTTGATGTCGCCTTCAGTTCCCCATGGTTTGGATGCCCCAGTATGATAAAATAGACTGTCCCACTGGTATATATACACATATACATCAAGGACTCAACCTCTTAGTAAGGCGACAGCAGTAGTGTGTACACCTGGAAATGGCAAAGTGAGTTTATACACAACTTGTAACGTGTGTAAATTGTTTTATAAACATGTGAATATGCTATTTGAAGGGTTATTTTTTTTGCAGATTTAAAATCTTTGATTTGATTTAAATTAGCTGTGCTGAAAAACTACATTTAAGAGTGAATACTGAATTAAGTTTAGATTTTTCCATTGCAGGTAAATAATGTCTAATTCTTCATGATCAGGTTGTTTATAGGTGATAAAGTAGACAGAAATCTATATCTGAATAGAACATGTTATCAACATTTACAAATGGCCTTACTTTAACTACAATTTCATTTCACTCTAAGAAACAGAATTAACTGTTGAAATATCAAGATGATCTTTTTTTGGGGGTGTGGGGGGGGGGGAGTCTGTTCCTTCTGTACAAATACAGATGTTTTTATATAGTTTGGTCTGAAGTTAAAGCATCAATTTTGTGTACTTATATAATTAAATGATTGATGGCCTGGCTTCCCCCTTCTTCATTTCCAACTTAGCTCCTCCCATCTTTAGGAAAGATGAGCTGGACAAAGAAACTCCAGTAAAGTGAATCATTTTGAGAGCTAAACAGAAAGAAGGGTGTTGTTTCCCATGTTTAGGATTGTCTAAATCTGAATTAAGAAAATATTTGTAATTAGATAGGAATCATGTTCACATATGACTACTTGATTATCCATGTAAACACAGCAGGCCCTTGGAGTCTCTTGTGGAAGGAACAGTCAGGTCATATCATTTGTGGTTCCCATTTCTATTAGACAGTAAATGTTAATTTGATTTTTTTTTCATTATTCAATGATAAATTGATTCATCATTGATCGAATAATTTTCCAATGCAGACCTGCAGGCCCCTGGGGCCTCTTGTTGAAGGAACCGATAGGTCATATCATTTGTGGTTCCCATTTCTATTAGACAGTAACTATTAATCTGAGTTTTTTTTCATTGATTGAATAATTATCCAGTGCAGACTTTAGATTCACACAGAAAGTTCTTTGTGATATATATTTTTTTTGTATGTATTTTTTTTTCAAAAGATCCTTTTATACAATATATTCAGTACTCATGGCAATGATATTAAGTTTTTACACAGAAACTTATTTTCTACAGTGTCAAATTCCCTTTGGATATCCTGTTTCAGTATTTTATATTTATCCTGGGGCAGTTAACCTTTTTCAAGATATAAACACAAGTAAAAGTATCAGTCAGGCATATTGAGTTTAAAGTAAGTCAAATAAAAAAAAAACCTAAATTAAAATATCAAAAAAAGTAAATGTGTTGAGTGATTATTTTTGGAATATGTGAACCTGTGTTTACACATGTCTCAGTTTTGACCTATGGTTCAGTCGCTATCAGTAAGACACACAGATAACAGAGGTCTGAAATCTTGTGTTCTATAGATTGTAAGAGCTGAAGGACAGACTCGACCTTTTGATAATGCTTATTTGTTAATCATTGATATCAAGGGGATGTTTTTTTTCTCCTTAAGTAATATAAATGAACTTTTACAGATGGTATAAGTTGTGACTTTTGAGAATTGTAATCACACAAGTAAGTTTAAACTCAATTTGGTGTATGTGTAGGTAATGTGAAGTGCTGCATTGTTATCCACATTTACATTATTCAGTACTCTCTTTCCAGTGTGTGGACGTTATTAGTACACATGTACTTAAAATCTCTGATGATCCACTGGACAGATAATCTTTAGACCCTAGGGACATTTGCCTGTGTGAGGTGTACAAATTTTACATCTATCTCAGGGATACGCACAGTATGGATCCTAATTATGATTGCTGTCATTTGAGCATGCATGATTTGATATTCAAGATGGCCACCAGTATCCATTATGTATTTTGGCAGGTGTTTTTTTTTTTTTTTTAGATTCTGATTGAGACATTTTATTCATAGGTTCTGGTTGTGCATGGGACATCTTGAATATTGAAATTTGAAGGTTGTTACTGCAGTTTATTCAAAGCCATTGAACTTGAAACTTTGTGACATTTTTTTAGCTTGGCAGTAATTATATTACAGTTATCACAAGTTTAAACTAAATCCGGGAGGTAGACATTAAGATAAATTTCACAGCCTTGATACTTTCCCACGTTTTTTAATACTGCTCCTCAATACATACTGTTACAGATACTGTCACTGCTCTTTATAAAATATTTTTTTTTATTTCCTTATTTGAACTTACATTTGTATTTTTATGTTTCACACAAACAGTTGGCACTTAAATAATATATTTATGAAAATTTATGTATTAGTTTTTTTTTGTTTCAGAGAGGGATGTTTATTGGGGTATGGAAACCCATTATTGGACATATCCGTACAGGGAAATACAGAATTCCTGGAAAAGTGAGTTATTGCAGTTTGGATTAAGCTCTATAGGATTGGGAAAAAAATATATAAGATATGTAACAGAATGTATAATTTATTTCTATAAATTTCTATAAATAAATACAGAATTCCTGGAAAAGTGAGTTATTGCAGTTTGGAATGAGCTCAATAGGATTGGGAAAAAATATATAAGATATGTAACAGAATGTATAATTTATTTCTAAGCAGTAAAATTGGTATTAGGGTTTATGAATAATTAGCTTAGAGCCACAGGTAATTGTATTTATAAGTAACAGTTGTTTTCATGACCAGCTTTTTCATGTATGAATTCTCATATACATAAGTTGATGACTCAACATCATCTGGTATTTTGAAACAGTTTCCTATTAAGGACTTGTCAGAAATTTTTGTGTCGTGTGATGTTATGATATTCAGTGAAGCTTATGAAATTGACAGATTTTTTTTAGGTGACACTCTTATTAATCATGTGTACACTTTATGATAAATAATGCACAAAGTGGTGAAGTGATTGTGTTAAAATAATGTTGAGCCAGCTATAGATGGAGTTCAGGACTTGGTAAATCAATATGAACATATTCCACTTGGTGTATAGGTGAATGTTTGTCATATTTACAGGTATGATTTGAAAGCTGACAATGCCATCCTAGCTGAGGATAAGCACAAGGGCATGTATGTATAGAAATAATGTTGACAACCATTAATATGTAGTGAGATTCAGATTTGATATATCTGATTAAATAGATACTTTGATTTGTCCAAGTTTGCCAAAGTCTCTCATAGCAATGTTAGAGAAGACATACTTTCTTGAAAAATGTAACCAAAAAAAAGTTATATATGTATAACATATTTCATCACATTAAAGACTTAACATTTTTGTTTCAAATTTTACTGAACAGTTTTTAGGACAATTTTTCAAAATCGAAGTCCATATGTAGTTATGTACTCAGTACTCACCTCTCTTTTACTGTATATTTTTTACCTAAAGTTAATTAGGATTTACCTCCCTTAGTTCAGTTTGAGTCGGCCCAAACATTTAAGAATAACATGAAGATTAAATGTTGGGATTCTGTGTACTCAAGTGTTCTATTAGAAATGTGTTTTACATGGGAACAGGTACGATGACATGACTGAGACATTTGATGTAGAGTATGTGCCAGGGGGAGCCACACTCAACTCCATCAGAATCGCTCAGGTAATGATCATACTCTTTAATCCATGATTACTTGAATGACACTGTATGCAGGGAAATTTTCACCCTTGTTCAATTTTCATTTTCATTTAATTTTTGCCCTTTTTGTCCTTGAAAAAGGAGGGTGAATTTAAGATGGGAGGCAAAAATTGTTATACTTAACCCTTTTATATAATCCTTAGCATGCAAAATGATGGTGATATCAATGATTCAGTGAATGATAGAATTGTTATTACTGATAATTATGACTCAATGAATGATAAAATGGTTATTTCTGATATTAATGTCTCAGCGAGTGATAGAATTTTTATTTTTGTTACAAACAACCCAGTGAATGATAAATTGTAATTTCTATCATTGATGACTGATGATAGAACCATTATTTCTCCATTAATACCTCCACTGATGCTTTCTGTATTCATTACTCTTGTTATGATGTTTCAATTTCCTTGATAATTGATATACAGTAAATGAATTGGCTGTCTCTGCTTATTGCAGTCAAGAACTTATAATGATGGTTTAATGTGGAGACAGACTGTTGTAGAATTTCTTGACTTTGAAATAACAAGAGAATATCAGATTATTGGCATAATGATTGTGTTTTTAGTGGCTTTGTGGAGAACCAAATGCTACAACATACTTTGGCTGTATAAATGAGGACAAGTACGGCAAGATTTTGTGTGAAAAGGCAAAGAATGACAACGTCAATTTTGTATATCAGAAAACAGATAAGGAGCCAACTGGCACATGTGCCGTCATCGTTACGGGCACCAGCAGGTATTACAGTGTGCCAATTAATAATAAGACTAGAATACACTGCTATCACTTATTTTTGTGGGGGTTTTATTTTTGTGGATTTTTGTGAATATTTTTAGTTTACAAATCAATTAATTGTTAAGGAAATGATAATGTGTGTTTAGTATCATTCAAATTCTTCAGTACTTTTTATTTAAATAAGTCTTCATCAAAAACAATGAAATTGGTGTCCCACAAAAACACAGGAGTTTACAGTATCCTACAACTTAAATATGAATTTAAGATAATCAATACATCACAAATGGAACAATTTGAAGTGAAAATTTGTGTGACACCCCAAATAAAGGAAGCATTAAAAGGTATACAAGGGTCAGGTCTTTAGACTTAAAATGGAATAGTGATTATTTGGTAAGATGGCTGATGTTGAGGAAGTCAGAAGGAAAGGGAAATAAAGATAAGCCCATGTGGATAAGTAACATGCCTTGTCATTGGATGTTAATGTTAATATGAAGGACTTTGACTGATCTAAATCTGTATAGTGTTGTATAAACCAAAGGTATGGCATCTCTAGGGGAAGAGGCACATGTAGGGCAAGAAGGACCTCTAGGGGCAGAGGCACCTTTAGGGTATGAAGGACCTCTAGGGGCAGAGGCATTTTAGGGTAAGAAGGGCCTCTAGGGGCAGAGGCACTTCAAGGGTAAGAAGGACTTCTAGGGTCAAAGGCATCTCTAGGGTAAGAAGGACCTCTAGGAACAGAGGAACAGAAGTTTAAAAGCTGTTTAAGTTAAGGGGAGGTTATCTAGATTTAATCTGCCATACCATACAAATTACTGGTCATGGCCCACGACAGCTCAGTCAGTTAAAATGTATTCTCTTTGTTCTTGGACAAGACTCTTCACCCTTATTACTCTGAATGACATTTAACGATCATTCTGTGTGTTGTTTACTAAGATAGCCACTAGTTACTACTAGAGACTCCTCCTTAACATGAATCTCTCTGTTCACAGGGCAATGAACTTAACAAACAAACAAACCTTCAGTCATCAGGTGATATAAATGAATGACTGTACCTGTTGTGATACTTGTCATCTATTGTGTGGTGCAATTGTTGGGCTGTAAGAAATGGCTACTTTTACTGGTCATGTACAATGACAGCCCTACAGGTCTTGCATGTGTTTGTATACAGGTGCCACTGAACATGTTTGCAAGCTGGTTAATTCCATATCCTGTGTTTCTTTATATCACAGATCTCTGTGTGCTAATCTGGCTGCTGCAAACTGTTTCACAGAGGAACATCTGGATGTTGAGGAGAACTGGAATCTTGTGGAGAAGGCCAAATACTATTATATCTCTGTAAGTACTTAAATGTATAATATTCCTCCACGCTGTACTATTAGCCTACTAGTACAAGCCTGTCTGTTAGTGACCAACCTGTAGCCTGTCTGTGAGTGACCAACCTGTAGCCTGTCTGTTAGTGACCAACCTGTAGCCTATCTGTTAGTGACCTACCTGTAGCCTGTCTGTGTGTGACCAACCTGTAGCCTGTCTGTTAATGACCAACCTGTAGCCTGTCTGTTAGTGACCTACCTGTAGCCTGTCTGTTAGTGACCAACCTGTAGCCTGTCTGTTAGTGACCTACCTGTAGCCTGTCTGTTAGTGACCTACCTGTAGCCTGTCTGTTAGTGACCTACCTGTAGCCTGTCTGTTAGTGACCAACCTGTAGCCTGTCTGTTAGTGACCAACCTGTAGCCTGTCTGTGAGTGACCAACCTGTAGCCTGTCTGTTAGTGACCTACCTGTAGCCTGTCTGTTAGTGACCAACCTGTAGCCTGTCTGTTAGTGACCAACCTGTAGCCTGTCTGTTAGTGACCAACCTGTAGCCTGTCTGTTAGTGACCAACCTGTAGCCTGTCTGTCAGTGACCAACCTGTAGCCTGTCTGTTAGTGACCAACCTGTAGCCTGTCTGTCAGTGACCTACCTGTAGCCTGTCTGTTAGTGACCTACCTGTAGCCTGTCTGTTAGTGACCTACCTGTAGCCTGTCTGTGAGTGACCAAGCCTGTCTGTGAGTGACCTGTAGCCTGTCTGTTAGTGACCTACCTGTAGCCTGTCTGTAAGTGACCTACCTGTAGCCTGTCTGTTAGTGACCAACCTGTAGCCTGTCTGTGAGTGACCAACCTGTAGCCTGTCTGTTAGTGACCTACCTGTAGCCTGTCTGTTAGTGACCTACCTGTAGCCTGTCTGTGAGTGACCAACCTGTAGCCTGTCTGTTAGTGACCTACCTGTAGCCTGTCTGTTAGTGACCTACCTGTAGCCTGTCTGTTAGTGACCTACCTGTAGCCTGTCTGTGAGTGACCAACCTGTAGCCTGTCTGTTAGTGACCTACCTGTAGCCTGTCTGTTAGTGACCTACCTGTAGCCTGTCTGTGAGTGACCAACCTGTAGCCTGTCTGTTAGTGACCAACCTGTAGCCTGTCTGTTAGTGATCAACCTGTAGCCTGTCTGTTAGTGACCTACCTGTAGCCTGTCTGTTAGTGACCAACCTGTAGCCTGTCTGTTAGTGACCTACCTGTAGCCTGTCTGTGAGTGACCAACCTGTAGCCTGTCTGTTAGTGACCTACCTGTAGCCTGTCTGTAAGTGACCTACCTGTAGCCTGTCTGTTAGTGACCTACCTGTAGCCTGTCTGTTAGTGACCAACCTGTAGCCTGTCTGTGAGTGACCAACCTGTAGCCTGTCTGTTAGTGACCTACCTGTAGCCTGTCTGTGAGTGACCTTCCTGTAGCCTGTCTGTTAGTGACCTACCTGTAGCCTGTCTGTTAGTGACCTACCTGTAGCCCCTCAACTATTGATCTGTCCTTCAAGGATTCTTGTTATCTTCAGAAGTCCTCAATGACTTTTGCTAAAACTCCTGGGAGGAAGAGTTCTTTGTCTCTGTGATTTTACCTTTTCAAGTTTTAGACATCAGGTATCCATCTTTGATTTTCATTGTAAAATATTGACATTACTATATTTCGAGAAGAGTTTTCAACAAAATACTGGGTGGATCTTAATCAAATTTGATTCGAAGGTTTCCCTAGATCCATAATGATAGGATATAAAAAATCATAGATGAGACTTCATTGGATTTCGACAATTTCAGCTTTTTATTGGTATTTATCAAAGAAAAATGATCATGGTGTTTGAATGTAGAAGCGGAAAGAAGAGCAAAGATCAAAGGTACACAGAACCAATACAGATCATGTGATGTTGACCAAGATCTCACTGAAGTCTGTCTTAGTTAAGGGTGAAATGATATTCAAGATGGCTCTGGATGGCCATTTTGAATCAACTTGAAACTTTAGGGGCTGGGTCTGAGATTTACAGCTCCAGTTGATAATGGAGTTTGAGAGTACAAGTTAGTCTGTACCCTACAGTTGTACTTGATGTGTATTTAATTAGCTGGGTATATTATATGAAGGAGTTTGAGCGTATAATTAAGCAGAAGCCAACAATTGTACTAAACAAATGTTAAGTTAGCTCGGTGAATTATTTGATGGAGTTTTCGTTTTCTGTTGATTAGGGTTTCCCTCTCACGGTTTGTCCTTCGGCCATTCTAAGAATCGCGAAACACTCCGGAGAAAAGGGCAAGACGTTCACTACAAATTTATCAGCACCATTCCTCTGCCAGTTTTTTAAAGATCCCATGATGCAAGTCATGCCCTATGTGGACATTCTGTTTGGCAATGAAACGGTAAGTTGTATGAGAATTTCCTTCTACAGTGATTTTTTGTCAGTGGTTCGATAAAAGAATTTGACCCCAAAATTCTTTACATTTTTTGTTCAGCAAGATAAAAAGCATTTAAGAGCAATACTGAAACAATGCTGTAATTGGATTTGAACTTTTGCAATGTCATGGCATCTATCTGTCAAGCATCACCTTTTAAATTATTGACTTCTTAAGAACCAATAGGCTCATAGTCATAATATCTGACCTATATACACTGGACAGAAAGTGTATTAAAAATTGCTCTGATGAGTTCTTTCAACAGTCACCTTTCATCGACTACAGAACGGTTTAGCAATACATGTCCATTTCTAAGAACTTGCTTTAAATTTTTATGTTTTAAATGTACTAATCTTGAATGACTGATCTGTTTACACTCGTTAGAACCATAATTGGTGGATAGAGTTACAGATACTTATCATTTTTTGAACAGGAAGCTGACACTTTTGCTAAAGAACATGATTTTGGGGTAAGTTGATCTTAATGTTAAAGCTTTTATCCCAATCTTCAGCAGATTTGGTACATATACAGTCCAACTATGTTAACTCAAAGTCGTCGCGTTGTGAAAAGACTCAACTACTCGGATAACTCCAAGTCTTTTCACAGCCCAACGACTCCGAGTTATCTGAGTATTCGAATATCAGTAGAGAGAGTCTAACCGAGTAAATGATTTTCAAATTTTGCAGTAAAAATATGTATAATGTTTAGCATTCAGAAGCAAACAAAAATGAGGCTATTTTGGTGATTGATTCAGCAATACACATACCAATTTCCACCGAAATAGGAAAAGATACACAACTTCATTAAACTTTGCAGTAAACAAATGGAAGTTTCAAACCAGAAACAAAAATGGATAAAACACACACTTCACACAAAAATCACCGAGTTGGAATGTCCTTGTAGTGGAAAATATTTAATGAGCACTACAGGTCATACAGAAGCAATCATCAGTACAACATAACACTTAAAAACAAATGTTACACTTGACACCTTTTCAATATTACCTACCCACTGGTAACCAATGTCCTTTGATTTTCTGACCAGTGCTGTGCAGGAAAGTTCTGCGTGACTAGGAGTTGTGACTTACTTGTAATCAAAATTTAGGAAATCATATTCTTAGTGTGAAGATGTATTTATTGCGTTTGAGTTCACTCTGAGTTGAGCAGGTAAATAAAGTTTTACTAATTCAAATTAATAAAGTTAGACTGTATAATAGTTCTTTATGTCTTACTTCTGTATTTATCTAAATCCAGCCCATTGAGCCAATACACCACTTTTAGCTTAGAGTCGAGGATGCACTTATTTCCAGGCATGGGCTTTTAGGAGAATAAAAATGGTTCAACTATGAGACAGGTCAAAATATGAATATTTTGCTGAATTTTTCAGACAACAGACAGGAAAGAAATTGCAAAGAAAATTGCAGCCTTACCTAAAGATAACAAGGATAAACCTAGAACAGTGGTCATCACTCAGGGAGCTGACCCTGTCATTGTGGTCAAGGGTGAGTAACTTGAACCCATGGTAGTGGTCACCAAGCAATGGGCTGACTCTGTCTTTGTGGTCAAGGGTGAGTAACTAGACCCAATGGTAGTGGTCACTAAGCAATGGGCTGACTCTGTCTTTGTGGTCAAGGGTGAGTAACTAGACCCCATGGTAGTGGTCACCAAGCAATGGGCTGACTCTGTCTTTGTGGTCAAGGGTGAGTAACTAGACCCAATGGTAGTGGTCACTAAGCAATGGGCTGACTCTGTCTTTGTGGTCAAGGATGAGTAACTAGAACCCAGGATTGTGGTCATCACTCTCAGATATCAAATGTAGGTGTCCCTTTACTCTTAACGGTTAATTTTGTGTCTGGTCAGATAAAAGGGATGGCTATCGGATTGTAGTCTTAAATTAAATTTCTTTGTAGCTTTCCAATAGCCTTTTTCTGTGTTAGAGATATTTCTGTCTACATCTCACAGTGGTGAATGACTATATTAACTTCCTTGTTAAGATCATTATATGTCTCTCTTGGTTGATGTAAGAATCACCTAATTTATAGCCTTCCTACGGAAATCTTGCAGTGTTTGTTTTGTAAACGATGTTTGTTTGTACAGACGGTGAAGTGACAGAATATCCGGTCATTCCCATCAAACCTAAGGACATCCTGGACACCAATGGAGCAGGAGATGCCTTTGTAGGAGGTAAATAAAATCGATCACATATCAGATGTTCTTATCTCCCTCGGAAGGGAGGCATCAAAATATCCTGACATTATTCCTCATCAGCATTTTTGGCGTGTTTGTAGTATCTGTAGTTGACTGAGACGACAAGTGAATTTGCCTGGATACTATCACTTTACCATTTCAAGAAAATCTGTTAACGATAGAATGATAGAGAAAGAATAACTTCTATTGGCCCCACGATACCTGTACTGATATCTGTGGCAGATTCTCTAGCAGTCATCCTGAGAATATTTACTTAAGAGAATGAAACTTTTTTTTAACTTTCATTCATTTTCCTTTGTGTTTAACATGAAAATAAAAGGCTGAGTAAATAAAGATGAAAGGTAGGGTAAAGTTTGATTTTAAAGTTAAGGTATATGGTAATTTAAGGGTGAGTATAAGACTGCGAAAATGTTTCATGTGTCGGCAAAATAAACCCTGGGCCGATGTTTCCCTATATAGATTGTGTAAATTTGTGAACCAAGGGAAACATCCCCTCAAAAAAATAATGCTACAGAAGCAGGGAAAAAATTTTTGATGACTGGAAAATTGGTATTTGGATACTTGGGGATACAAATATGACACCAGGATTTTTACCACAGGAATGCAAAGTTAGGATTGTATTTTGAATATCATGAGGCGAGTCAATATTTCAGTTTTTGTTTTGATTTTTCAGGTTACCTTGCTCAGTTAGTGAAAGGTGAAAGTGAGGCTAAATGTGTGAAGTGTGGAAACTATGCAGCAAACCTTGTTATCCAGCGATCTGGCTGTACGTTCCCGGATGTGCCAGATTTTGAATGATTTTTGACAATGAACAATGTATGAATGAATGTATTACCTCATCACAGAAGTCAATAGGGAAATTCTATACATACATAAGACAGAAGGTTAGCCTTATGGAGAATTATATATCCCAGGATAAACAGCTATTATCACATTATTTAACTTATCAACATCACAGCAGACGACAGAATTCTCAGGATGGTTTAATACTCAATGGGGATTTTTTTCGTCTTGTTCCATAAATATTTATTTATGACTGAAACTTGTCAGCACAAATCCATGAAATAGTGCAAGCACCTGGACCATCATATTTACAAATTCAGTCAATAATTTGTAAAAGTATTGGTGTTTGTGCGTATAGACCAGCATGCTCATTCATTGTGTAAGTGTTTTCATATCAGTGAACTTCATTATATTTCTGACCGTTATAGATAAGTATTAAGGAAGAAAAATGCCCAAAGCAGATCATCCAACCAGGAAGAGGTTGCCCAAAGCAGATCACCAAATCAGTGTTAAGTCATTTATTGAAAAATCTCTGTGAAAGATTATCTACAGACACATTTACACATTGGAAATGTTTGTTGTTAAAAGTTGTCTGTGTAATTTAAATCAAATAAAAAAAAGGAAAATGCCAAGATCTTTTTCTTTTCTTTACAACATGACCAATGAAACTAACTTCAACAACAGGAAAACTAGCAATAGGGAAGTCTGATTCATAAAACTCATTTTTAAGTCTTCTATTCCTTTGATGATTTAAGCACATTTGGCCACTGAGACCCTTGAAAGTGGATCAAAGTTATTCAATTCAACGAACTCATTTTGGGGAAAACCCAGACATTTTAAACAGTGTAAATCTGCTCTGGATTTTCAAATATCTTTAGAATAATTCCAAATACATGCAAATTTTTTTTTCATAAAAATGTCCTTCAATTTTATATCTGAACTGTCTGGGGCCAGTGTTTCACAAAATCTAAACCTAGATAGTGCCTACCTTCTTAAGAAATAGTCACTCATTGGCTGGTTTATATGATGACTCTTGAAATACCAAACATCATATAAGATGACATGTAACTTATCTTTTGAAGATAGTTCATTTTTTACCTTAATGAATCGTGAAAAATTCAATACCACATGTAGTTTCATTTCCGATTTTTGATTAAAAAAAACTAAAACAAAACCCAAAAAAAAGTTGATAAGGGGACATTAGATCGAACATTTTGAAATCTCCCTCCAATTATTGAAAACATACTGTGTTTGTATTTGTGTGAAATGCAAAACCACTTAGGCTAGCATCACAGAGATTAAACTATCTCCGTATTATCAAATGCTGTACTTAACATTTCCTGGAAGCAATATTACACGAGTTTGGTCTTTATTGAGGAAACAATGTATTTGTTAATGGTTTTTTGTTATGTCAGTGTGTTCTAAATGTCATACCACAGATAGCCTGTATTACAGTGTAAGACGACGCCTTCCGTATGTGTTTTACATTTTTTATGAATTATGTATAATCGTTAGAAAAGGCCATCCCTGGTTGGATTGAACAATAATTACTAATAAAAACTTCGATAAAAAGTGTAAAGTAATAAGTATATCTGCATTTCTCGATGTTCCAATCGCCGACAAATTAAAATGTAACTTTCCTAGCCATTGTTGATTACTTTTATAATACATAATTCCTGATCAAGCGTAGACCGGAAATATCGGGGTAAAATCCAATTTGCATATTTAAATAACTCATTTAAAGCTGTTGTCTAATTTGGATAAAGTGACGTTTAAAAGTTCCCTGGAGATTCGATGCCACAAAAAAAACAAACAAACAAACAAACAAAAAACAAACAAACCAACTATCGAAAGGCATTCATGTTTGAAATAACCAACAACCTAGCGACATTTTCACGAAAATGCTGAAATACGGTGAGATTTTGACGCCACTGAGTTCTGCGCGACTTTTATTTTTTTTTTTTTAAGTCCATGAGCTCTGTTGTAGTGGGTCTGTTTTACGTACGTTACATATCTCGTGATATAATGTTAAAATAATTAAAATTAGTTGAACGGAGGTGAAATCCGAAATTTAATTCCACACAATTCATAAATTTACAAAGTTCGTTGTCGGATTTCGTTGGTATTCCTAAATAATTGTATTTTGGAAAACATAGATATGAAACGCCGCGTTTAAGATAAAAGCGAGACCAAAATACATCTTCAAAACAAAGCCACGTGTGATTTTCCTAGCAAGCCTGGGTTGTCACTTTTAAAGAAATTTAAAGCCCGCGAAAACAGCGTTCTCCCTATTCCAAATTGCTATTATGAAAGCGGTCGTGTTATGTGTGTTACGGTATACGGAGTCATGATCAGTTCTTGTGGTTCTTTGTGAACGCATGCTAATGGTGTTTGTATTTAATGGTATCAGTTATTGATGAATTTCCGTTATTTTCTGTGCATGAAGTTAAACCGTACGCGATGTGTGATTCTAACAGGTCCTCTCATGAAGTTTTGAATATATGATGTATGATCTAGGGCCCCTTGGTATGAATGTCAGGGTTTTCTCGTTCAGGTTGGTTGATATAGACATTTTAAATAGAACCTCGAGTAACTGGTGATAACGACGGATCTAGTTTCGAATAAACTTGACATTTTTAAAACATTGGTTACCCTAGGAGAGAGAGAGAGAGAGAGAGAGAGAGAGAGAGAGACAGACAGACAGACAGACAGACAGAGTCAGCCCCGGCTGCTCGGATATTAGTTTAGTTAACAATGGATAGTCAGACATTTAGATTGTTGCCCCTGAAACTTGGTAAATGGCAAAATAAACATTCTACCGTGTTTTAACAAATCTACTGTTTTATAAAGAAAGATCTCAGTTTTGTTCCATACGTTTTCGAAAATTTCCACGATCCACTGGTTGTCTCGAACCAGTCTTTGAACTACCGGGATATCTGGTGTTATAGAAGGGTAAGTGTCTTTTGCTCCAGAAAGAAGTTCTCCTAGAACCAGCATAGAATCGTTTTGTTTCTGAAACCTGTCCTTAATTGTCGATATGGAGGAGTGTCAATTGTTGTTAACAATCTGTGCCAACTTTTCACTCTTGGTGTTTTAGGTTTTGTAAATAAGATAAGTCCTAGTATTCCGGCCGGTGTTCATCCGAAATCATAAACATGAAAGAAAAAAAAAGAAAAAAGGACGAAATCAATAATTATGCAAAGGAAGAAATTTAACAATCGAGTATCTTTGTAATGTTTTATTTAGTATGCTTGTTGATTTTTTAACTAATTATTTATTTCTTTGAAGTCCTTCTTTTGTCTCTTTTTCATGGTTTGCTTATAAATCGCAGTATATGGCCCACCATTATGACGATCAGAAGGTGGGGTTGTTCTTTGAATGCCAACAATTTTTTATACAATAGGATGGTGTTGTTTTAGGAAACAATAGCAAGGTCATTATATACTGTTGCATATAAGATGCCCTTTTCTTACCTGGATTTTTACCTGAGATTTACCTGTGTTTCTCACAACCTATCTTCATATATAATACAATAGTATTTTATTAAAGTGTCACGCATCATTGCCAATAAAACACATAAAAATATGTTCAAACATAATGATGTCCAGCCGGATTAGGCTTACGAGACACTGTTAAAAGTTCATGGTTATCAAAAGAAAACACGTGTTTTACGTTATACTTGTATCGGTTAAGGTAACAATTCAAAAGAGAACGTCTACTCCTGATCATTAGTTATATTGATTTTGATAAAGGATATTGAGTTTCTCCCTTTGTGAAATACACACAAAAATTATCTTCATCAACAAAGTGTAAAATTCGTTGCATAACGTACAGGCTTTTTTAAAGAGTGAAATTCGAATATCGTTACATATAGGACATTCACAGAGAATGTACTTCGTCTTCTATAGTATTTTTACAAAGAGGACAGAGTGTAAATTTACATATCGGTCAGTCTCTATCGTAAGAGGTAGACATCCGAGTTGTTGTTGGGATAAATGACTTCTGTAATGGCGTGGAATGTATGACGTAACGTGGAATTCGGGAAAGTTATCAGACTTAAACAGTCTATAAGTTCGAAGTTTATTTCCTGGGTTGGGTTTGTTTCTCCAGAGGTTACTATACCACGTATCTTTATCAACTAGATTGAGCACAATATTAATGTTGCGCATTTTTTTCACTTAATGTAATATTGTTACAGTGTACATTACAGATATATTTCCTACCGCATTCTTCTTCCTCCCTTCATTCCTTCCCCCACAAATCAAATCAGTACAGTGGAGAATATTCGACATGCTTAGCTTAGACGAAAGATTTTTCACTCGTGACTCCCATGAATTTCCTCTTCTTGACGACAAAATAAAGACTTTATGTAAAATTCTGTGTGAATCAATGTTTTGAAAACGAGTATACACTCCGAATACGTCCTTACGTAGTTTTGATAAACAAGACGACACGCCCATATCACCCATGTTCCGATATTAGAGGCGAGTTTGCTTAATCTTACGAATATTTTCATAACACGATTATGTATATTGCTAAAATGACGTCGTTCTGAGAAGCCTCATTTACCAGCACCATACATTGAAATGGAATGAACAAGGGATTCGAACAATTTGGTGGAAGTGTCACATATCGTTATTTAATTTTTTCTAGACATTATAAAATTATTATACAGTACCTAAAAGTAATGTAAACTTCAATACTGTCCATGGACAAATCAAAATAGTTTATGTCTGTGGTACATGACAAAGTTCAGGTGAAATTAAAACATAGACGACTACGGTACATGTGATTCTGTGTAGCAGCTATCTTCATATGAATGAGATGTTAGATTAAATGCATTTGATGAAAAATACTGAACAATTAAGTTTGACTTCATTTAGCACTAAAACATATGTAAATGAAATAAATTATAATTTTGGATGAAGTTTAGCACTACATCCTAACATATTTCTAAAATTATTATAATATGAAGAGAAAAGTACCTGTAATAGACCTAAATATTGAACTAAGTAATACTATACACTATTTAACTTAATTACCATATATTACATAGATAATAATCATTTTAGTCATATACAATAAAGTACCCGAGATAAAGCAATAAAATACCCCAGATAAAGTACCTGAGATAAAGTAATAAAGTACCCGAGATAAAGTACCCGAGATAAAGTAATAAAGTTCCCGAGATAAAGCTTAAAGATAAAGAGAAAAGTATTTCAATAAAACTAGAGTATTTGAATAAAACAAGCGTATTTGAAATAAAAACAAATATACCTGAATTTGTATCAAATCTGCTCATCTATTAATGAGAAATGATTGATTATTTGATTTTTTTTTATCTAATTTGATTAACTTTTGATAAAGCCCATCAATACAGCATGTGTACACAAACACAGGGTACAATGAATGTGTAAATAAATTAAACAATTTGAAATGTGATAAATGAAATATTTGTTATTTAAACTTTAAAAATTATAAAAAAAATATTACATTCAAATAAAAATCAGGACATTCAAATATTTCAAAATATATAAAATTGTTTCTCTTATACTTAATAAGGTTATAGAGAATAAAAGTAATTATAATGTGAATATTGCTTAAACAAATCCTT